ACCGACGTGCTCGCCCGCGGCGTCGACTTCGCCGGCGTCAACGGCGTCGTCAACTACGACGTCCCCGGCTCCGCGGCCGCCTACGTCCACCGCGCCGGCCGCACGGGCCGCGCCGGCCGCCGCGGCGGCGTCGCCGTCACCTTTTACACAAAGGACGACATACCCTTCGTCAAGAGCGTCGCAAACGTTATCGCCCTGAGCGAGAAGCAGGCCGCCGCGGGCTCCGGTGTCGGCGCGGGCGCGGGCGCGGGCGCGCAAAAGTGGCTGCTGGACTCGCTGCCCGACGTGTCCAAGAAGGACCGCAAGACGCTGCGCGAAAGGGGCGTCGAGTCGAGGCGGTCCGGCGCCGCAAAGGCCCGCATCACGTCCAAGAGCACGTGGGAGAGGCGGAGGGAGAACAACCGCCGCGGCGCAATCGAGGGGAGCAAGAAGAGGAAGAAGGCGCTGCTCGACGACGCGTCTGCGGAACACGACGACGGCGAGGAATGGGGAGGCATTGACGACTGAGTTGTGTTTTTTTTCTTTGATACTATCCTGTCAAGTACTAGCAACAGCAGTGAAAACCAAGCTATACTATGTTCGAGTGCTTTTGTCTGTCGCGCTCGTTGCACAAATAAGTGTTGACTGTCCTAGGTGTAATCGGCGAGAAGAGGGAGCCGTAGGTTGGATTGGGGAGAGGAGATAAAGCCACGATAATCAGGGGCGAATTACAAATATCAGAGAGAGCCCTCACATACGAAGGGGAATAACCTGAAACTGAGCCACCGCGGTAACCTTCCTTCCCTCTTTCTTTCCCAACTTTTTGAAAGGGGCAGTCAAATCGGCCAGATCGAAAGCCAGCACCTCCGGCACCGCCACTCCAATGGCCAGGCTAATGTGCTCCTTGCCGAGTTTCGTCTCGGAGGTCGCACGGAACTTGATCCCCGTCAGCCCGCCGGTGGCGAGATCACGAGGGTATGTGGCCGTAACCTTGGCCACCACCGCGGCGGCTGCCCCAATGTAGTCGGCCCAGAAGAGCGATGCCGAAGCTGAGCCCGAGCCCTTTCTCTGACCGTCGCTTCCGTCCGCCCGGCCCGGCCGAATCTGAGTGCTGGACACCACGGCCCGCAGCTTCTCGAGCAGCGGCTTGTCGGTGGCGCAAACAGAGCCACCCCACCGTGAGACGAGGGTCACGGCCAGCACAGCGCGCTCCAGATGCCCCAGCCCCGGGGCGCCAGGGTCTCGGCCCAGAGTCTGGTGCAGCGCGCTGGAGGCGCTTTCGTCGTCATCGCCGCTGGAGCCGCTGGCGCCGGACCAGAGGCTCTCCATGAAAATGGCGCCCAGCCCGAGGGAAAAGACGTTGGCGCAGCCAGGCCCGTCGGCCAGGGATTCTGGCAGGGCCTCTATCAGGGTCGCGGTAAGAGCTTCGGCAACAGGGCCTGTGGCGAGGCCGAAGAAGCCAGCTGATAGTGGTGACTCTGGATTGCTTCCAGCCCCTTTGCCATTCTGGCGAGAGAGCAGCTGCAGGGGATTGCTCTCACGCAGCGACTCCGGCAAAACCATCATCAAGGCGCCCTCGCGGTTTCCGCCAGAGCAGAAGGTTGCCCACCGGATGTTGGGGACCACGGCAACAAGCGCCTCGGCCACGGTGGCAATGGCAGGGAACTGCTGGCGCCGGCGGCCCGACATGCCCGGGATCTTATCCTTGTGCTTCTTGTTGACCTTGCGCATCTTTTTCACCTCGGAAAAGTAGCTACCTGATACAGTGTACGAACCTATCCCGGCCAGGGGGTAGGGCTCTATTTCGTCGTTGAACATGAGCATGCTACCGTAGCCCCGCAGGCCGCCGCCGTAGAGGTACAGACCAACCCCGGGGCCGTCGTCAGCTAGGTCGGCGGCCAGGGCCGGGTGGACCCTGCGCAGGTGCTCGAGGGCGGCGGCGAGCTTGGAGTGGAGGCCCGAGACCTCAACGTCCAGCACATGGCTACTCTCGTGCTCGATGATGTGCGTCATCCTCGCCGCGCCAAAGGGCATCGACTGGCCGGCGCGGGCGGCCGCGACGCCGTAACTCGAGGCCCCGGCGTCAGCGGGGCCAACAGCTGCGGCGCCCGCGGCGCTCGAGGCTTGATCGGGGTCAGAGTTGAGGTAGCTGATCTGGAGACTACCCCCTCCCAGATCCACGAACAGCCCCCTGACGTTCACAAACGATGAGCGAGCGCCCATGGCCCCGAGCAGCGTTTCGACCTTGGGCTCCAGGATGTGGACGGCCGTTCCCGGAGCGGCGTCGGCGATGGCCTTAAGCATGTCGGCCGCGTTGGAGGCGCGGCGCATGGCCTCGGTGGCAAAGACGAGCAGGTTCCCAGGTGGGACGCGGTAGCCGTCGATGGCGATGGTCCGAAAGCGAGCCAGTGTGCGAGCCACGGCGAGGATAGTGGCCTCGGGGAACTTGTCCTGGACCTTGGGCTTGTTGGCGCCGCCGTGGCTGGCGGTGCTCGGGTCACCCTCGAGGAGGGCGTCGAGGAGCGAGATGGGGGCCCGTTCCTGGTAGAGACAAGGCAGCAACCGAGCCCGAGACGGGGTGAGATCCGAGACGGAGAAGCGGATGCCATTGCTGCCCATGTCCACGAGGGCGTACAGGTGGCTTGGGGTGGCGGGGTCCCATTTCGCCAACTTGAGGGCGAGGTTCTCAAGAGTGATTACATCGGCCGCCGACCCGGGCTCCGACGGCGGCGGTGCAGGGGCCGGTGTCGGGATTCCCGGGGCAGGAGGGAGGTCTGCCATGTCTGCTGCGGAAGGTTGTGGGATGCTGGCAATTTGACCATGAGGGGTTCTCTGCGATCAGAGTTATAATATACAGCCTCCAAATCGCGTGGTCGATATGCCAAGGCTATGTGGTCCAGAAACAAGGGCTCTTCTGCATGGCCGTGGGGAATTGGCACCTGGCCATTCAGCTCGACAGCCTCCTAAGCACCTTCTTCAGCACAAATGACGTGGCGGAAATTTATAACTGCCTGAAACGGAGCGCAGCTTACACCACCATCTTTTACGGCAGCGACGAAGGGCAGGCATATCTTGTGTCACTGCCTTCTTGCCTTGTTTCCGCCAAACCCAAATTCTCTGTCATGAAAACACGCATGACTTAATCAGGGCAGCACCCAGCCCAATCCGCCGACACCTTTAAACGCCCTCACTCAATTCCACACGCCTGAACATGCAGGGCCGGAAGGGGCCTCCTTCTCTCAGGCGAAAGGCTCTGACCGTGTGTGCAACGAAGCCATCTATCACCATGAATTTCAACTTCAATAATTGTGGCTGCTCGAGCACCAACCGCGAGACTATCAAAGAAAATGAACCATGTTTAGACGCTGGTGAAAAGAAAAAGAAAAGCTAGACCCTGAGCGCCATGGAAGTCAACGCTAACAACCCGATGGGAAAAAAGTAAACAGTTCATGATGGAACGCAACAAGCTCATGGCCAAATGGTAAGCTCCATGGCTTCGGCGTTCTTGGGCGCCGTCATGCCAGTCCCGGCTCTGAAGATGACGGTATGCGAGTCCTGGTACTGGACGTTCCCCTTCGGAAGCTGCAGCGTCTCGGCGCGCGACGCGTTGATGCCGAGCGCCTTGTGAGCAACGCCATACGCCACTCTCCGGCGCGCCGCCAGGTTCCACGCAAAGCTCGAGTGCGCGATGCCCGCCACCAGGCCCGCGCGCAGCATGACCTCGTAGTCGACGAGCGACTGCTGGTCCCAGCTGAGCGCGTGGAGCGCCTGCACCTCGGCCTGCAGCCCCGCGCCCTCGAGCAGGTCCCACTTGGTCACCACGGTCGCGCCCAGGTCCTCCCCGCGCGCCTTGAGTGACGTCTCGTTGGCGGCCGACGCGCCCTGCGCCAGGTACATGACGGGTGCCTTGCGCTCCGCCATGAGCCCGAGGAAGTGAGGCGCCTGGTCCACGTACGACGGCCACGGCGGGGACTTGACCTGGATGTCGCGGTCGGTGCGCAGCCGCACTCCCATGAAGGACTTGGTGAGCGCCCCGCCCGTCTCAGGCCCGGACCCGGACGGCCGCGCTCTCCTCGGGTCCAGGTCCAGGCCGTAGCTGGCGCGCAGAGCAAACAGCGTCTCGGCGGCCAGGCGGCGGGCGTCGGCCCGCACGCGCAGGAGACGCCCGAAGCTGGCCACGAACTCGGGCGGGTCTGACGCCACGGGATACCAAAAAGCCGCCCATGGGAGCTGCATCTTGAGCGGACGCAGCTTGGCGTCGTCCTTGGACTTGATATGCGCCCTGACGGCCTGGGATAGCTTTTGTACGTCGGCTACGACGGTGCCGTGGACCAGCGAAATGGGAACAACCGCCTTGGAAGCAAACGCCTTTGGGATTTCGAGCTTGATGCCGTTCAAAACCGACGGGACGTTGGCCAGGTCGTTTATGGACGAATAGAGCTTCATCTGCGGACACAGCCGCCCCAGGCTAGTCGTCAAGTGCTCCTTGTCGAAGAAGTAGTCGAGAGAGACGCCGCGTACCGGGCCCTTGGAGTTGGGGACCGCTTTGGCGATGTCGTGCTCGGACCGCTGGATTATCTCGGGGAGGATCAAGCCGCTGGCTGTTTGGGAGGAATTCACTGTTAGCCGTGCTCCTGGGCGCCCAAGGGAGAAGGGAGGTATTCCCCCGCTGCCAAGCCGCCGCCTGGGCGAACCGCCATCCAGTAACGGCAAGAATCGCGACGTACCTCCCAACTCGATAGCCAGGCGGATGCACTGAAGGTGTCCGTTCCTGACGGTGCCAACGCCCTCGGGCACCGCGTCGCACTGCAGGATCCAGTCGCGGTTCCACGTCTTAGAGGCACACATGGCCTCGATGGGCTTGCCGTCGAACGGGCCGTCGATCTCGTTCTCGAGGAAGTCGGACACGAACAGGGTGCGCTGGTCCTTGAACTTGCGCATGACCTGGCCGTAGGTCGCGCGCGGTGACGACGACGTCATGTAGACGAATGTCCAGACGAATATCACCAGCGGCACGGCGAACTTGGCCGCGCTGATGAGATTGGCCTGCGCCAACATGGTCGGTGTTGCTGTGCCGAGGCGCCGAGGCCTCTAGACTCGCCTGTGTGGTCTATGTTGGCTGCGTCTCTCTCTCTCTCTCTCTCTCTCTCTCTCTCCCGGGTCTTGTATTTATGGTTGCTTCATTTGTTGCTCGGGTTCTCCGGTGGGATTCCGCTGCGTTGCAATGTGCGGCGAGACAGGGACGTTTGGAAAGACAATGCTGGAATGGAGGTCAAGACAGGAGGACAGGGGTGGGAAGGAAACAAGTTGAGAAGGGAAAATATAAAACAAAGCGCAAGGGTACCGTCCGACAACAATAAGGAGAAAAGCTGGAAATGACGAAAGCCCCAAGATTGAAAGCTAGCGTGCGACAGTGGGCCCCTTTTTTTTCGGCTGCAGTGTCACTAGCCGACGGCACTCGCTTGGTGGTCAAGGAACGCTGCCCAGACCAAAAGCCCGTGCAGGGCCCCAGCGGCTGGGACCAACAGAACGGCATGGCATGGCATGTGTTTTGCGTCGTGGGAGGAGGACCTGGGTTGGGTTACAGCCAGAGCGTGTTGCCGTCTTGGCGCTCACGAGAGAATAAGCACGGGAGCTCCCGGGGGCGGAACAAGAGGAGCAGGAAACCAGGGTGGTCGACCCGGGCAGGAAGGCAGACGGACAGGCGGTAGACAACGGTATTTCATCGGACCCGGGCCGGCCGGCATTACTGGGACTTGGCTGGCTGGGGTGCTCTGGCATGTTGGGTGATTGAGGGCTCTGCATTTCTTGGGCCGGCATGTGAGCCACCGCGCCCGGTTTGTGCTGGGGGTTTACGTCTTTCCCCGTCCAAGCCCAGGTATACCTGGATACACAGCATTGAAGGCGTCCAAAAGTGACCTCCCCGGTTGGCGAGAAGTGCAGATAAAATGCCTGCCAAACCGGGCATGACAAGAAAAAAAGAAAAAAAAAGAAAAAGGAACCCCTCTCAGACAGGGCTCCGTCCGAACGAGCCGCAGCAGAACAGACAATCAAGCCTTTTTCGAAACACAGATTTCCCGATAAGCGCCACCGATCGTCGGCCGCGTTATCCGGGCCAATTCCCTGGGTTTCGGCCAGCTCGTGCCGACCCCGGCTGAATGTAAAGGGTGATGTATGAGCGGGCAGGCAAAAGACATTGACGGCTCCAGTAATAAACAAAAATACGGCAGCATCACAGTCAAACCCGGATCCGACGTCCGCAATCGTGTTACCCTTCACTTGCTCTTATTTCCCGAGTCCTGAATTGCGAGAACTAGCAACCCTTTTTAACACCCACGACAGGGACAAACTTGCACGACAGTCCTTGCCACGTACGAAAAAAAAAAGAAAAGAAAAGCATTTGCAGAATGGCCATGTGAGCAGAAACAATAAAAAGAAAAGAAAAACAAAACAGAGGGAGAATATCGGATATTAACAGCATCCTTCTCGCTCGCATCCCACCTGGCCCTTTTTCCTTCATGTCGTCTTTTTATTTTATTCGTCTGTGTATTTTGCACAATAGAGAGACCGCCATCATCATCCCCTTAACTTTGATGGTGCAAAAAAGGGGCATGTCCAAGCGCAATACGAGGGTCCCTGTGTTTCTTTTCCCCCTCCAAAAATACCCATAAAAAAAAGAAAGAATGTCCCCTCCTTTCCCTTTGCGCCATGGCCATGACTTGAGAAATCAGGAGTGAAAATGGGTCATCAAGACACATGCAAATCCCGTGCGCGGAGGGCTGGAATGTGCACGATGACAGAAGAGAGAAAAGAAAAGAAGAAAAGTGACTCGAGTCTGCAAGGGATAGTCGGGCCGTGACTCTCCTCGACCCTCTCTCGCTTATATATTAATGTGGCAGGCACAAAGTAGGAAAGCCAACGCTCATGGAAGCGTTGGTGACGCCATATCGCCAATATGCAGAAAGAAAGAAAACGATGCCAACCCGATGCTGTGGATGTGGGTTTGGCTGGGTATGAGAGCCAGAACGAGGCAACAACAAGACTCCGTGATTTCGTATAGAACGCCCCGTCATCATGCCCCAGTAGCCACGTCGCCGAAGCCGCCAGCCTCCTCGTGGCCACCTGTCTCTTTGGTGTATGTGCCATTGAGCATGGGACAGAGCCTATAACAAGAGTTTGTCAGTAAGAGTGCCCAAGTCCAGGGGTGGGAAAGGAAGGCAAAAGGGTCTTGTACTTTTTATTGGTTTTGATATGCCCCTTCTTGCCACAGTTGGCGCATTTTCTGTTGGTGGTGCCGGCACCGCCGCCCGCGCCCTTTTCTATCGAGGGCGCGGGCGAGTCGGGATCTCGGTCGAAGGGCGCCGCGACCGAGAACTTGCCGTTGTGCTGCTTGGACTTCTCGCGCTGGAGGCGTCGCTCCCTGTTGCGCACGAGGCGTGCCTCCTCCGCGTTGATCCTTATTGGGCCCAAAGGGCCCGTCGGTCAGTCTCCACGAAGCCACAATCACCAAGACTCGTATACAAAGACGATGGAGGGGAAGAGGGGATGCGTTCACATACTGGCTGAGTAACGCCGCATCATGCTCGGCATCACCGGTGAACACGACATTGCCAGCGAAGAGACTGCGCCGTGTCGTTTGTTAGCAAGGCTCGTCCACATGAGCATAAGCAACCGGACCCAGAAATGGGCAATGGGCTGAGCCAGTGTCAAAACGTACTCGACCTCCTCCGCCAATGCTTTCCGCTTGGCGTCTATGTACCGCTTCATGACGCCTGAGTCGAGCACCATCTCGACCTGCTCCTCGGCGCCGTCATCGCCATTAGCGAGCTTTGGCTTGCGGTAAATGCGTAGCATCTTCCTCTTGCGACCAGTCGAGCCCCCAGCGTCGGTGGCACTACGCCGGCTGAAGACGCTCGTCTTGTCGTCCATAAAGGTACTGCCGTTGACGGCCGAGTAGCTGCCGCCACCAGCCCTGAAGCCCCCTGGCGTCGCAGGTATTATCTGCGATCCTCCGTCGGCACCCGCCCCAGCCGCCCCGGTGCCGAATCGGTCGTCCTCGTCCTCCTGCGGCTGCAGATCCTCGGCGTCGTGTTCGGTCGGGTCCGAGAGCGTCGATCTTTGCTTGGCCCAGATCTCCCCGATCTCCTTGTTGTAGAGCTCATCCTGTTGCTTGACATTGTACGAGTGGCCGTTGGCGTCCTTGCGCTGAGCCTCGAGCGCCATCGAGTCCGCCGATGTCGTCCCTGGTCCACGATCCCTCTGCAGCGCCTCCATGTACCCACCTTTCATAGAAGTTTTGATGAAGCTGAAGCCCAGACCGTGACCTGTGGGGTCTCCAGGGCCCCGTAGCCTGACCATGGCCTTGCCCGCGCAAGCGTCGATGAAAGCCTTGGTGGTGAACCAGGGCGCCATCGACTTGGCGAAGGACGCATCGTTGTTGTCGTCGCCGAGCTCCTGATCTGCGCTATCGTCGACCCTGGAGACAGTGTAGCCATTGACCAGCAGCTCCCCGACGCCCACCTGGTGCGCATCATTGAGGCACACCTCTTCGGGCTTGATCATCTTATCAATCGAGTCCTTGTCCATGAGCTGGTCGTTTTCCTTGATGTTCCAGCTCTTGGTCTCCCTCTCGTAGCTGAGGAATTCCTTCAGCTTTTGTCTGTTCTGGGCGTCTGTCGAGTTCTTGACGTGGTGTGTGATGTCCTGGAGGGCGACGTGACCCTTTGAGTGTATCAGGCGGAACGATATCATCTTCATCCGGTTCTTGGATAGCGTCGTCACCCGCCGCGAGTGCGGGCCTGGCACCTCCATCGTGGGGAAGTTCTGGCCCACGACGTACAGGTGGTCAATCTTGCGCACGTAGTAATTCGATCCGCCCGCCCCCGTGTGGCTGCGCCCGCACAGGAAGTCGCTTCTCCTGGGCTTGTGCTTGAATATTGGCGCCTGGAACATTGCGTTTTGCAGCGTCGGCACCACCTCGCCGTGGTCCACGCGGCCGAATATTGAGAAGGGGGACTTGTCTTCGGTCAGGAGAATGTTGGGCTCTCCGAGCTCGTACTGCTTCTTGTCGATCAGCGTGGTATCGTCGTCCGTATTGGCCTTTTTCCTAGCATGATTGATGATCTTGTTGCCCATTCCAAACTTGGACAGGACAGTGGGCACCTGCTCGCAGTACTCGAAGAGGACGGCGGTCGAGTTGTCGCTCAACGTGAGATCCTTTGACGAGGCGAAGGCTTCCTGGACCTTCTGAATCCTCTTGTCCTTCCGCTTCAAGCTCGACGACTGTACGAGCTTCACGAACGAGTTGAGTTCCTTGCTCGTCTGCAGGCTTGGCCTGTGGTACTCGTAAGGATCGATGCCGTCCTGGCGAACCATGTAGTAGGGCCATAGGAGCTTGGTGGCCGGCAAGCTGTGCTCGACCGACAGGTTCCCGATAGTCGCCCGCACCTTGTGCTTGTGGTTGAGCTTGAGCTGTTCGTAGTGCTCGTCGTTGGAGAAGTTGAAGCGTGACTTGACATCGCGCCCGAAGCGCCCGTTGGCCATCCGCTTCCCGCCCGCCCGGTTGAGTTTTTGGCGCTTGGGCGCCTGCTCCTCCTCCATGAGAAGGAACGGATCCGCAAAGTCCAGGTGGACGCGCTTGGCAGCACGCACAGTCGCCTCCTCGAACTGGTCGAAGTTCGGGGCCTCGAAGCGAGGCACCCGCGGCAGACCCTTCTCCACCACTATCTTGCGCCGCTTGGCGGGCGGCTCATCCAGGAACATTTTGTCCCAAAAGTCGTCATCCTTAATGTCGACGCCATTACTGTTGGGCTCGCCACCCTTCCTGTCGACGTCATCACTGTTGGGCTGTGGAGTGAGAGGGGGCGAGAGCGGCCGTCCTGCATCGATCATGGACTCGAAATCGTAGCAGATGGTCTCGATGTCGGCGAGTGTGTACCCGCCAACGAGCTCGGTGTCGTCCTCCAGCTCCTTGCTGAATATGGCAATGTCGGCCTCCTCCACCGGCTCCGGGACCAACAGCGACACCAGGCTTTTGGCTTCGGCATCCTGTATCTTCTGGCGCGTCGTTCCTGCCGCCGGGCCGGGTATCCGAAAGGCCTTCTCCTGGTCAACGTCGAGGTCGAGGCTAAGCTTTGTGGGGGCCAGTGGTTTTGGAGCGCGCTGCGCCTTCTTTCCGACCCAGGTGGCCTTCTTGGGGGGCAGCAACCGGTTCCAGTCGAAGTACGTTCCAGTGTCGAAGCTAGGCCAGACAGACCTGACAAGCTCGGGCTCTGTCTGCGCGACAGCCGGGATGTCCGGGTCTTGGTTCAACGAGAAGTCGGCCTGGGGGAAGTTGATGTCGAAGTCACTGGGCTGTGGGCGGGACGCCTCAACATCAGCACCGACTTGAACATCAGCACCGACTTGAACATCAGCACCGACTTGAACATCAGCATCATCCGGAGCCGGGCCCGAGTCTTTGACATCAGCCGCGTCCGCCGGCTCCGCGATAGGCGAGGGTGGCGCGCCCATCTGCAGAGGCGAGGACTCACGATCATCGCCCTCGCCCCACAGGTCGTCGGCATCGTTGCTCGTGCCGCCGTCGTCGGTGAGGCCGGGGATGTCGGTGGAGGCGGGGGGTCGGGCGGCGCTCGCGCCTTCCTCCTCGGGGAGTTCGTCGTCGCTCAAGTCCTCGAAGTCCTGGGCGTCGTCGGCCTTGCCGGACTGGTCGAACTGGTGGTCGTCGTCGGGGAGCTGGATGCCGCCGCCGCCGGACAAGCCTTCGACCTGGCCCTGGAAGAAGCGCTGCATCTCCTCCTCGTCCAGCCGGTCCTGCCGCTCCCAATCCTTGTCATCGCGCGGCAGCATGGCGACGTCCTCGTCCTTTACGGACACCTTCGTCTCGGCCTGCGCCATGGTTGCGGTGCCGCGGTTGGTTGCGCGGCAGGGTCAAGCGTCTCTCCTCCTCACTTCCTGCGACGGGGTCCGCGCGAGGCGTTGGATGTGGATCAGGTCATAGTTTGTTCGCGCGATTGGCGGTTGGCGGGTGACGTGAATTCGCAGGCTAGGTGAGGGATGGGTTCGCTGGTCGCGATGCGGGTTCGATCGAGTCGCGCGGGACGGCAGGTATTGTACAGGTCGAGGTCAGTGCAGGTCGTCAGAATCTCGGAAATCCAATCGCTGAGCTTCGCAGGGCTCGTTTGCCGTAGAAATAGTCAGAAGGGGCGCGGGAGGAGGAAAGATGCTGAGTGCAGCCAAAAGACGAAGCAAAAAAAAAGAGGCGTCGTACCGGATTCACGCAAACTCAAGGTTGAACGTGCCAAAGTTCCAGGCGGCCGCCACAGGTGCAATCGCGACCTGGTGCCTGAGGCAACAAGCCCAGTGTGCGGAGTGGCAGCCCGGAAGAGCGGGGAACTGCCGAGTCAGTCACAGCCTCAAAGTGCTCTGACAGTGAGTCGGGACCATCAACCTTCCAGCATTGAGTGGCGCTCTGAGGTGACTTCACATTCGTGGTCTCTGTGTCCTCTGCAGAAACTGAAATGGAATAATTGCTCCCGCGAACAAACCAAATGCAGAGCGCGCGTCATGGCATCACGAATTGCGCTCACTACACCTACCGCTGCCGCAGATCAAGGTTGCGTTGTTCATGCCGCTCTGCTTAGACAGCCACGTGCTCGGTCCACTGCGCGGTTGACCATTGTGTGTAGTTTGGAGAAAGCATCGCAAATAGCAAGCAAAGACTAAACCCAGTTGCACATCCACGACACACTAACCATGCCAAACGGCGGCACCAGCCGAGGGGAAATCATGGTCGGGACCACGACAGCGGTTTGAACAAAGTGTTTTCTATACAAGTAGCAAGTACTAAAATCTAACATGCCTGCGGGTTTGTGAGATGCGACCTTTGAGCAATTGGAAGATTCAGATGTGAAAATTGTAAGATGACGTAGTAGCCATCCTTTTCCTTTTGAACGCCTCCCTTCCAGTTACTTTTCCCACATGTTCCAACCAGTCCCGTCCGTCTAATCGTGTCGGCATAAGAGAAAAAACAACAAATCATCTACCAACACATCACACGGGAAGTATAACCACAGAAGAAGATGGTGAAAACAAGGAGCAGAGAGATCAGAAAAAAAAGGCAGTGAAAGAGAAAATGAAGAGGAACTCCACCGAAGGGACCAAAAGCAAGACAAAGGGCATCATTAGAGGTACCCTGGAACCCAGCACGAGGCGTGACATAATTCCAAAAAGGAAATACAAGAAAAACCGACAAAGAGCAACATGTACTTTTGGTTAACAACACAAACGGGGGTCGCTTCAATGCATCCCGTCTCTCTAGGCCCCACACGATTTGTCGTGAGTCCTTGGGCGTCTCTTCCCAGCAATGTGGGAAGCTCTGGGTTTGGGGATATTGCCAGTCTATAGGGGGATTAGTGTGGTGCGGTGGGAAGGGCCGTGGGTATCTTTCGGAGGGAACGCCGCTCAACTCAAATGCAGCAGGGAAGGGGACGAGAAATAAACACTGAAGGAGGTGAGGGGCGCTTGATGGAAATGCAAGTGATGCAGAGGCGTAACATGAGCGGCATGTTTGGTGCCAACCTGACGTCCCGCCCTACCCTTAGAGCATAGACTCTTCGCCAATGTTGGGCAGGTTGTGCAAGCCTAGGCTGAGAGCGGCGAGCTGGTTCGGGTTGAGCGATGCCGCCGCTGCCGCGACCGCCAGGGCGTTTTGGTGTTGCAGTTTGAGCTCAGGGTCGCAGAGGGGCGAGTGCGCCTTGTGCTGTTGGTGGGGGTGACGTGTCAGCGATCGGCCGGTAGAGTAGGCAAGGTAGGATACTCGATACTTACGTATTTCAGCCCGTTGAGGTTCTTGTACCGCTTGCCGCAGACCTCGCACTTGAATGGCTTCTCCTTCTCCATACCCATGGTGCCGGGATAAGGAGCTGATGTCTCGGGGTTAACGATGGAGAATGTGCCGTCTCCATTCTCGTGCAACTGCTGTGTCGCGTGTCCGTGGGTCTTGTGGTATCTGCAGAGAAACGACGGCGGGTTAGTTCCTGGTTGGATGGTGACGACATGCAGGCTGGCGTAGGGGAAGAATTGACACGGGACTGTGCGGGCCTCCTCATCCGACGAGGCCAACCAGAGGTGCAACGTACTTGAGACCGTTTTGGTTCTTGTAGGCCTTTTCACAGCCGATGACGGGGCACTTGTAGGGCTTGTTCTCCTCAGGCATCATCATTTCCCTCATGTGCTGCAGCAGAGCCTGGGCATCGGTCCCCGGGGGTAGCTGCTCGATGTTGAACGCTGCCAGTTGCTGTTGTAGCAGCCGCTGCTGGGCGAGTTGCTGCTGTTGCTGTTGTGCCTGCTGAGCCTGAGCCTGGGCCTGCTGCGAATTACCCCCGTTCGGGCTGTAGAGCCGCTTTCCAGGATCCTGTATGCAGTTCAGGTTGGCGGCGTCAAACCCGAGGCCGAACTGGCCGCCGTTGAGGTTCATATTGCCCAGATTCATCTGCATTGGCATGCCCGGGATGTCCTCATCCATGTCCTCGGCCGAGGGGAAAGCGCCGCTCTGACCGAACTGAGATCTCGAAGCAACACCCTGATGGGTGGTGAGAGTCGGCGTGTTGACGGACGACACTGTCGGGTCCTGGAAGCCAAAGTTGGCGGCCGAGGGCGTCGTCGGCTGCGGGGTGCGCAGGCCCTGGTGGGCAAGTCCGGGTGAGCCGTTCAACTGCAGCTGCGGGCGCTGTTGCTGGCCAAACATTTGCCGGGCTTGCTGCATGGAGGTGGTTGACCTCTGGTTGCTGCTGCTGCTGTCGTCCATGTCCATGATGCCGACGGGGTCGTCCATCTCCATATCGCCCATGGCGTCGAGATGGTCGTCTAGCTGCAACATGAGCTTTGAAGGAATGGGCTGGACTCCCTGTTGATGCGCTTGCCTTTGTTGCGGCTGCTGCTGCTGCTGCTGTTGTTGCTGGCGCATCATCTGCTGGATACCGCCCAGATTCATACCTCCGCCCGGGGCTGCGCTGGCAGCCAAACCGGAGGCCGTTCTAGGCTGCTGGCCAAGCTGGGTCGGCGGCTGGCCTAGACGGCTGGCCTGCTGGGCCGCGCCGAATGCTGATGCAGAGGAGACTCCCCGAGCAGATGACGCCTTCAAACTATGCTGGCCAGCTGAAAGCTGGGAGCCATTCCGCGCAGGCGCCGCCACGCCAGTGTGACTCTCCTCGTAGTGGGTAAGGAGGTCATGCATGGTCGGCCATGTCCTGTCACAGCACGTGAAGTCGCGCATGAAGTTCGCCTCAAGCTTCGGGATGTACGAAGAGGAGTGAAGTGATGGGGACTGATGCGCCGGGTACGGCGAAGTTCCTGTCATCTGAATTCTGTTGTTCCCATGCGTAAATAGATCATCAGTCAGCCATCGCATTATGCAAGAGAGAGGTTGCGCTATAGACGGGCGGGCCCTAGACCGCAGCCCACGTATGTGGGGGAATAGGGGAGGATGGTGTGCATTTTTGTGTAGGGGGTACTGAAGCAAGAACGGCATGGAGCATGGGCAAGACAGTGACAACTATGTGACTGAAGTGCCCGTTCCGGCCTAACGCTTGGCGCGAGGGAGAGGTGAGGCAAGGGTGCTGATGAAACATAAAAGAGGGAGAAATTGGAAAAGAAAAAAAAGGAGGGGTCCAGGGAAACCACAGATGAGAAGAACAAGGGATGAGATCAAGAAAACAAAAGTTGGCGCTTACTCGTCTCTGATAAAACTGCTCACGGACAGGCCTCCCCAGCTCATGCCTCCCATCAAGCTGCCGCCGAAGCTCTCCCGCCGAGGCCGGTTGTCGGCGGCGCGATTGGGGTTGGCCATGGAGATGGGCTTGGGGCCGGCGCTGACGAAGGAGTCCTGACGACTGCGGCCCATGGCCGAGTCGACGGCGCCGGCAGTCATTTCGGCGGGCGGGTGCGCGAAGAGGTCGGCGTCGAGGAGGATCACGTCTTGGTCGTCGTCGAGGGAGCGATTGTGGCCAAAGGGCACCGATGCGGAGGGCAGCGACTCACGGAGCGACGAGAGCGCAAACGAGGGTGATTGCGAAGTGATGTCGATGGGCTTCGTGGCCTCGGCCTTGTGGTGGTGGTGGGGGTGGTCGACGTTGGCGACAGGCGACCTGGGGGTGGCGGGCTGCGGAGAGGGCGACGCCGATGGGGTGGATTGATGGAGCGACGGTGAGAGGGAGCGGGATGGAGGAGGGCGACCGTCGTTATTAGGTGACGCACGATAACGGTTAATGCTATGACTATCGGCTGCCGCAGCGCTGGGTCGGGCTCCGCTATTGCTGACGCTGCTGGGCCTGGGACTGGGACTGGCGCTGCTGGAGTTGGCGCCGCTGGGGCTGGCGGTGGCCACTGCTGAGGACGAGCCCTGGCCAAACGGGGCCTCGGTACTTGCGCCAAACCAACCACGGAGCGCGCCTGTCACCATAGTGCGGCCTAGCTGGGGGGTGTTGCAGGGTGGTGCGAGGGGGTGTGCGGCGTGCCTGGGTCAAGTGCTGTTCGTCCGAGGCAAGGCAGCTGGCGGCGTCGAGTCGAGCCCCGGGCTGGCTCACGAAGCGGTCGAAGAGGACTCGGGGGGGGATTTGGAGAGGGAAGTGATGTTCTCTAAGCAAAGTAGGTAAACACGTAAATAGTATGGGTAGTACGGTGGAAGAATAGTGGTGGTCGAGGGACCGGGCAAACAGCCCGCTTTCAATGCCGTCGACCGAGCCCAAGGTCTAGCTTGGCCGGTGGGTTCGTGGGAAGGGGGGTGCCTCGAAAACCCGTTGGCTTCGACTGGGTAGGCAGGCCTTTTGTTGGCGATGAATGACTGAGTCGGGCGAGGGTTCCCGTTTAAGTCCCCGTTTGCAACTTCCGTTTGCCTGGGCTTGCCTGCTAGGCTCAGCGGTGTAAGTCAATGACTAATGTGGCAATCACGTCTCGCTAGCCCGGGTCAGGGAAGTACTTACCGGAAACTCGTGGAGCGGCAGGGAAGCACAGGCACGCTTTCCCAACCTACGTGGTACAGTACTGTAGACGGGAGACGAGGACTCGGGCGCTCTCGGGAGTGGCGGGATGGCTATCGCGCCGGGAGGACCTTGGGCGGTGTTGCTGCTGTCGCCGCTGGAATTCACAGCTCCTGTCGGCTCGTGATAGAGCGGGCTGTTGGTGATCCTTTGGTGTCGCCGTGCGCGTCTTCGTTATTGGCCGCTATCCGTCGCTGCCGCGTTTCTCCTGCAAGTCGTGGCGAGACACGTCCAATCTTGGCAATCCCGGAGGTGCCGAGCGAGATGGTTGAGAGACACTTTCACAATACGCACTGGCAAGTGGGAAAAAGATGCAAGGTAGGTTAGGTAGCAAGCAGACAGGGAGATGGATGTAGGTCGCCGCGAGACACTACACCAGAGAAGCAATAGAGCACCGTGTCTGTGTGTACTTGTCGAGATCAAGCACAGTCAAGTAAACGGCCCGGCCAAGTAGGACCAGGGTGAGAGAAGACGAGGACGAGAACGGAGGCACGGGCGAAGAGCGACGCGCGACTGTCCAAGTATCTACGCAGGAGGTGGGAGAGGTGCAGTTGCAGATCGATGTAAGCCCAGAGGTCCAGGGCATCAGGGCATCAGGGCAATATTACGGGTTGAAAAGGTGCCCGCCGGGGGAAGGGGAATGGACGGGTGGGTTCGGGGGGCGGCTCGAGGGTGAGGATAAACCGCATCCACAAAACGCAACACGATCCATGTGCCGGCTTGGCCCAGTTCATGGGCCCAGGTGCTCGCCCTTCTAATCGTGCGTCTATCTGGTTTACTTTCCCACCTGGTGTCGGGGCTGGGGGGTAGGGCACTGCGACGAACGGCGGCGCGGAAGCTGGGGACTCCCTTCGACGGACGCGAGCGAGCTGGATGCCACGTTTTGCACGAGAGGGGTGGCCGGCCTGGCGTTCGTTGCCTCTTGTCACTCTGTCAGGATCCCCAGAGCGGCCTTATTCTGGACTCTTGTCCGCTGTCTGTCCGGCCGTGTTTGCACATGCACGACACACAAGGACGCTACGGATACGTGGGATGCGCATCGCGCCTGGCGCCACCCATGTAGCGCCTGCTAGAAGGCTGTCCGACCGTGGCTTGAGGTCTGCCTCCACTGCGCGTGGAAAGGTGGAAAGGTACCTTTTTTTTGGCTGGCACGGCTTGGTATTCACACGGTAGACAGGTTGAGGCACACAAGGCCTGACCAATGGCTGAGCAGGTATTAAATCGATAATATCCTTGGTTGCCAGACCCCCCGCCCGCACCATGATCCCGTTTGCCTACCGCCGCAACCTTCTTGCACGCCCCTAGTCCAGCCACTCTGTGCATCCCTATGTTTGCTTTTCCCCGGGGGACTCATGCGTGCTTCTGGAGAAGTAACCACTCTAGAGGACCACGGTTTAAAAGAGCGCCTCCTTCTGTTGGCCTCCCGTGTCCATGACAGCTACCCAGGTCCTCTCACGGCTTGTTCGTCCGTACACAGTGCCGTAGACTGGTGCGGGCTCGCCAGCATCTTGTGGAGACCCTAGTAGCCGCCTATCTGAAGTGCTTGGACGGGCGACGGGGTAACCCCGGTCGTGGTGACGGTCGGTGTATTTCGCAAGGCGCTGCGAGGGGGGGCTGGCTTGATGCTCTACGACATCAATGCCTGTTCCTGTCCCCATTACTTCCGAAAATGGAGATGCCGACCACGATCGGTTGGCATTGGCCCCCGGGTTTTCCGACGGACCAAGGCTCGAGGAGATGGGGGGAGACGAGCGGCGGCCTGATGACGAGAGGGCAAACAAAACGCGTGGTCATCAACAAGGGCATGCGAGCGGCGCTCCCTGCTGCTGTCGTTTCCGATCGTGTGCCAGCTCCAGGCCAGTCCCCAAAGTCACCTCCACACCATCCTCCTCTTCCCTCCTGGTCGACCCCACGCTCGCCTGCACAATATGGCGCCCTCCACTGTCTTCCCACCCCAGACGGCCCTGCACATGTCATCGCTCTCGCATGCTTTTTTTTTTTTTTTTTTTTTTCGGAGACGGCGAGCGACAAAATCATGGGCCCCGGGGCAAGCAGCGACAGAATCTCAGATGCAGTCATTTTTTGACTTTGACCGGTTCCCTTTGCGATACATTCTTTGACGCACATTACTCCGCATATGCACAGTCGAACGAGTCCCTGCCGCAGACCAGAACTCTGCCCTCTGTCGTGATCAAACTTCACCTCGGACGAAGCATATCCAGCCCAGCACCGATGACGGGTGGGCTCAGTCGAGAGATGTTTTGCCCACGTCTCTTGCCTGCCTGCCTGTCCGCATGCCTGTTGTGTCTACCTGGCTGCCCGCATTACCTGCCTGTGCCTACCTGATGTGGTCTGGGCGTCCAAGGAGAGGGGGGGTCGCTGGGGTTTACTGGGTAGGGAGCCCAAACACGCATCCGCAAGGCCGGTACCATCAACTTACCACAGCAGCAGCAGCAGTACCACCACGGTTGCAAGGAGGCCGGGGCGCTTGACGTATGTGGGCGCCGCATCGCATCCACCTCAACCTCCTGCTTGACTCGATGGCGCACCTGTCGCGCGCGCAAAAAGGGCCAAGAAACGCGTGGCGGGAACTCTGTTGGCTCCGCTCTGATCCAGCCTGTCAGGATGCATCGAAACCACCACCCGCAACTTGGTGACCGGTTTTCCCGCTGTCCAGTTTAATGGCGCGCGGTACTCAACAAAGCCGCCCCGCCGCGGCGACATGCCCGATGCCCATCCAATGCCGTACAGTAGGCGTCGCTTCTCCGTTCAAACAGGGGCAGGAAACCACCTCGAGGGGGAGAAGCTGCGCGTGACCATGAGGGCAACAGAAGGACCGAACCCCCACGCGGATGGACTTGCTGGATGAATCAAGTTGACTTCTAGGTTGGGTCTCACTGCTAGTAGGCCAAGTCGCGGTGTAAATGGGGATGAGCGGTAGCGGTTGAGTCATACCGTATAGCGTCCTCAAAGCATGATCACCATGCAGCCACCAACATCCCACACACACATTAAGGTGCACACTTACACACACACGCGCGCGCCACATGAAGGAGTAACCGTGCCCTCACACTCCAAGAACCACTCGAGGGCCCGGACCTACTACAGTAAGCTCAGACGGTTCGATTTTCCCTGCATGCTACCCTTCGGCGATTTTCCCTGTATGGACTGCACGCGGGCCTTCTTCCTAGTACCTACATAGAGCGCGACGCGAGGCATGGAGCGAGAGAGGAACAATACATAATACATCGGCGGCACTGCGACACAGACAGAGGTGCCACTTGGAGAATCCAACGCAGCAACGCACATGTCGATGTCACCCTCACATCCAAACGACCCTCCCTTCCTCCCTGTCCTGCAGGATCCGCCAAATTCGACAGCACCCGTCGTCTCTCGGGTTTTAACCGCCCTGGCAGCGTTTCTTGAAGAGGTGACCCGGCTAAATGACTCGGGCGTGCGCGTTCTCTCTCTCTCTCTGCATCATCTCCCTGCGGCCAGGTGTGCATGCAGAAAGACATGCCCGTTTCTGTAGGTTAGGTATCCATCTGCACAGTACGGCATGCACCTTTGATTAGAGGGTCCAGAAGATTGTGTGGGCCGGCGAGGTGGGCGGGTGGTGGCTCGCTGTTCTCTACGAGCTAGGTCACAGAGGCCACAGAGCAGCTCTCTCACTCTCTCTCACTGTTTTTGTTGTCTTTCCTCTTTCCTCTTTCCTCTTTCCTGTATGCCGAGCTTGCAGGGGGGAGGGCCGGACGGAGGTGACGGGGCGGTTTCTCAACGGTCCTGACGATTGGTCCCGAGAGGTCTGCGCGGGCAGGGGTGCCCCCATGCAAATCGGATGGGAAAGCCGACGAGGCTCCACGGCTCTGTGGGCTCTGTGGGCTCGGTGGGCTCTGTGGGAACGTCCATTTCGGGAAGAGTGATGTGACCAGCCCTCTCTTCTCTCTCTCCACCGCATTGGCGAGCCGGGCCAGCCCACCAAAGCGAGCGGGCTCTCACTCTCGTGTATATGCGGTTGCGGTTGCGGTTATGGTTGTGCCTGCGGGATATTCGCAGGAGGTCGACAAGTGCGTCAACGAGGTGGGCTGGGACTTGGCTGCGGGCTCGCAAACGACACTGTGGATTCGAGTTCCCTTTTTTTCTCCAGGTGTGCGTCTTGTTTGATTTCGCCTGGATGCAAGTCGACGGTGGTGATTGGCGGCTTAGTTTCCTACCATTCTTCACATACCCGCTTGTACATTGGGCACCTACCTCCCTCTTTCTGCTCAGCAACTCGAACTGCTCCTGTGTTCCATCTCAACCGCCTGTCGATACAACACATGACGCTTCGTCCCCGGCCGGCCGGGGTCCACGACAGCCTCATAAGGCAAGCAGTCGGGCAGGGAAGGATAAACAAATAAGCACAAAGCCCACAGCCTGATCGACTTCACCGCCATGTGATCACGATCCATATTTCTAAAATGGGAGTTATCAAACGCCAAGGCTCACCTTTGGCTGGGGCGCAAAGGCTGTGGAGCGATACAGGGCAACTCTCGTCATGCCACGCTCTGAATCCTTGAGCGCTGTCGTGCTCGAGCGATGGGGGAAAGGAGGAGGCGAACTCCACCAAGCTTGTCACGGGCACACAATTGAGGAGCAAAAATAACAAAGGTTCATCAACAGAAAAAGAATAATAAAAAAGAAGCCCACCTCGTTCCGACAACATGGCACTTGGGTCGCCCATAGGGCGGATAGCAGAGCCCCTCCAAAACGGGGACCTTTCCAGTTTCGGTCTGCTGGCCGACGTGTTTGCAGCAGAACGGGAGACATCACCCGAGTCAAGGGGTGGTGATCGGAGTTAGCATGAAGGCACTGCAAATCTCCCGAGGGGCGCTATGTTCTGTACACAGTAGATCCGGGTCTTGTTTGCGCGTGCCAGTCGTTGAGAGCTAGACGCGGCTAGGTGGTTTTGCCTTGATGAAAAAAAAAGGCCCTTTAATCTCCGAGTCGACCACCAGCCAGCCGTGCTTCCCGTCCGATGTGGACAGCGCCCGCCCCAGAAGCCCGTTTCTGGCCGCGTCCCATCGTTCCACCGCGCACGCCCACTTTTGACGAGTCTGGACGGACGCTGACGTCCCTGCCTACCATGTGACTGGTTGTTGGAGAGCTGAGCTTGCTGTCCGATCCCGGACGGCAGTCAAATCAAAGCAACCTGACCAATCGAGATTGTCGTTTGGAATTGAAAAAAAAGTGCTCACACACACACAAACAAACTCACTCACACGCTCACACGCCCCCACCGAAGCAGCATTGGACCCCTGGACCCTGAGCGCAGCGTGGCAGCCAACAGTTTCCAGAATTGTTCTAGAATAAGTGTGAAATGAGAGCCTTGGCGCCCGCTCACCCACCCAGCGCGAATCCGGATATTTGGGGGCGCCTCGAGCTAGGTACGGTGTATGTCACAGACACGGTGTTCCCTGCACGAGAGTAGGGTAGGGCACAGGCGGTGAGGATTATGCCCAGGGATATCTGTTCTATAACGCCGGCAGTGCAGGCATCTGGGAGCTGGCGACCTGCCGCGCTGTCAAACTCGTATCCGGGCTGACCGTCTCGACGCTTGCCGGCGCGCACCAGCTAGACCCGTCGGGTAGCCTTGATGAGGGCTGGCTCAAGAGCCGGTCACGAGCATCGGCATCATGCCGATCCCTCACCGGGTGCCAGCAAGGCTGTCGGTCGACAGGTATCCATAGCGTGTCTGGATTATACGGACACGACAGGTATTTCACTGTGGGGTTGGACATGTGAGAGCCAACCCCCCCATTTTGTCCGTTTCCTCTCCGAGCCCCAATTCCGCTCACTCGCGCTCACTCCCAGGAGAACTCCTGCTCTGGCATGGATGCTGCTGCTCCATGCGACACACCGAGGCTCTGTCCTCAGGGCGGCTCACCTGGCGCCCGGTTTGTCACTGCATCCACGAAGCAGAGTTATCCAGATGTGCAGATTAAGCTATACGGGGCATGCAGCCTTGGCAACCTTCATTACTCGCTGCCTGCTCCGGGACAAATAAACCCCCGATGTCATGGGCTCCTGGGCGCCGGTCGGGCCTGTACTCTCCCCGTAGACACGCCTGCTGCTGTTGCTGCTGCTACTGCTAGTCATGGCCTGCTGAGACAGACCTGCCAGAATCGGGAAGCAATTCGGGCCCAGGACCTCCAAGGAACGGAACACGTATATACATGGTTCCCGGCTCCTTGGGGTGCGTGCTCGGGCGTACGTAAACGCTCCGTTTTCCTTGGAGGGGAAATCGATGTGCCCGGGCTTGGCGGACGGTAATGTCCCGGTCCGATGTGATTTCGCCTAACACAAATGGCTCGTGTGTGGGACGTGAGCAAACCGCCCCCCTGCTCCCCAAGCGCCAGGGGGAGTCCACCGCCAAAACCCTTGCATGGCCGACAGGGCGCAAGCCCAAGCCTGCTCGGGGTTTGATGGGCCAGGGTTTCAGCAATGACATAATAAGCCCACGCAAGGCGAGGGAAAAAGAGGGTTGGGCGCATCTCCGAGGCGGCTGGTTCCGGTTTTCAGCGTGCCATCGGAGGGTGGACGACCCAGCCAGGGCCATGCACGTACATGATGGCGAGGGCGCTTGCCTGCCGAGGTGGTTGGTGGTGGTAGATGATGCTACTGTGCAGTCTCAACTGTGTGGGAAGGGGGCGGGTTTTTGAGGTGGCATCGGCACGCAAGCAGCAAGGCATCCCCCACCTGCGTGTGCTTTGCATCGGCGACTGTGGACGAGGGACAGAAGGGCCTGGACCCTGGGGGGATGGAAGAGGGAGCAAAAAAAGGTATATTTTACTTTTTTTTGTTTGGTTCCTGCATATCCAACTCCAACAAGCCCCTTCCCATTGTGGCAAGGAATAGACAGAAGGCTTTTCCGGCTGACAGAGTATATCGAAATAACAAGCTCTCGGGCCGCCGGCTGACACCTCTGTAGCTGCACGATGCGGGCCTTGTTTGATAAAGCAGACTTTCTGCCCCCGACTCATAGGCAGTCCTGGCGGCCGATCGGATCGTGAGAGGTGTGGTGCATGTCGAGATCGGCTGGCTGGGTCTGTGAGTGACGCCCCTGCTGGAGATGCAATGCCGAAGTGGCCTCCTGTCCCCGCATCCCGCATTATCGCCTACGCAGAATAGAGACCTGCCATCTGGGCAGGCACCTAGGTTCGCAGGACGTGCTATCGGCCCAGGGGGACGAGTGATGTCTCCATCGGCATATAGTAAGCCACACTCGGACCGGGCTCGGTGGCGGTCGCCGTTGCTTTCGACCCGGGGAGGCCGGCCGAGGTTTACTCCCTATTACCTATTACTCAGAGCGAACGTATGGGTTGTGGTTGGCTGGGGCTTCTCAGCCACAGGGTGCTTCGTAGGGGAGGCGGCAGTCGCCGGATTTAAATCGGTGTCTGGAGCTGAGAAAACGGCGCACGTGCGGGGCTCTGCGGCCCAGGTCAGATCCCGAAAAATCGTGCAATCATGGCCTGACGTCTAGTTACGAGTATTCCCGAGAAGTCGCGAGTTGGCGTCACCTAGACAGAGACTTGTCTGCATTTCGAGTTGCGCAAACCACGACCGGCGTTGGCCACTGCCCTGGAGCCTCAAAGGCAAGTTAGAATATATTAGACTCGACTTCCTCGCTCGTGCTGGGTGGGTTTTTGTTCCTCCCAGTCATCATCATCACGCCATTGGCAGCTCATCTAGCCGCGGCACCTTCCATCTCTTTCTCCATCACTGACATCATCAGCTCATCAGCCTTGCGAAGCACCACAAATCTCAACACAACGCAAAGGACACAGTCATAACCGCCAAGGCAACACTTAGCTGGACCTATCCCAGGCCTGCAATAGCACAATCGCAACACACAACCCACCTCGCCCCTGTCGTAAACCCGCGCGCGACGACCCCCTCACCCCCTACTTCACCTAGTCTCGGGCGCACAAAGGGTCCCAAAACAGCAATCATGAAGATCATCAGCAAGGAGGAGGAGGACGCCCACTACAAGGCCACGGTCAAGGGCGGCCTGATCGGCGGCGCGGCCGGGCTGGCGGTCGGGCTGGCGGGCGTCATGGCGGCGTCGAGGCGCTACGCCGGCTTCCGCGTGCTGACGCTCCCCTTCCGCTCCTTCCTCGTGACCTCGGCCGGCACCTTCGCCGCCATCACCATGGCGGAGCGCGAGTCCATCGCCTTCGCCAAGGCCAAGGACCCCATGAACTTTTACAAGGATGAGGCCACGCGCACGCTCGAGGACATACGCGCGCGCGAGGGCAGGACCAAGCGCGCCATGGAGTGGGGGCGCGAGAACCGCTACACCATCGTCTTCGCCTCGTGGCTCGCCGCCATGGGCGTGGCGCTCGCCATCGTCAACCGCAACCGCTACCTGACGTCGGCCCAGCGGCTGGTCCAGGCCCGCGTCTACGCCCAGGGCCTGACGCTGGCCGTCCTCATCGCCACGGCCGCCTTCGAGACGGCCGACGCGAAGTCGGGCAAGGGCCGCTGGGAGACGGTCCTGGTTGTCGACCCCAACGACCCGGAGCACAAGCACCTGATCGAGAAGAAGATCCACAGGGAGGAGTACGAGGGCCAGGATCTGTGGATGGGTGAGTCTTTTCCATACCCGGAGAGAGAACCCGGTTCCGTCTTCTTGCTGCAATGCGCGACTGTAGCTGACACACATCTCAACATCACAGACATGGTTGCTGCCGAGGAGCGCAGGCTAGAGGCCCAGAAGAACTCCCAGAAGAAGAGCGCTGCCTAGGAAGTGGCCAAGTCCCGGGTTACAGAGACCTCTACAAAGTGAAACTCCTTTGAGGCGGGAGATCTCCTCTCTCCAAGCCGCAATACTCTTTTCTGACACTTTTGGAATGCCTTGACTGCCGAAGCAAAAAGAATATAGAGAGCAGGGCGTCCAAAGACGACATGGCCTGGCAGGATAAAACCACAGGCACCAAACTCGGAATGTGGTATGTATATATTAAGCAAGCATTGCTGGCGTTTGGGACGGGCTGTTTATGGGTTGTAGACGGATCGGCAGCATTTCGTTGTATGGCTTATACAGTATTTATAAACTCTTTGATACACAAGTGGGCGGTTATCATTACTTTGAAGTGGAATCTATACACATCACTGGCTTTAAACGTAATCATCTGTTCCAAATACGTCGCGCTGAGGCGTGAGCTGACCATATTAGTATTGTCGGATCAAAGTGCGCTACTTTCCCTGACGGTGAAGAACACTGCTAAATACCTGTCAAGGCCGGAACCTCTGTTCACTTGGCACAGTCAACGAGATCCTCGGCTTCAAGGAAAAGAAGACGGAAATGATGGCATGTGTTGAGAAAAATAACATATCCTGTTCTGCGCCTGCCGCACTTCTATGATTTTCCAAAAGTCTGCCTCCCACGCCGTCAACCTATCCAACTACCGAAATGAAAGTGATACGACCCTGGCAAACCACCCTTTCCAATCTACCTCTCCGCCCTCCCTAGGCATATCTTTGATCGTTCCTGCGTGTTTCCTCGCCGACATGCGGCAGGTATACATGGCTTGCTCTGATCATGGTTGTGTGGGCAGGACCATGGCTCTTGTCGTCACCTGCCCTGGCCCGCCCCCCCACCCTCTCTTCCCATATCGCCGGCACCAGCGCTACACTTCTATGCTAAAGTGGCTGATTTGTGAAAAGTAGGCGTGGACGGCGAGCTCCAGCACCCAGACCTCGCCAAACACCTCGCTGCCGTCGAAGCCCCCTATGACGAGGAGGCGGCTGTCGTGGAGCACGGTGCCGTGGTACCCCCTGCCGCTAGGCGGCAGGCCGTAGACGCGGCGGCGGTCCCACGTCATGGTGACGAGGTTGAGCAACAGGACGTCGTTGGAGTACTCGTTGCCGTCGTGCCCGCCGACGACGAACAGGTAGCTGCCCACGATGGTGGCCGTGTGGGACAGGCGCCGGTGCGTGACGGGGATGGGGCCGGAGCGCCACTGAGAGTTCTCGACGTCGTAGACCCACACGTCGTTGAAGCACTCGCCGCCGTCGGACCCGCCAAAGATGATGAGCTTACCGCCCACCATGTTGGCCGTGTGGTAGCCGCGCGCCTTGGGCCGCAGGTCCCTGCTGCTGCTCGGCGACTTGCCCCCCGTCCCGCTGGCCGGCGACGTCTCCGTCGACGGCCCGCTCACCAGCCTCCACGACATCTTGTTCATGTCGCTCACGTCGAGCCGCCAGATGTCGTTGAGCGCCCGGACGCCGTCGCCGCCGCCGAAAACGTAGATGCCATTCTTGTACAGGCAGGCCGTGTGGGCGCGCCGCTTGCTCGGCACGCGGTCGCCGACGATGCGCGGCTTGCTCCAACGGAAGTTGACCGTGTCGAGCACGTGCACGTCATTGTAGTAGGCCGGGCCGTCGCCGCCGCCGAATATCACGAGCTTCTTGCCGACCGCGGTGCACGTCATGGCGCGTAGCGGCACAGGTATGTCGCCGACCACGTGTGGGATGCTCCAGTGGAACGAGTCAGCGTCCAGAACGTACAGCTGGTTGAAGCATGCGCGCGAGTCGCAGCCGCCAAACACGAAGACGTTGGAGCCCACGAGCGTTGTCGTGTGCGCCCGCAGTGCCGTGTGCCCGGTTCCGCTGATTGGTGCGCGACTCCAGTACATTCCTGAAGCGGGCGCCGGCGGCACGTCCGGGGCCGTGCTAGGGTCTATTAGGGGCGGGAAGTCGGTGCGGGTCGCCGTGGGCGCGGCTTGGTGGTGGCGGCTGCGACCACTGGAGCTCCCGCGGGTGGTGCCGTCCCTGCGGACGCTGGAGGCGGCCGACGCCATGCCAGAGGACGTAGAGGGCGCCGTCCCTGAGGGCCCGGCCGTCGAGGTCGTGACCGATCCCGGGCCGCCGGGCTTGGAGGCGATAGCCGAGGTGGACCGCAGACCTGGTGTCCTCCGGCTCGCGGCCGAGACTATGTGCTCCTTTTCAAGGGCCGGGGCATCGTGGCGGTCGCGGGAGGGCGCCGAGGTGGCGGGTGAGTGGTCACTACTGCCGTTGAGCCCGCCGTTGGATCTGTGCGGATGCAGGAGGGAACGGGACGAGGTCGGGGTGGCGGTTGCGGTCGAGGGGGTGGTGACGGGCAGCAGCGTCGTTTTGCCCGTCGATGCCGACGAGGGCGGCACGCTCGAGGGATGTGACGGGGAGATGGACTGGTTGGATGCGGGCTGGGACTGTGAGCGCTGGCGGAGTGACAGTTCAGATGGCTTCCGCCGCCTGTCGTGGTTCTTCGTTGCGAGGTGGCCAGGGGTATGGGAGCGGGGAATGGGGGGTGCGGTGTCCATGGCATCGACCTCGTCGCCGTCGTCCTCGACCGCCTCTTCTTCTCCCTCTTCTTCCTCCTCCTCGTCGTCCTCTTCGTCTTCGTCTTCTTCGTCGTCGTCGTCGTCGTCTTCGTAAAGGGTCGTTCCGTAGCGTCGATTAGGGTCGACGGGAGAGACGACAGTGGTTATCTGCTGTGACCTGACAACTTTGTGTACGTTGGGCGGAGAGCGGACGGACTGGGCTGGGGCGGATTGGCCATGCCTGCTGGCTTGATCAGCCATTGTGGCTGTCCGGGCATTTCTCCCTGCCGAAAAGGCAGCAGCGAAGACCCCGGACCAGAGACCACTTGTCAGCCGGCTCGGGTTGCCAGACGGAGATGGACGGCAATGCAAGAGGGGTGTGCGCTGGGCCTGACGCGGGCTCTGGGAAGGGCGCTCGCAGCCGTTTCGAAACCACAGGGGCTGGAGGGGCCAAGACGGAAGCGGAAGAGAGAAGCACGGCGAGTGCAGGCGAGTGCAGGCGAACGAGGGGGGGTGTACGCTGCTGTCTGCCGTCGCTTGGAACGGCGGCGGGAGTTGGGGGAGGACAGGCTGGTGGCTGGTTGGCGGTTGGTTGGTTGATGGTGATGGCTGGTGGCGGTGGCGGATGGGTGGTCGAGGTGCAGACGGTAATGGATGGATGTTAGATGGCTGCTGCTGCTGCCATGGGCCAGCTCGTGTTCTGAGATTATGGAGCAAGCACGGCAGTGATGGCGGTGGTTTGTGGTGGTTTGATTGCGCCAAGTGCACGGATCTGGACTACCGTGCCTCAAGTCTCTCCCTCCATGAATGAATGCTCTGGGCCGTGTCTGTCTGCTGTGTCCGCTGTGCCGTGTCAGGCTCGACGCCCCGCAGGCACACACATCCAAGCGGGCCCTTGCATGGCCCCGTGCTGCTTGAAGCCCCTTGAATCCGGAAGGCGCCCAGCTGCGTCTCCAACTGGACGACCCCGACTTGTAGCCAGAAACGGTGTGGCAGCCCTCCCGACGGCCCAGCCTGGGCGGCCTCGCATTGGCTGGAGATGGCGACCGATCTCATCAGGTCGCCGCCATGGCAGCCAGCCCCTGGGACGGACCACGCACCCACGGTGCCACGGAAGCTTGTCTGCCAGTTGCCACACCGCACACCGTCCCCAATGCCCTGCTCTTTTGCCCTCCCAATTGCCGATTGCCGTGGTGCGAGGGTCCCAGACGGGCATCGAGCCAGTCGGCGCGGTCCCAGCTACTCGCTACGCTATCCGGGCCTAGCGGCTCCTTGCCACGCCGGCAAACATTGAGACGCCACCAACCGTGCGTCTTGTAGTCCGCCCTCGAACTGCCCGCCTGAAAATTAGTCGAACCAGGCGCCACTGGCTTCCTCTCTTTTTGACCGTGGCTGCTGATCGGCTCGGCCCAGCACTGATCAGCCTAACATGGCCCTCGGCCGATTCCGTTGCCCCCACGATAGAGACAAAAGTCAAATCCCATGTGTGCGGCGCCTGACAGACAAGTGGCGTTGGCGGGCGGACAGGCCGATACGGTCGAGACAAGGCTCCAGCCACGGCTGTAGCTCGATGAATTACCAATAAAATATATCGTCCATAAACGCACTGCGGACAGCCAGACAGTGTCTTACTCACAGTGGAATCGTGATCTTGATAATTGCAGCAATAGGTAGAGCAGACTGCCGTCCTGTATCATGTATAGGCCAGCCTCTGCGCAGATTATCGCTTCGAACCGATTCTTGAAATTGACTATGCAGCCGAGAACTTGCGCACGTAACTAATGTGCCACAACCATTCACAGCAACCGCTGAAAGCATACTAGACCTAAGAATAGGAGAAAGGATGGGAGCACACGATGAGATTGACAGTTGGATAACGTCAGACGCATACATGCAGGGGGATTGAGAGATTGGATGGAAATCATGAACGTGTTTCTTACTCTAGCCTCACACCGAACTTCGCTCTCATAAGATCTAACTGTAGATCCGACAGACAGCAACAGGCTTGTCAGTGGACATGAGCTCTGGCTATTCAGCCAATGGATGTTGCTATAATCTTATATAGCCGCGCCTGGGAATACTGGTGTCAAATTGAAATGCGTATCCCAAGTTAGATTCATAGTCGAAATACTGCCGAAGAGACCTTGTGGGATGGAGGCTCTAGAGTTGGGATGCCCGCTGATAACTCGAAAGAGTGGGGCTAGCTGGCTGTTTTCCGCGCCGACGCAGCCTACGAGTCGAAATTTTCCAGCATCAAAACGACATTGACACCAACTTCACCACCGGGCACTTGCAGCCTCAATACTGGCTTACGACCTGAACCAAAAAAAGAAAAAAAAAAAGGTATCAGGCTCATGAGCGCCCAAGAAAGCTGCACACAAATAAATCGCCTCGCCTGAGTAACCAGCATAATGGATCCAGATGGGGTAGACGCCACAGCAGCACTAGGCCTAGCCGCTGATCAGAAACGACGACATGTGTCTAATGGCGACTCACCGGATGCTAAGAGGGCCAAGGTCAGTGTTGATGGCGCAAATGGACAAGACCCCCAAGCGCCCGCTGCCAGCGGAGATGTCCCTGTTGATGCCGCCACCGAGCCGTCTGAGAGGGTCAAGGGCCTGGCTCCCATCAAGGCCGAGTGAGTGGCAACGACCCAGCATACTGAGATTCTAGCTTTGCGAGAGCGCAACTGCTAACCCAACGTTCCAGATACCTGATTGACGTGGTCCCGAGTGACCACCGCAATGTGCCGGATGATGATGCCGCTGAGGGCAGGACACCCACCGACGCTCCAGTCAAGGTCGGCAGGAAAGGCAAAAAGGGCCAAAACCAGGCCCGCGACTTTGGTCGCTCCAACGACAACTTCCGCCTCTGCCAGAGCCGCATGACATCGGACGAGTTCTCGCCCAAGCCATGTAACTTTGGTGACCGCTGCAATCTCTCACACGACCTCCGCAGGTATCTCGCTGAGGGCCGTAGAGCCGATCTCGACACCTTTGGAGGCAAATGTCCCATCTTCGAGGCACACGGCTGGTGTAACGCCGGCTGGAAGTGCCGCTTCGTCAAGAGTCACATGAATGAAGTTGAGCGGGAGGACGGGAAGAAAGAGCTTGTCCTTGTGCGTGATGCGTCTCGCGAGCAACAGAACGACACCGAGTCGTTTGGTGTTGTCAACGTGGTGGCTGCCGAGCACAAGCATAAAATGTCACGCAACAAGCTCGATCTCAAAAAGTCGATCGAGTACGTCGCGTGGTTGGATAAGCACAGCAAGCTTATCAAAGATCTTCACAACGCCCGGACAGAGGAGAGGAAGAAGGACTCGGAACTCAGTGAACTCAGGGCACAGTACACCGAGCCCCCCCTTAGGCCATCTGAAAAGCGCAGAGTCTACTTCGGTCGCGAGACGCCAGTCCTCGCCCCGCTGACAACGCAGGGCAACCTTCCGTTCCGCCGCCTCTGTGTCGAGTTGGGAGCTCAGGGTACATACTCGGAGATGGCCATGGCGATGCCTCTTGTCCAGGGGAAGCAGGGAGAGTGGGCACTCATGAAAGCCCACGAGTCCGAGACGAAGCCGCCTCGTTTCACCCCGAGGCCAGAGGACCCCGTCGTCAAGGTTTACGACAACTCGAGAGACCTCAAGTTTGGCGCCCAGATATCGGCAAGCTCGCACACAGTGGCTGCCAAAGCAGCCGAGTGTCTCTCGACCTTCCTCCCCCATCTGCGCCTGATCGATCTCAACTGCGGCTGTCCCATCGACCTCGTGTACAAGTCTGGAGCCGGCTCGGGGCTGCTCGAGCAGCCCAACAAGATCGAGCGCATAGTGCGCGCCATGAACACAGTCTCGGGTGAGGTTCCCATCACGGCCAAGCTCAGGATTGGCGTCAAGGAGGGCTTCGCGACGGCCAAGAAGAACATCGAGCGTCTCGCGTTCGGCGCGCCCGACTTTCGCGCCGAGATGGGCGCACCGGGCTGCGCAGCAATCACTCTCCACGGACGCACTCGCCAGCAGCGGTACAAGAAGCCGGCAGACTGGAGCTACATTGCCGAGTGCGCGGCACTGGTGCAGTCCTACCGTGAGGCGGGCGACGCCCTGGCCGACACGGCGAGCGCCCCGGACCCGAACACCATGGCAGGCGGGTCGGACCGCATGTATTTCCTGGGCAATGGCGACTGCTTCTCGCATATCGACTACTTCAAGGCCGTGGACGAGGCGGGAGTAGACACGGTCATGGTGGCCCGCGGTGCCCTCATCAAGCCGTGGATCTTTGAGGAGATCGAGAAGGGCCAGTACCTGGACAAGAGCTCCAGCGAGCGGCTCAGATACGTGGAGCGCTTCTGCCGGTACGGAATGGAGGCGTGGGGGGCCGACGAGATGGGCATCGGCACGACGAGGCGGTTCCTGCTCGAGTATCTCAGCTTCGCTCATCGCTATGTGCCCATCGGCCTACTGGAGCACTTGCCGCCGCAGATCAACGACCGGCCGCCGGCCTATCGTGGCCGGGATGACCTGGAGACGCTCATGATCAGCGACAACTACAAGGACTGGATCAAGATCAGGTATGTCTGTCTAGCATTTCGATTCGCTACTGCGGGCCCTGCGCGTGCCTTCCGCTAACCATGACAAAAAAAACCCCCATCACAGTGAGATGTTCCTTGGCCCGGCTCATGAGGACTTCAAGTTCCAACCCAAGCACAAGTCCAACTCGTATGATATGGAGGCTGAGGGCTGAACATGCCTGTCTGGAGGGCAAGGTGTACCTACGTACACGCGACACGTGCTAATGCTGTCATGACTGCAACCTGGGTCGCCTATTTGGTATTCTGAAGGGATCGTGATAGCACAAGGACACCGTGAAAGTACACACCCAAAACGGGGACCTGGATAAGGGCGCATTGTTGAAGCTATTAGAGCCACATTGTTGCTCCTCACTTCGATGCTGGCTTGGCGTTGGCGTCGCAGAGATCCGGAAAACCTGTTTGATGATTAGATGTAATTTTAAGGTCTTGATGTATAACGAATTGGTTGTTACTCAGTCCCAAGTGCAGACGCCCATGCTGCCTGCAGTCGCGTTTCAAGAGGCAAGGCCAAACTCAGCTTAGCCACGGCGTCGTGATGGTTTGCACGTGCCACAGTCCCATCAGCCACATGCAAACACACAGGAGAGGGACCGACACTGGATCACCCCACTTCACCCAAGCCACAAATTGATGACGTTGTTGATCCACCCTTTTCAGGCATTGGGAGCTGTGACGTTCGTGGCCAGCTCAGCTCTGCCAGCCTTCCATTCCACCAACCTGTCCGACCTGCCCGAAGCACAGCAGACCTTCTTCAAGGACACATGCGCCTCTCCCGAACCGCAGGCTTCTTCCAACTACAAAACCACGCCTGCTCGTTGCTCTCACTTCTTGATTGTAGCAAGTCACGATCAAGACCCTTAGCCTGAAAACTCGTTCCTGCGGTTTCTTGTTCCCCTCCTTCGCATCCTCGAAACGTGCCGACGACCTACATTCACACCCAGAAACGACGACAAGCAACACCAAGGACCCCCGCCGGCCAGACCTATCGCCAACTCTATTTATTGATACGGCCTCTGGCACCAAACAGCCGCCAAAATGACTCTCTACTACACCCTGGTCCGTGGTAATCTTTCCTCCTCGTTTGGCCCCGCGCTGCTCGATAGACATCGGTGCTCTGCAAAATCGCGGTGTGCCAAAATAAAAATAAAAAGCTTCAAATCCCAACAGCTGCATTCTCTCTGGTATACAATAGAAAACTTCGACTGACATCAATGGACTTTTGTTTTTAGGTCTTCGTTCTGCTCATGACAGAGATGGCTGTCTTCATGATGCTTATCCTCCCAGTTCCATTCACCATCCGCCGCAAGATGTTCAAGTACGTGTTTCTACAACCACTTCTCCCATATAGGATAGACATCGCCTTACTGACGTTGTGACCTCACAAACAGCTTCATCTCGGAGAATCCGCTGGTGGCCAAGGTCCAATATGCAATGAAAATCACATTCATATTCATATTAATCCTATTCATTGACAGCGTCAACCGCGTCTATCGAGTCCAACTCGAATTAGCGGCCGCCACGGATAACAGCAAGAACACGTGCGTCAACCCAAATAGTGCCGCATCTTCAACACCTAAACATCCAGCTAACATTTTCCCTCCTGCAGTGCCACCATCATGGGCCACGAGCGCCTCGAGGTGCAGGCGCGCAAGTTCTACTCGCAGCGCAACATGTACCTTTGCGGCTTTACCCTCTTTCTGTCGCTCATCCTTAACCGGACCTACTCCATGATCCTTGAAGTCCTCCGTCTGGAGGAGAAGGTTAAGCAATACGAGGGTACCGACAACAATAAGAAGGCTGGCAAGGACTCTGCCAAGCTTGCCGAGGCTGGAAACCCGGGTGAGATCGCGCGTCTGAAGGAGGAGATCAAGCGCAAGGATGCCAACATCACGGCTCTCAAGGAGCAGGCTAAGGGCCTGCACCGCGAGTACGACTCTCTCGGCGAGAAGTTTACCGTCGAAGACGGCTCCAACAAGAAGCAGAGGTAGAGGACATGGGATCATCGGTCATATCACTGTCGCTGCTCTTCCACGTCAATTGTCCTTGCCATGAGCCGTTCCTGCTGGCCACCCGACAGATACTTGATCCGTTTGCCGCATGTGGCAGAAGGGGGACGGGGGTTTGAGCGTCGACTTTCCGCCTGAGCGGCTGGAATCTTAAACCCCGGATGGAAGCAGTGGGAAGGACGTTGTTTCTGCGTGTGTCGGACGCATGATTGTCACGATTCACTCCGCAATGATAAGGGCACCGCAGTTACGATCCTGGCCACCGGGGCTGGAGATATGACATCAGAGGGGCTTCTCCATATGCACAAAATGCTGTTTAGGTCTACGACGATGGGGGACTTGTTGATTAGGACTATTCCCGTTTGTCATTATGATGCTGGTTTCCTTATTCCCTCAAGGCTGTGTATTGGTGTTTGGTAGTTTTCATCGTGGCTCATATTGTTGCTAGTGCCAAACGATTCGATAACGAGTTCCCTCGAGCACAAGTGATTTATTGAGGCTCAAGGCTGCCGTTTTCCCCTCTTGGCTCAGTCTGTCCTGATACTTAGTACTAGTATCTTGGTAATAATCACGTTCATCGCCAGCGATCATTGAGTAAAATCGCCTTTCTACTGCACATCTGTATCTAAGTAGGCGATTGTCGCTGTCGCTTCTGCCAAGGTATCAGGCCGGAAAGGCCTTCAGTAACTACATCCCTCGGTTGACAGTCCGTATCCGTATCGCATATCCACAGGCTCGGAGGGAGATATCAGAGAGGGGGCAAGACGGGTGTACGTGGAATGGTCCAAGAGAACATCAAACTTCAGGTCGAGGAAAGCACTATCCGGGAGTGGTCCAAAGGGAGGGGGATTAAAAGTACAATAAGCGGGGAAGGTGGGAAAGCAGCTTGATCGGGCATTAATATATATCGACGGGCGGGGCGTGAGAGGGCGTGGTAGATGATGAGGGAAAGCCATTGCCGACATGACATTTGTTAGTCCCCCCAATGCGACCGGGCTGGTCTCGCGACGCTCATGTCGAGGCCGCCTCGCAGCAGTCAGCCCAGGTATGTGGGTCCAAGCGAGCCCTTTCGGCTCTGCTGTACCAGGGAGACCGGCGCAGGCAAATTGTGAGACTGGTGTGCAACGGAGGCCCCTCAGGCGCGCTTCCCCCGCTTTGACCGTCGCAAGCCCGCAGGCTCCTCGGCCAGGGCTGACAGGGTGGCGGGCGCGGCGTCGGCGCCGGCGTCGCCGGCGTCATCCAGACGAGGGCTCTGCTGCTTACGTTTCCTCTCGTCGCTCGACATCCTCCGCACCGCGGCCGGCCGGCCGGCAGCGATCCTCTTTCGGACCAGCTCGGGCAGGGCGCCGATGACGTCCCCGGCGCCCGCCGCTGCGGCGGCGGCGGCGGCGGCGGCGAACGGGGCGACCTCCTCGTGCTTCATCAGCACAAAGGCGACGCGCTCAACCTCGACGGCCCTGACCCCCAGCCGGGCCGCGAGGAGCCTCATAGCGCGCTCGAGGCTCTGGTACTCCCTGATGTTGTACTTGATGGAGCTCTTGCGGCCGCCGCAGCAGAGCCACCAGTAGGCCTCGTCGGCGAAGAAGACGACCTTGTCGGGATCGTGGACGGCGAGCAGGAGCGAGGCCGTGGCCGGGCCTATGCCCCTGAGCTTGGACAGGGCCTCTACCGCCTGGGTGGCGTCCTTGTTCTTGGCGTAGGCTTCCAATGCCTCCTTGACCATCTTCTCTGCCGTCGACGGGTCGTTTTGGGAAACCAGCTTCATCAAAGTTGGTCTGAATTTCCCGTGACGGCTGTTGAGAAAGGTGGTTAGATGTCTCTCCACGTGACAAATGATCTCAGAAGAGGTCAGCTGCTCACAGCTTCCAGTCAACGAGGACCTTGATGTCGTCAAGCTCCATCTGCTTCCATGTCTTGCCGGGAGCAAATAGCTTGGGGGCGGCCACGTAGCGGAAATCATCCAGCTCAGCCAGGGTTTTTTGTCCATGTTTGGCTGCAGGTACGTAAACGGAAAGCGGGTTAGGTTAGTTAGCGACCCTCGGGCACCTGCCAGCCCGCACTTGTGACTTGGGAGTGGAAGAGGTACATACCACCCTTGGTATCGGATATGGCCTGTATCAGTGCAGGGTACCTGCCAAGCGCTTCTTGGAACTCCTGGGATGTGATGCTGTCAGGCGTAGGAAGCGCCTGGACCGGGCTGGCCATGCTGGCTCGCGGTTTCTGGCGAGACTGTCGGGGAGAAGACAGGGTGTGGAAGAGCGTACAGCGAGCTTGTATCTGTCGGCGGCGGGCGTTGAAGCAAGCAGAAGTGAGCAATCGCAGGTATGGACCAGGCATGTATCTGCGGACTGGTTGTGGAGGCAATGCTGCCGGTGCTAAGTTACGAGCTTCGGGCTTCGGGTTTTGGTGGTTGGAGTACTGCTCATAGGCGGAGGGATTGGTCCGGCCGTTATGTTGTCATCCAGATTGGTCACAGGGTTATGACAGCCTTGGACCACGAGAGCATGCAAAAGCGCTCCGCTTTGGGCAAGCGGGAGGTTAGTTTAGAAACCAAGTCAAAGTTTGAATTGCGGCGACCCGTGACCTTGTTTGATGGAGGCAATGGTGATGGAGGGCGGCGGCTTGGGACGTGATACTGGGTAGAAGAAGGGACAGACACGCCCAAGAATGAATCACGGAAGCAGCGATGGATGGTGAGATTGGTGCCTGGGCTGTGGGCCGGACCCCCACGGCCGTATGTAGTCGCATATGCGCAGCATGTTGGCAGACCCAAGGCATGTCGGTGAGGTTCTATTTCTTCAAATCCCCATCGGATATGCTAAGTGACGACATTTGGCAGGGTCAGTGCCTGCGTTCTGTCCGGGTTGGCGATTTACGTTGCTATGACGAGCCCCTAGCGAGCCCATGAGCTTACTCTCCGTTGGGCGGCGAGCTCTCCCTCGCTGCCTGGACGCACTCGGGTGCCTGGCTCTGCAGCACAGGTACTGTAGTAGGCTGGATTTGGGGAAACGGCAGCCATCCATTCTCCATGGGAACGGGCCGCTAGGCCATCAAACAACGGACGCTTGCTGTCTCGTGGTTGTGCGTCTTGCTTGGTTGGGCGTTGGGCTTTGGGCTATGTCTATTGGTCATCACATGGGAATCGCGCTCCAGCTCTGTGTTGCATCTCGCGGGCGGCAGGCAGCTGTGGCGCCAGTCACGCACTGCCTCACAGCCAGCTCCACCCAGTAACAAGGGGGAACAGGGGGTTTGAAACTAGAGATCGCAGGGGTTTTGGTAACTTGCGGGGATGTCACGAGACTTCGAGAATTTCTCATCCTACAAAAGCTTTTCTCGATTTCTCTCCAACTTCAACAGTGGCAGTGACTTTATGCCAGCACGTGACCCCCCTTTCGCCACCCCTGTGATCTCCAGTTTTAACCCCCCCTGTTGCTGGGTGGGTTTTTATCGCGCCCGCGTGTCAGGCGTGGCCCCACTAGACAAAAAAAGCAAAGACTCGGGTCTCGACGACCCCTGCACTCAGCCCGGGCCGCCTCAGGCCAGGTGGGCTGCCTCCTGCAAATAAAATATTGGTGACAGATCGTCAGGCCCGAGTTTGCGCTAGGCGAACTCTCCCCGCCATTTGATCTCACGCCCACTCACAGACTGAACGAACGAAGCACCTTTCCGCGCACGAAATCGCAGACCTAGCCACCAGTCACTTCAACCGAACTAGCACGCTTGACTATCATCGCTCAAGATGGGAAACGTACGCCGACCGCCCTTTGTCCGACGCCAACTCCGATGCCCGTCTCACTAACTTCGGTTCTGCTCGCAGGGAAACCGAGCACAGCAGAAGCGCGACCGCAACGCCAAGGACCAGAAGGGCGTTCAAAAGTCCCAGCTCAAAGTCGTATGTAAAGCACCTCGTGCCGTCGACGCTAGCCAAAACACCTCGCTGACAACATGGCTTCGTTGTGAACAGAATGAGCAGGCAAAGAACATCCAGTGCGAGGTTTGCAAGGCCACCTTCTTGACCACCACTCGGGAACCTCAGTACGTACCTGCCAGTAACCAAGCCGGTCCTTGTGCCCTTCACGCATATGCTGACAAACGGAACCTTCCATAGGCTCCTCCTTCACTCGGACAACAAGCACAGCAAGACTGTGGCCGAGTGTTTCCCGACCTACGGCAAATAAGCAAGCAGCGCCACGAAGTCTCGACGACAACGATTTATGCCATTCATGCATCCTGGAGCGATTAGAGGCGGCGACAGGGGCAGTCATCTGGAGCATTTTGAGAGCGCATCTGGCTCTTCCCAGATCCGGAGTTTAACTGATATTCTTCACCTTTGTTTGGTCCCCCGTCGAATCGAGGCAGGCTCGGCCGAACTGGCCGGAACGCCCGCCCGCCCGCCAAAAGCCGCGACGGACGTTGACGTGGAACCAGGTCCATGTTAGTCAACGCCCATGGAACACACAGGGACAGGCTGCGCGAGGCTGACTTGTAGATCCGAGGATAAGGGAAAAATACAACTGGTGCTACGATACAACAAGTGCTCTTGTCCCACTTGGCCTTACGATGTGCTGTCCTATCACGTCCAGTCTAGTGCTCAGTGCCTGAACGGCATCTTGCCGCAACTAGGGAATGCGCTGAGGGTGGTGAACGAGACCCCCTCCCGATCGTGGAAGCGGGCGGGCCTGGGCTCAATGCGCCTCAACAGTCTGACCCGCGTTCCCGCTGGCGGTTCTGAGAGCTTCTGCTCCAGGCGCTGTGCTGGTAGAAGCTCCGTGATTCTTGCTCAACCGCTGCTCCTCCCGAATGCTCGCCAGGATCTCGGGGTACCACCTCTCTCCGACGTCAGGGTGGCTCTTGACGCGGTTCCTCAGAGTCGCCTCGCCCAGTGTGCGCGCGGCGCCGCCGGTCCGGAACGTGAACTCAGCGTCGTCGAGGCGGCCGGCGCCGTTCTCGGCCAGCACGCGGGCCCGCTGGGCGCGCACTTCGTCGGGGACCTTGCCGACCCCGACCGTCTCGAGCTCCTCGAACTCGGTGTCGAGCCGGACGCCCTGGAAGAAGGGGATGGAGTAGCGGGGGCCCTGGCCGGCGGGCGGCGACAGCACCCGGTGCGTCGTGGACGCGCACACGCCGCCCGTCAGCGCCTCGAGCCCCTGCCCGATAGCCACGACCAGCGTCCCAGGCATGGGCGGGCAGTCGACCCACTCGCCGCGCAGGTTCTGCACCTGCAGGCCCCGGTGCGGCGAAGCCTGCAGCAGGTAGCTCGTGTACATGCTGTCCTTGTGCGGGCCGACCCCCTGGCGGGGCGAGCCGTCGCCGTCGCCGTCGCCGCCGAGCTCGCCTGCGTCCGGGTACTTGACGACCTTGAGCTTGTGCTGCTGGTCCGCCGCGGCGCGCTCAAAGTAGCGGTCGAAGGCGGCCGCGGGCAGGCCGATGGCCTCGGCGACGAGCGACGTGAAGCGCATCGACACGGCGCCCATGCGCGCCATGTATTCGGCAAAGGCCGGCCGGAAGCGCGGCAGCAGCTTCGGCGACGGCCACTGGTTGGGCGCCAGCAGGTTGTAGTAGGCCGGCTGGCCCGCCGTCGGCACCGCGTGCTCGGTCGACATGTCGATCTGCTCCCGGTGGTCGACCGCCCCGGCCGTGATCTCGGCCGAGAGCCGCGAGTAGCCCAGGAACGAGGGCGCGTTCTTCATCTCGATCTTGAGTCTGTGGTGTGTTTTATGGTTAGGTTAGGTCAGGTGAGGTGAGGTGGGAACTATAGATAGATAGGTAGGCAAACCCCCCTCTAACGAGGAGATGTTTCAAGTGCGTCCATACTTTTCCTCCATGGGAATGTCGAAAAAGGCCTTGCCCTCCTTGATCACCTCGGCGAACAGCTCGTCCGGGATCCCGACGTTCTCGAGGTACAGGAACCCCACCTCCATCAGCGCGGCGCGGAGTTCCGACAGGAACGCTGGCTTGGTCTCGGCGCTGTCTGCCTGGCTCAGGTCCAGGACCGGGATCGATGTAAATGACATTGTAATTGTCCGATCGTTGGTGTCCCCCTTTGTATCTCTTTGATAGCTCGGGAACGCCGCGGCGAATTACTCTTTGTGATTCTTTTTTTTTTTTTTTTTTTTTTTTTGCCGAGGTAAACGGAAGATGGGGCTGCTTATTCACGGTATAACGGTGACATACAGCAACGGACGGGCTCCTAATATGCGAGAACCACAGCCATGACACTCCCGAGAGGCGGACGTGATACCGATGCAGTCTTTCTTGTGCTCAAAGGGGGGTTCCAAAGGCTTATGAACCGACTATCCGAGGTATCTTGAACAAAAACAAGGAAAAAGACAAGCAAGTGCGAGACGGCACAAAAACATCAGGCCAGAACAGATTCGTCATAGCAAGACCCCAAAACACCCCGTTTTTTCAGACATTGCGCAATCGTTCCGACGCCCAATGCAATGCAGTATTTTTTTGCTCGTTGCCCCACACTTTGACAAACACCCCCCTCCCTTTGATGCTCCCAAGGCAACGCCACTCATGTTGCCGCCGCGATCGGAAGCTAATCCTGCGACGCCGGTCACCCGACACGAGGCTTGGCTGCCTCGGTATAGCATTCCCGACGATATCCCGACACAATGCCCATCCAGCCACAGCATCCGCGATCAACATCATACAGTTAAACCAGGCCGTCAAGCAGCCGGGCTGGCCAGCGGCTTGCCAGATATGAGCCCCGCGACCTGGTAGAAGAGGTCCTCGATCGGCGGCAGCGCAAACGCCGGCGCCGCGTCAAAGATGTACGACAGCTTCTCCGGCGCGATGATGGCGCCGTAAGAGTCCAGATCCTCATCCTCTGCGTCCTCGTCCATCGCATCGCCTCCGACGCCGAGTAGCAAGCCGTTGGCCTGGTCGTCGTCGTCGTCGTCGTCGTTCTGGTCAAGAGCCATCATGTCTGCGTCGTCGCCTTCCGCGGACGTCTTGTCCAGGCGCAAGTCCGACAGAGGCAGCGCCAGTGGATTGGTGGTAGTACCTTGGATGATGGCTGAGACCTGCGCAGCCGAGTCGATAGCCACGAAGCTGGAAGATCCAGGGACGGGGAGGAGGGAGATGACGAGGTGATGCATGGATTGGATCAGCAGCGGTTGGTCAGAGTTGGGCGAAAACACGGCCAACTCAGACTTGACGCTGCCGTCGGATTTCGGTGCCGCGTTTGCGTCTGTGAACACAGGGACAGATATGGCAAAGGTGTGAGAGGTCTCATCGACGGCGAGCTGTGCTAGCTGTAGGGCTGTAGGAGACGAAGAGGGGGCCTCGAAGGACAGGCCGTATCGCACCCTGTCCTCGACCACGTCGTAGACCACCAGGTTCTCGCCAGCCAGGATGATGACGGAGGCGCCCAGAACCCGCAAGCTGCGCACCTCGCCGTCTATGAGCTGGTGGAGTCGCGTTCGAATCTCGCCCGAGGACGCGTCAATGATGTAGAGCACCAGATCTTCGGCCAAACCATACGCGACAAAGAGCGTGGAACCATCGCTAGAAAACGCCAGAGCCCCTGTGGGCCGGGCAGATGCAGGGGCCGGGCCCAGAGACTCTCCATCCATCTCGATCCTCGAGCTCGACGCCAGAGGGATGGCCTGAACACATGACCAGCCTTCTGCGACTTGGGCAGCATTCGCGTCGCTGCCTACGGCCAGGGCCGCTTTCGAGGCGGCAGGGGTCATGCTAGACTTCTGGATGTGAGGCGCCCAGAGTCGCACGCAGCCGTCTGCCCCGACGGTGCCGAAGAGGGTCGACTTGGGGCTCGACGCAAGATCTAGGATGGACTCGGGCCGCACTGCTGTGGAGTGGGCCTCGTCTATCCTCGACACTAGATCTAGCTGCTGGTCGCCGACCTTCCAGAACTTCAGGTGCACCTCCTTCCTCTCGGAACAGAGGAGCTCAGCCGCGTGTGCATCCTCAACAAGGCCCTCCACGTCCCGTGCGGGGGGCTGCCACTCGTCGATGGAAGCAAGCCAGTCACCGCCACGCGAGAACGAGATGTGAGATACCCAGGGCTCCGTGACCGGAAATCCCTTGGGGGTAATGTTGGCCTCAGTGGGGTTGGTGCGGGCCAGGGGCTGCTTGGCGAGGCTCTGGAACGAAGAGATATCGAAGGTCTGGATTAGGGAGGCTGAGGGGATCGCCCCGGTCGCGCTGGCCATCTGGCCGTTGCCGACGCAGAGATATAGGCGCGAAGTCGCGACCGGGTGCGCGGCGGCGGTAAGGGGGCGTGATATCTCGTCGACTGGAGTCCAAACTCGGTTCACCGCAGTGTCCTTCCACCGGCTCTGGCCCAGAACTAGAGACTGGACTCCTGAGACATAAGCCGTAGGCTTCATCTCTGACGTAGACAGAATCATTGCCGAGTTATCGTCGAGAGTGAGAGCATACGACGACCCCTGCGGTGAAACCACGATGCTTTCTATGACACCAGAAAGATGCGGCAGGAGCTCCGTCTTGCCGGTGTCTACCTGCCACAAAACCAGCGTGTTCTCGGTGCCACCAGACACGAAGTACTCGCCTGAGATGTCAAGCCAGAGTTAGTTCAGTACAGATAATGACCAAGTCTGCAGGGAGAGCTTGCTGGGAGTAGGAATTTGCTCACCGTCGACAGACCATTTTACGCTGTGCACGGCTCGAGGATGCCAGTGGTACTTTCGGGGCTGCAGCCTTTCCCTGGAGCCATTTCCGACGCCGGCCAGAGCAGCCAAGATGTTGCCGTAAACATATATGGCACCGCGGGCGCAGCCTATTACGACATCAAGGACCGGCAAGCCGACTGCGCCCGAGTTGTGCTTTGTCTTCTTGCCCGATGCACGCCTGGCAGCCACCCTGGCATCCAGAGCGCAGACAACATCCGGTGCCTCGAAAGAGTAGAGTTCGCAGCCAAGATTGGCAATGGCCCATGCGCCCTGCTTCTTGCCGCCGTCCTTTAGGGATGCAATGACAATACCGCTCTCGGCACAACCGAGCACAACACTGCCCTCGACAGCGGTTCTGAGAACCTGCAGCCCACCAGACAGACGGCCAAGACTCCGAGGGGAAGGCTTGACATCCGAACCAACCGCGTATGCCACCAGCTCATATGCAGACCTGGAAGTTGGCTCACAGGTCACCAACAGCTCCTTGCCTCCCACCTTCGCAGCTACAAAGGTGGAGATTTGGCCACCAGTAGCTACAGGAGTCTGACAGACACCTGTTGTCCAGTCGACCTTCCATATATTTTGTCTCGAGTCGGCGACCCAAACAACGGTCGTATCGATTAGGGATGCCACCGTCGCGGCGATGTGCGGGGTTTGTGTGGATTCGGTATTGTCCTGTGGGAGCTGGATCCGGCGGACCAGGAGCGAGTCTTGAGTGGAGTAGACTTGGATGGAGGACTTGTAGGTGATAATGATGTGTCTGTAGATGAGCAGGTAAGCAGCTGCTCGGAACTCAAGGGTCTGCCGCCCTAGCCCAGCCCAGGCTGGTGCTCTGGCATCTCGTCAGGCCCATGACATACTTTTCGTCACTGCTGAAGATCGGGTCTACATCCGCATGGACCCGGCCGCCCATGGTCTCAGCAATCCTCCACGTCGCTTCTGAGGAATGGGCGAGCGCAGTCTCCTCAGCATTTCCATCGTCGTCGTCGTCGTCGTCGGCGCGCACCACGGTGATGGCCCTGCTCTGGCTGCGACTCGGGGGCCCGGCGAGCTCGACAGCAGGTTCATTCTGCTCTGGAACGGTGGCACCGGACTTTGACTTTGACCGGTGGCGCTTGGAGATTTTCTGGCCGCCGTTCTCCTGCCTATCCCGCTTCCGCTTCTTGGCGGCAATCTGCTGCCGCGACGGCATCGCGTGCTGTTCGTCGGCCGAGCTCATAGCTAGACCAGGCGTGGCGGGCGACGGGCAGGTGCCAGTTTCGAGATGTTCGGTCGACCGTGATCGAGGAGGCGTGTCGTGCGACGCTGCGCAATGGTTCAATGGCAGACACTTGCTTGCTCAACTGGCAGCATCGAAATCGTCGGCGCCGCACCGCAGACCACAGGGTCAAGAAATTTTTGGAAGGGACCCGACAGAATGGAGCGCCGATAAGCGCGATAAGATACTGATAAGCTCAAAGGGTGGGGTCGGCAGATCGTTGAGCCAAACCGCCAGAAAATAATTCTTTCAACGGAAGGCGCGCCGGTCGCGTCAGAATCGCATTTAATTCCGCCAAATCCGGATCCGGCGACAGCGAGACAGCGAAGGACACGCAGAACCGAAGAAGACGCAGGCTGCAGCCAACCAGGAAACACGCACACGACCTCATTTCATCGCGCTGCAGGCAGGTCATAGCCAAAATGATCATCCCGGTCCGCTGCTTCTCCTGCGGCAAGGCAAGTCTCACGGTCCTGGGAGCGTCAACTTGCGGAACAACAAGCCATCGGTCACTAACATGGGCACGGCGAGCAGGTCACTGGCGATCTGTGGGAGCGCTATCTGAAGCTTCTCGACGAGGGCATCGACGATGGGTCGGTTTTCCAAATGTGACGGCGTCGGCTTCCTGTTGGCGCAAGTTGTGCTAACTCGCGATGCACCCATCAATGCTTACAGCCCGGCAATGGACGCACTTGGTCTGCAGCGGTACTGCTGCCGCCGCATGGTCATGACGCACGTCGACCTCATCGAGAAGCTGCTCAAGTATGGATACCTCAGTCCCATCACTTCGGGGATACGGGTTTCGGCCGGCCACACAGGGTTGGTTGCGGTGAAGCTTGCGTTGCGAATACTAACCAGGCGGGCGTGACACTCAGGTACTCGACCGAGGGACGACAGGAGAAGAAGATCAACCTTGCGCATACTTAGTGATGGACACACCACTCATTCTCGGACGCACACAGCTTTACGACACCAGGGAATCCGACTGATTCCCGAAAGCCAGCACCGGTGTTGTTCGCCACCTCTTTCCTCTTTCTCTCTCTATATCCCTTGGCAACCAGCGAAGACATCCGGCGCGGCGTTTTTAGGAGTGGGTAATTGGTTACACAAAATGACGATAAACATACATGTGCACATTCTCGCAGAATCTGAAGAATCAGTTTGCTCAATAGAGTATCAGCCACACTTTCTGAGAGGAATGGACAGTGTTTTTTTTGTTTTTTTTGGCGTTGGCGTTGGCCGAGGACATGGTGTCCCCACTGCCGCCAAGGCGTGATCTGCGTGTTGTTTGTCATGCATCTCCCTACCTGTTGACGTGGATTCCACAGCGGGCTGTTGGTATGGATGTTGTCAAAATCCGGCTGCCTATCGCGCCTGCCAGGAAAATACAGCCGCGCTGCAGCCTCCAAGGATTCGTTGGCTTGGCGCTTTGGACATGTCGACTACGCACGTATAGATATGATCATGTGAGCGGGGTGGGCGGGCGGTTTTGATGAATGCCTAAACTGCGCTTGGGACGCGAGTCCTCGTTGCGGCCTTTGACTTTTACGGCCCGGCCGGGTTTACTGGCACCTGACCGCTGACCCCCTTCGACGGTACGGCAATAAAGCTGGCCAACGGCTCTGGTGCCTGGGGCTAGCACAAAGGTGGGATAGATAGCGTCGAGGCGGAGGAAGAAAAATGCTCCGTCGCAAGTGCGGTGTGCAAACGTTGAAGGTGGTGCGCTAGTACTGTTAATATCTCACATTATGGTCTAGGGCAGAGCGGGTCTGGCCCGAAGGTTGGGCGATCATCCTCTGTTGGGCTGCCACGTCGGGAGATGGGTCGGAATATCATCCATATCGTGGACCATGGACGGGCGACCAGAACATGATCGGCGATACAATAGGGGCGCTTGCCATCTGGACGAAGCTGCTCGCTACCGACACCCCGGGCTCAGACTATGGATAGCGGTGAGGCTGCCAACCCGAACAGGGAAGAAAGAAAGCAGCGTGCAGGGCCCAGATCGATTGCATGGCGCGTTGGCGCACCTTGTTGGTTCCACGGCTCATTCATTGGACCTGCTCTTGTCTTGCGGGTGCGTGGTGGTGGTGGTGGAGGATGACAAGGACTCCGCGTCCGGAATCGCGGCTAACCGCTAGTCTCTTTCCCAAAGCGGAGAGGGGCCGCCCGGGGGATCAAGCGCCGGGATTCTCTGGCGCGCCCCAACAGCAAGACTGGAGCCAGGAGCTGCACGTTGCGCTACATTAGACGCAGTCGGTGCAGACACAAGCAGGGAAGCCGTTGGATGGGTTTAGCGACGACAGCGAGCTCCTCTATCGGCAAGGATCTACGGCCCATGATAAAAAGAAAAAAGGAGGGCACGGACACGTATACGCTCCATCTGGGAGGGTGGGCAAGGTGATAAAGGGCTGGGAGTCAGCCAGTTGGGGCTAACGAGGAGGCGAGAAGGATGCTATCGAGCCCCTCCCTGTTCTCGAGCTTCGGTTCTAGTTGCGATAGAGAATCACTCTCCCTCACTGTCCTGCCACTTCTCTGGACTTGACGTGCGGGGAACCGGGCAAGGATCAACAAGAGCAGGGACAGGACGATCAGGCCCGCAGGCCCGACCAGGCTGCCCAGGGCTGAGCATCGTGGCCCAGGTTGGGCCTGACCGGCTCCAGCGTCTGAAGGAGACAGCGAGATTGAGCGGACGATAACGTAAGGGCAAACTTGGAGGAACGAGAGGCTGAATCCGTCGTTTCGTGGTGGTGGTGTTGAGGCGCTCTTGGGAGGCATCGCGTGACACAAACACAGCCGAGCTAGCGAGGCCGAAGCCGTAAGGAAAGCGAGGGGGGCGGTACAGGGGGACGGACAGGCGTCCGGTAGATCACAACAGGGCGGCGCCGTGGGCGCCTGTTGGGTTGGGCTCCCCTCCCCCCCAGTGGGAGGCAGTTCAGTGTCTGGCGCGGCCCCGTGGTCCGTGGGTCACGTTGGGGAGAGGGGACCATACCATGCCATGTTAGCGAAGCCACGGCGACCCAGAGCGCCGGTAACGCATTCGTGGCCAGCCACCCTGGAGCTGGCTGGCACGTCTGCCCAAGTCGGTACTTGGGTGCCAATCCTGTGGGGGGCTAGCTTTCCAGCTGAAGGTTGTGTGGATGTGACGAAGGATGTGATTAGCCTGCGTGGGAGCCACGGATCCTCCATCTCGATGTGCTGTTCTACTTGCCCGCCATCCAGCACTTTGGTTCGGTTCGGCCCCCCTCTTCATTGCCTTTGGACAAATCAGACAGACACCGGATTTTTCTTTCCCGGTTCATCACGACAACAGCTTCTGGGCATTTTCCCGAGGCCCCAGGGCTCAAGGCGGGGGCAGGATGACAGGGTGGCAGGGGTGTCTTTTCTGAGAGATTGCGTCCTTGCGCCGCCTCTCTTGGCCGCTTCCCTGCCTGACTCCCTGCCCTTCCCCCTGTTGGTGCCGTTTGTCTGTTCGCTTGATCAACCTTTTGTCGATTCCCGGGCTCTTTCTGGAACGATAAAGGAAATTGCTGACTGTGATCTACGGCAAAGTGCGCAGAGCGCTAAACAGCTGCAGGGATTTAGCCCCAACCGAGCTCGACGGCTCTTGCAGCAAGCAGCAAACCGCAGGGCAGAGTCAGTACGGTCTGACAGACAGCGACGGGTCTTCCAGGTCGATTCGATGCGTCGATGCAAGCTCGTGCCAAGCGAAGCAGTCAGACTGGGACGGAGCGGGGCCAACAGTTTGGCCTGCAGCGCGAGGGACTTCCTAACTGGCACGCCGCGTACTGTTGATTTGTGTCTATATCTGCACTGGTTATGTTCTGAGCTTGTAGCTTACCTGCATGATGGGGCCAGTGAAGGAGCGTGTTTGTGGAGGGAGGGTGTCGCTGTTCCCGAGCGGGTGTGTGGGTGTGTGTGATGACGGGCGGCTGGAATGAGTGCGCGGGCGGGACCGCTTTGGGATGGATGCTCAACTCCTGTTTGCCAACTTGCAAAGGACGGGATGTATGGTTTTTTACCCAGGTAGGGAAGCACTCACTCAGCCTGCCCGCCTGTCACCATCACCAAGGCATGCCTGATCTCACAAGCCACAAGGCGTTCAACAAGGATTTGGATTTTTGTTGTGGAGTGTGGAGTCAAATGGGCTAACACGACGCGATCAGCCTCAAACAAAACACCAAACACCAAACCACGAAAAGAAAAAAAAAACACCAAAAGCAACAACAGCGGCCTGCTTCCCGGCCCTTGCGGCCATGCGGCGGCGCCCCGACAGGACGGGAAAGTGACAAACCGCTAGCGCCATCACGCTCCTCAAGCGCCGATTGGTCTGCCACGGCGTTGTGCGGCACCGGACAAGGGTCTCGTAGCCGGCGCTCCTGGTTGGATGGTTCGAGGCCGATGCCCCCCCTCCCAGGACGCAGGTTAAGCGCCGACGCTTGTTGCGCTCCATGCAGGCCATCAGTAGGCGGTCCCCTCCACCAGCGGGCCAACGGCGCCTTGTGACTGGCCGCCGCCGTCGCCAGGGTGGCTCCGCCCAGGTGGATGTTGCAGGACGCACGAGTTGCTGCACAGTGATGGACACCTAGGTGGGAGTGGGTGAGTGGCTGCCTGTCTGTCCATGGCATCTCCCGGGCGAGCCCTCTCCCTTCACGCACGCACGTTCGTCCATGAACGAGTTGAGGGTCCTGTGCTGTGCTCTAGTGGGGCCCCTAAGCTGACCTCTTGCAAGCCAGACGCACGATTCGACTGCCTGCAGCAGCTTCCAGAGCGCAGCTCGATGCCGGCTCTGAGTGGAGCAGGCGGACAGACGAACGAACAGACAGAAGGACAGGCAGACAGACAGACTCACAGACAGCTTCGTTGCCGTCCTGAAGCTCCCCCGTCGACTGCCACACTGCCTTCATCCTTCCCGAACGGCGGCCTTTTTGCGCGGCCGTCTTTTTCTCTTGGCAGCCGCCGCTAGTTTCAAGCTCGAGCTCCCCCAGACGGATTCTCGGTCAATATTCGCAAGCCCTGTAACACAAAGCATGTTGACGCCTCCCACCTCCCGCCTGCTTGTTTGGTGCTTGAGCTTCTCTTGGTCGAGGGTTGCAACAAGACTCGGACATGCTTGATTTGGACGCAGGGCAGAGTCCAAGCCGTGCCAGGCGCACACCACACACACCACACACAAAGGCTCGCGCATTGCGGGTACCTTGGGTTGCCCTGCGCGTACCGAGTGCTCAGCAGGGGCTGGTGTCCATCATCCGCTTTCCCCGCCGTCGGCTGTAGCTCCAAATATCCATGCACCGCGCCAGCAAAAAGCGTGCCCACCCACAGGGCAGCGTCACTCAAATAGCACGCACCACCTCCTAGGCATAGGTACCCGCAGCCCCTTCGGACCAACAGCATCCCAGCTGGCCCTATACCTACCTACCGCTGCGGCGCGCCTCATAACCCATTGCCCTAGCGCCCCGCCATTTGACTCTCTCCCTGCCTGGCTCTTCGCCGCTGCGACTTTCTCTCCCAATCTTCAATCTTGCTCACCCATCATCAGCCGTGGAGGAGAATCTCGAGAGCCAAAACGTCAACCTGCCGTGCGACAAACAGCCATCATCGCGTGATATCGCGTGATCCCTGGCCGAATCTGCTGAGTACCAAAAACCGTCTTCTCAGTCGCGCCCAAACCGGTCGCACAGCCAGGATCCCTGTGTTGGAGCAGCGGCTGCTCGACCTATCTCAACCCACCGGCAAGGGCGGCTGCTTAGCCGACGCGCGCATTGCTTGATATCTTTTTTTGTTCTGCTGCCACCTTCTGCTAGTCATTGCCTTGTCATCGTCTAGACAGCTAGCTGGCCAAGATCTTGCCCATCTCCATCTGCCCACTCACTCGCACAATAAAGTCTGTTCGAATCGCGTCGTCTCACTCATCCTTCCGCCCGCCTCGCCGACCGTCCCCGAGGCCTCGACCAAGGACAGCTCGCGCTTCAGCGCCCTGCAGTCCCCTCCTGGACGCGCACCGGCCGTGGTGTCTCGCGTAGACCTGTACCACGGACGGAAATCGGAACCGTCTGCTGCGCACCCTCCACCTCGGACTCGCTGGCTTCCTGGGCTGGGCGGCTTAGCCATGGCTCTCGCTGCCCCGTTGGCATCGACTGGAAGCATCATCTCGGCGTACTCGCCCCACACAGACATGTCTGTCGAATCGCCCAACTCGCCCGCCGTGGCGAATCGCAAGAGCTTGCCGATGTGAGTAAAAACACGTGCCAGCCCTTGTAGGGTAGCTGTTGGATGCCCAGAAGGACGGAGAGAAACTCATCATTCCCTCCCCGCCCCCTGAATCCCAACATCGCACCCTTCCTGCAAATTGCCTGCTTGTTCCTGACAGCGATTGCCCCTGTCCGCCAGTTCATCGCCCGAGTCTACTAGCTCTTCACAAGGACTCCATCCTCACACATTTGCGAGGCCGCAGTCCTTCGGCCATCATCTTATGAGTCCCATAAGCGACATTGTCGGGCCCTCGCCCGTCACGTCCAACGGCACTGAAACAACCGAGATCGAAGACGAGGAATCAATGGAGGCTGGCTTTTCTGGTGCTACCAGTCAGCACCCCCAGGTACGGGTCCTGTCCTGTTCCAACTGGTCGTCACTGAGCTACTCATTCGAATGACAGACACTAATACACGCATAGCTCATGATGCTCAGGACTAACATTCCGGACCAGCTCCGGAGCTCCCTCAACGAGGAAGCCGTCTCAGTCATACACGCACCACAGTCTTTTCAATCTTGGGTTCGCCATCCCCCCTTTTCTTGATTTCTATAATTACCAAAGCCCCATGCTCCCGTCATCTGCGACAGCCTTCGCTGACGTGCTGAAAGACGTCCACTGACCAGGCGAATCCCGCTCAACAGCCCGATAAGCCGGCCGACATAGTGAGCCCTCCACCAAGCGAGCACTCTGTCAAGGTCAGTGGGACTGTTTACGTGTCAAAAATTGGTGGATGACCATGTCATGCAGAGGTTCTAACAAGACGATGGCGACAGTCCAAATCCCCAACCCTCTCTCCACCACCAATTTCGACAAATGTCAAGCCCGTGCAATACTCTCTTGAGTCGGCGACGCCTCAGGCCCAGAACCTCCAGGATGTCATCAACGACCACGCGAGGTTACGATCGAGCAGCGCCAGCAGCCTAGAATGTAAGACGGCGCTCACTCTGATTGTCCATCGGCGAGCGAAGAACCGTAGTGTTGACCTTGTTGGCTAGTGATTCCCGAGAACTTTCAGGGTGAATCCGACGCGGAGCTGTACCACAACGAGGATCAGTACAGCCCAGCAATGGAGGAAGATAATGAGATCCAGGCGCTCAAAACGGCCCTGGAGGAATGCTGGACCCTCTGCAACACCCTCGCGAACCTGAGCTCAATCCACCGGGAGCGCGTTTTCAACAGCTCGTGTACGCCCGACGCCCATGAGAAAGCATGGAAGAGCTGCTGGAAGCTATGTCAGCGCTTGTACCTCAGTCGAGACGACATGATGGAGACTCACCACGGCCGGACAAACTTGGATCTATGCCGCGATTTCTGCCAGTCTCTGTTTGACGTCCGCACACGCAAGGACGACACTGCCGACTCCATCCTCCGGGTCAGCTTTGAACTCAACAACCAGTAAGCATTTGTGCATCCATTCCGCCTGCATATTTTATGGCATCATCTTTAACCAAGTCTCTGTGCAACAGCCTTTACAGCGCCCAGGACAGTCGGAATCTCCCCGAGGCCTTCAGGGAAAGGACGCTCGATTTTTACATCACCCTGTGTCACCGCCTGATGAAGCAGCGGAGCGAGCTCGCCGAAGAAACCGACTCTCTTCTTCGAGCATGCTGGTCGCTCGCCGAAATGCTCTTTAGCCTGCGTCAGAGTCGAAGGGACTCCAAGACGCCCGACGAGGAGCTGCTAGGCTCGGCCGTGCAGGCATGCTGGGAGCTTTGCGATATCTTCCGAGAGGGCTGGACACAGATCAGGCCAGACCGCGGGACTCCTCGACCGAGCCAGATGACCTTCTCCCCCCATAGCGGCGTTGCATCCGACGCACGGTCCAACACGGGCAGTCGGGCATCGATTCACTCGAAGCGCGAGAGCCTGCGGAGTGTTCCTGAAGAGAGATCGCGGAAGCACAAGGCACCAGTGCCCGAGACTCCCGTGACCGAGTTTGAGGACACGCCGATATCCCCCGAGAGTTCCAGCCCACAGATGCCCAACATTCTTGTCCTGGGCACAGGCGGGTCCGATGCGGGCAGGTCTGGCAGCCACGGGCCTCGCTGGTCCAGTAGCGCATCGAACCTATCCGGGTACACGCAGAGCAGCACCAAGACGAGCAGCACTGCGACGGCTGGGACGGCGACGGCCGAGGACGTCAACATCATGCGCATCAAAGCCCTGATCGTCAAGGCAGCCATGAACCTCGGCTTCAGCCGGGATGCTGCCGTGGTGGATGGACTCGGGGGCGCCACGTCGCTGCAGGCGTTTGTTAAGAGTCTGCCTCCAGGATCTTTCGGAAGCCTCCCCTCGCACGCGACGGTTCTGCAAAACTACAAGAATTTGGTGCTTGCGGACCCCGTGTTCCGGGCGTCGGCGAGCCTCCCTGCGAGGGGCAAACGGCTCAACGCATCTGATATCGGCAGGAGTGTGGGCTGGATGATGCACCGGTCGACGCACTATGGGTTCCTCAGGGACTTGTTCAAGATCGTTTTTGGGTTCCCGCTCGAAGACTCGGAGATGCGCAAGGGCAGCGTTGTCATTGTCATCTGAAAGCCCGGCAGGTCCATCACCTAGCCTCATCATGAAAGGGAACAGGGGCAGCCACCTGCTGCGCTTTCCCGCACTTCCATGACAAGTGCTCGCCTCACGATGTCACACCCGACTCAAGGAGCGGCACGATGGAGAATTCAAAATCAACAGCCGTTTCGGCCCAACCATCAGCCTCTCGACAAAACCACCCGAGGCAGCGTCTCCAGGCCAGCTATTAATACCAAGATCTCTTTGCAAAGCTCCCCACTCCGAGTCCCACGCCCTCGCCTCCACGCCTCTATATCACCATCCCCCACACTCCGCCCTACCACACTTCATTTTACGCTTTGCATAATGACCTACGGGCGATTGAAAACCCAGTCGGCGCATCATGTCAACGGTGCGGAAACACACGCCCATGTTTCTCTTCTTTTCGACCGGCGTTCAAGATCACCTTCGATACCCTACTCGCTACCGATTGCACGATTTACTTCCAGCCCCCTCTCTCTTGATCTCGGCGTCTACAAGGAGTTGAACTATTCATCACGGTAGTACTTACGTTCCATTCCAATCTATGTGTTCAAGACCGGCGGTGTGCTCCTGTTAAAACTCTGGGTGTATTTACTTCCCACAACTTTTCTGTTGCCTTTCACGGAGCCTATTTTCAAATCAGAATTTTTACGACCCTATCAACTTTCTGCCACTATTCCCTTACATAATAAATATGAAGCAATAAACATTTTAACATTGTAAGCCGGCGTAGTCGATGCGATGGAAGCAAGCACATGATGTTTTAAAATGAGCCAAAAAGGAACGAGGGTAAAAAGTATGTATCCGGAGCTTGAACCGGATTGCTGGAGACCTTATAATGCTGCTCACTACCAGGGTCGAACTGGCGACCTTCGCATTATTAGTACGACGCTCTAACCAACTGAGCTAAGCGAGCTGGGATGCTCTTGGATGAACGAGACGGAGAAAGCCAAGCATTACATACCAGAGTGTGGGTCCTTTCCTCTTTGGGATATCTCCTCCTCTCAAGACCACAGCAGCATGAACAAATATCAACTCAATATTGTTAGGTCCGTTTGAAACAGGGCAAATAAATGCATTTTATTTATTATTTTCAAGTGCAATGTATCTTCCCCGATTGTAGGTGGTTAATGGGTTAAACGGAGAATTAAGATAGGAATGATAGCCAAATCGCCAGCTTCCAGGAAATGAACCAACAAAGAGCTGGACCAGAACACTCGTGATTGCAATTTTAGGACCGCATTCGAAGATTTGTAACTGAAACTAGTGTCTCCCCGTCTGCTTGCTGAAGACGGGTCAATGACCACCTTTGGTGGGAGAGCGTGGAATTCTGCAAACGGCACGCCCATTGTGGCCGACACATGCAACCCATGAGCTGGCAAACGGTCAGACAAAGAAGACAAAAACAAGGCTACAGCTGCCAAATTGGCTGATGCAAACGAGAATGCAGAAGATATGAGCTCCCTGCTTCGCTCATCTAGCCGGCGGCTTCAATCGCCCCCCGCCAACACCACCACCCCTTTTGGTTTCAGCCTCCCGTCTTGTATTCATCGATACCGACTTGCCTAGATACCTACCTACCTGCCTACCTAGAAACCCAGATACCACCCCAGGCAATACAGAAAAAGACAGCCCGCCATGCCGAAGCAGCGCCGTGACCAAACGCCGCCATCGCCTCCCAGCTTCACGGACGGCGACGAGGTCGGCGGCGGCGGCGGCGGAGACCCCACCGACCTGAACGACGCCCGCACCCCCTTCGCCCTCTTCGTCCGCGAGCTGGCCGTCAGGGCCTCCCAGCGCCTGGACGGCTATGGGGCCGCCGCCGCCGCCGCCGACATGGGTGCGTACACGCGCGTCTACCACGAGCTCGTGTGCGAGTGGCGGCACAGGGGCCTGTGGAACGACCGCTGGGGCGCCGTCCCGGGCCATCTGTGGCGGGGCAAAGAACTGCGCGGTTTCCTCTCCATGGGTACTGATCGTCATCCCCCGTTGGGGCTGGATTCGGACCCGGTCATCGAGGGGCTCGACGAGTTTGTTTCTAGAACCGCACGTGTCGTTACGGCGGCATGGCTGGGCAACAACGGCCGCGATGGCGGCGGTGGCGGGGACGGCGCCGGAGCCACCCGGACCGACGACCACGACCACGACGACGAGCTCAGCCCGCCGCCGCCGCCACCACCACCCGGCCCTAACAATCCCCGCACGCGGCCGGCCGGCGCCGCCGCGCCGCCCATCGCCATCGTCACGCTGCCGCCGTACGACCCGGCGGCGGCCAAGGCGCGCGAGCGGTCCGTCGGCGGCACCGTGACGCTGAGCGTGGGGCGGCTGGACGTGGACGGCGCGCTCGAGTCGCCCTTCAGCTACCTGCGCGACGGCCACGGCGTCGCTGCCGTCAGGCGCCGCCGGGGCGAGCAGTTGCGCAGGCTGCAGCACCTGGGCGCCGCCCCGAGGGAAGAGGATAACGCGGCAGGGGGCAGCAGCAGCAGCAGCAGCAGCAGGGCCGAGGTGCAGCAGGGCATCAAGCGGGAGCTCGACGACGACGACGAGGCTGCAGACGCTGGAGAGGCCGCCGCCCGTGGGCCGAAGCGGCAGGCCACCGAGCGCGGTCGGGGAGACGGTGGCCGCGACGGAGACGCTAAAGAGGAGCAAGTGAGCCCGGCAGAGTGGTAGGGTGTTCTTGAGGAGGTGGATGGTTTGTCGATATCGTTTTTTGCTGGCTTCATGTCCGGAGTGGTATAACGCATCCTACTCGTTTCATTATCTGCATACCCCTTAGACGGGCTCTCTGTTCTGCATTGTTTCTGTACATGCTATGGGTTGCTTGTTCCGCATTATAATCCTAGTCCTGTTGCTCCTCAGTTTTCTTGCACGATACGTCCCATCTCTCGTGTTTGGTTATAAAAGTGACCAACAGCCATCAAAAAACCATAGCTAGCTTAGTATCAGCTTACAACGAGTCCAACGGGTCTTCACTCCTGTTGCACGCCCTGATACATCCAGCGAGCCGGATCAAAGATGACCTCGAAGCTCACGCGATTGAAAGTGCCAATGGCGCAGCTCAGGTCGTGGTGGCCCTCGAGCCCAAACAAGCCGCTCGACTGGTCCGCGTCCGTCTCCTCGTGCAGGTCCCAGCTGCCGGCGAGGGCGCCGTTGTGCGTAAAGAACACCTCGGCGCCGAGGCGCTCGCTGTCGGGCAGGGCCGTGAAGGTGATGCCGACGCCGTAGCGGTCGCCGCGCCTAAAGGGTTCGGCGAAGGAGCGGCCGCCGCCGAGGTCGCTGGTGTAGCGGTGGCCGTCGTCGCCGTGCACGGCGACGCTGCCGCGGTGCCAGCCGGGGAGGCGGAAGGGCGGGTAGGGCAGGGCCGCGAAGCCGATGGAGAGCGACGCCTCCTCGGGCCGGCTGTCGGGCAGCACCTGCACCTCGTAGTAGACAGTGCGCGCGCGGCGGCCCACCTCCTTGCCGCCCGACGACGAGTAGGCGAAGAGGCGAGGCGAGTGCTCGCGCGCGCAGTAGAGCGGCGGGTAGGCGCAGACGGTGGTGTCGGAGCACCGCTCGTGCGCCGTGCGCACGCGCCAGACGCCCGGCGCCGCCCAGACGACGTCGCCGTTGAAGCCCTGCGGCCTCATCAGGCGCGGGTTGTGCGCGGCCAGGGCGGCGCGCCCGTCCGGGTCCTGGTTCAGGTCGACGGGCGGGCAGAGCGGGTGTTGGGCGCACCAGGCCTCGCCCGCCTCCATCTCTTCCTCGGTCGCGTTGTTGGCCGGCGACCGCTCCCAGCTCGAGAACACGTCGGGCGGCGGCGGGAAGAGGGACGTGTCGGGCACCACGGCCTGCCAGTTGTGCTGCGGCGGTGGTGGCTGTTGCTGTTGCTGCTGTTGCTGCTGCTGCTGCTGCTGGGCCGGCGGCGGGCCGGGCGGGGGTGCCGTGTAGTCGGCGTGGCCCGGGGGGCGGAGCGTGGTAGTTGGTAGGATCCATGGCAGCCGCGCTCGACGATGCTAACCAAGGCGGGCCAGTCGGCGGCTGACAGTGCTTGGTTGGGGCTCCTGGTTTCGTCTCGGGCATGGACGAGAAGGTCTGCTGCTGGGCTGGGAGGGCAGCGGGTCTAGGCGCGACAGCCGAGGGGTCACGCGCCGGCTTGTCTCCAAAGCACATGATGATGCTTGGCTGACGCTTATACCTCGCAGATGTAGCTCCTGTCGTTTGCCCGAACCAATCACGGCTAGTTGGAGAGGCTGGTGTTTCCTCAGGCTGGGAAAATGACTTGAGAAATGGAACTGAACCCGGCAAACGTCAAGTCTCCAATGCGTTTGCGGTTTTGTCTGTCCCTTGCCTCCCGGATTGAGGCTGATCTGGCGGCAAAGAGGGTACCATCAAGGACCCGCCCCAAACCGAATTCGAATCTCCCTCTAGCGAGATTGGGTTTTGGCCACTGCACTGCACTGCCTCCGCATGTGCTTGGTGTTTTCGCACTGGTGATAAACGCTGTGAGATGTGACATTTCGACGAGGTAAGCTTATCCCGCTTAACCTTGCACATTTCCCATGTGGGTTCCCAGCCAACCATGGTGTCGTTTCTTGGCGTGCAAATACAACCTCCAAGCTGCCCACCAGGACACCCCTGCCACAGCGGCCAGGGGCAAACTTCCAACAGCTTCCACACGGCGGCTGCACAAACAGCGACTGGTGGTTTCACAAAAGACATGTCATAGATACCGCTCTCATCGGCAGGCCCCAAGAACGTGCACCAGTATATGGGAATTTGAGGGACTGGCAGCTCCTGGTATTCCCCAAGCACTAGCGTATGCCCTCATGGCCTGAACCCATCAGGACTGCGAGGGGGCTGTCCAAGAGGGGATCCCATCATGGGCAAATGTTCCTCAGGTATACTAGCCGTCTCATCATCTCGCCCTGCCTGCGCCCACTTCTTCTCCAGGCACTCGCTGGCTCTGGCCAACTTGCTGCCGAGAGATAAGGCTTCTAGACAGTTGATATCTGCCAGTGTATCCCTAAACGGACCCAGTAGCCAGATGCTCCTGGAAATAGCACTGGCGATCTTCAAGCCACAGTATTTTCACAAGCTCCTGCTCTGTTGGGCACGCACGTCATACTACCCCACCAAGTTAGCAGGACTAGCACTAAGCGCACAAACAAGATACTGTAACATCGCTGTGAAGCGTCGTGTTGTACTCTACTCCGGGCTGGCAAACATGGGTGGGCAAGTTCTGGGACACCTACTATCACCATTCTCACTCCATTCGCGTTTTCATACATCACTACGTCTCCTACAGCACTCTACCATGCTGGCTCGGCCACATATTCGTCGGGGTAGTATCCTGAGGCAGCCTCTCTCTCTCTCTCTCGGCCAGTTCGAATCTAGGTCTGTATCCTAACCGAAGGCAGTGTCTGCTTGTTACCACGGGAGACAGTTTTCACTTGGGAAGCACTGCCTTTGCTCACATAAGAAGTGTAGTTAAGTAACGCTGATCAAGATAAACTAGCCATACCATTGTAACCCATCGAAACTCCCTCGATAAAACCGGCAAAAACAAAACATCGAAAGTCGAGATCCATCAAGAACGCCAACAGAAAACCATGCCAAACAACCCAAATCCATCAAAAGAAAACCTGCAAAAACCAGCGCACCATGAACTCCCAGAACACTACACTAACAAACACACCACCTCCTCTTCTCTTATCCACGCCCGTGGATATTTCCCATCATCATATGGCCACTGTAGGTTGGATCAACCTCCATGATGGCCCTCCTGATCATGCCTACAACCGACGCGTCGTCCTTGAAGGTGACGGAGCCATCAGCGCCATGGGTGTGCCTGTAATCCCTGGGGATCAGGCAGATGGCGCCGTCGCAGTCAGGCATCTCTGGCAGCAGCGCCTGAGGCACGCTGGCGCCTACAAGCTGTGGCAGCTGGCTGGCGCTACCAAGACTCGGGTCAGTGACGCCAAACGCCTCCAGCGTCGGCATGGCGCCAGTGGGAGAAGGTGCAGAGATGAACTGCCCCAAGAGCTCCAGGTTTTGCTCCTCGACGCCCAGAGCAAAACCCATGTCGGGGGTCGAGTAGGACAGACCCAGGCTCAGGTCTGAAGTCGTGGTGGGCAGACCCAGATCCCAACCAGCGAGGCCCATGCCGAACCCAAAGAGGTCGTCATCCAGGGCCATGCCCTGGGATGGGACCTCCACAGGCGCTGGCGGAGGAGGAGCTGGAGCCTCGATGAGCGCTGGTGGTGGCGGAGGAGGAGGAGGAGGAGGAGCAGCTGGGGTCTGTGGGGCAGTCCTCGTCTGCCGTCTTCTCCTGCTCCCACCAATCACCCTGGGCATCCCAGGCTGGAGAAGAGGAGCGCTGGAGTGGTGGAGACGAATTAGAATCCTGAAGAAAAGGTATAGAAAACAAAAACAAAAAAGAGACAAGATGTGATGGAAAGAATGACTTACCCATACTTGGGATCCTTGCCGATCATGCTCCGGAGGTACCTGAACTGTGGTATCCCGAAGACCACATCTGGGAACCTCGCAGCAAATGCCTGGATGACAGGCTCCATCTTGGCCTCGTGCAGAAGCAACTGCTCTGTGTAATAGTGCTTCTGCTCCTCTGTGTAGCGAGGATGAGGGCTGTAGACGTAGCTGGGCCTGGAGATCAAGCATGATGTGTTAGTGGAGGAGCAAAGGGTGGGAGGTAAAAGGAAAGAAGCAAGAAGTGATGGAAGAATGAGAAGCACAAAGTGTGAAAAAGGAAATGGGAAAGTGAAGTAGATGTGTACACCATGAATAGAATGATACAAAAGGAAGAAAGATGATATCAAAACACTGAAGGACAAAGAGAAGGAGGTGGTGTAGGTTGAATGAAAAGTGGAAAACGTGACATTCGCCTGATAGTGGAGGGGTGCATAGTTACACTGTTGTGAAATACAATGAAAGGAAGCCAAAAAGAAGGATGATAAAAAGCAGGAGGATGAGAAGGAAGGTGATGAAAAGAAGAAGAGGAAGGGGAAGCTGGAGAAGCAGGATGGTAAGAAGAGGAAGGGGGCATGTTCATACATTGTGGATGGTTGTCGTTGAGAACTTGTTGAAGTGATCTCAAGGGTCACAAGAGAGGAGATGTCAAGGAGGGTGCCGAGACAGGTGGGTGTGGAAGCTGTCGTTGTGTATCGAGGAGGCAGGCCAGAGGAGTGTCGAGGAGGAGTGTCGAGGGAGGAGTCTCGAGAGAGGAGTGTGTCGAGAAAGGATGGGTCTTGGTGGTTCGCGCAGCCGATCTGCTTGGTGTGCCAGACTGTCAGCAGTGGCACTGGAAGGCCTCTCACCCAGTACGCCAGGATTGGAGAGGTTAGGTGTGGGATAGGCAGATGGGTGGGGATGCAACCTGTGATGGACACAGTCTCGACCTGTCGGGGTCTTGCTCAGGAGCTGAGTCGGAAGGAGGGTGGCCGAGAGGGAGAAGGAGAAGAGCTGCTTGGAAAGCTCAATGGGTGGAGGCGCGCCTTGAAAGGAAGGCGGCTTGGACAGCGAGGGCAGGTTCGCTAGGTGCGAGTCTTGGTGAATATGGCGGCCAAAGAGAGGCGTCTGGAAGGAAGCGACTAGAGGGAGGCGTAGAGAGGGACGTCCAGAGAGAGGCGTCAAGACAAAATAAGAGGGCAGAGAGAGGCGTCAAGTGAGGATGGCAGCTTGAGCAGGCTCGCTGAGAGTGACTGTCGCTGGAAGGGCGTGCAGCGAGGAGAGCTGGCTGGGCTGATTGGCAAGTCGATTGGGTTTGATGGGTGCTGTTGGAAAAGCGTCAAGAAGGAAGGCTGCTGGGAAGGTTCTCTGGGAGCGGCTGCTGCTGGCTGGAGAGGCGTGATGGGAAGATTTTTGGCTGGAGAGGTGTGAAGAGAAAAGGGCTGGCTGGAGGAGTGGGAAGAGAAGAGGGCTGGCTGGAGAGATGGGAAGAGAAGAGAGCTGGTTGGAGAGATGGGAGGAAAAGAGAGCTGGTTGAGCAGGCGCGTTGGAGCGGCTGTGCTAGAGATACCTACCAGGAGAAGGGATTAGCCTGATGAGCTTGGGAAGGCTGGTCTGGTCTACTGGATGGGCGTGCTTTCTGATAGACAAGCGCTGCCTGGGGTGGTCTCTAGATTCACTGGGTGAGTGGTGATGAGGAAGCATCTAGATATAAGAATGCTGGAGCGGGTTGGTAGGTTTGCTGTGCCTTCTGGGTCTGGCTATGGGGGGAGGAACGTTGAAGGTGTGGCAGATTTGATGGGCCCTGCTGGATAGTGTGCAGAAAGGGGAGGTTGCTGGGGGAAAATATATACCTTCCTTTTTACGTCCCGGCTTCCAGAATGGCAGCTGAGAGAGAGGATGGCGCTGATGAATTAAGTCTGTTCGGTGAATTCAAACAAAGCGGTGCATATCAAACTAGGCTGCTGCCTGGGGAAGGTCCGAAGAGGGCATTCATATTGCCGAGTTGGAGACGAGGAGGAGGGGAGGGAGATGAGGCTGCTGGGGCTGCTGCTGGGTCTGCTCAAACCCTTCAGGCTGATAAAGTTGCTGATTCTGCTGGTGCTGGAGCTGGGACTGCTCTGGTTCTTCAGGCTGGTGAGGTTGCTGGGGCTGCTGCAGCTGGCGAGGCTGCTGGGGCTGCAGGAGCCGGTGAATCACGTCCGGAAAGTGAATTTGGAAAAGCTGCGCTGTTTTTGTGGGCGCCCCAGTTTCTAAAGAAACGTGGCTTGAGTTCTAGAGCCCGTCCGATCAACGAGGAGGAGGCAGGAGCGCGCCCTGAGCTGGCACTCCCGCTGACCTGCCGGGCTGGGGAGACCCCTGCGCGCTCCTCGCCGAGCGTGGTTGATGGCTAACGCCTTTTTTTGGTTTACAGAACCCGCGCAGTTTAAACCCACATTGTCATGTTTCGGTTTTGGTATTTTTATATCGGCCCGGCACCGCGGCGCAGCCCTGCTAGCTTCCAACCCTCCTCGGGAGCTTTGAGCACTTTCCTTTATCAACAAGAGAAGCTGCTTAACCTATTTTTCCTTGGGCCAGACGTGCTGCCAGCTATGCAGAAAGCAACCTGCTGTTTATCAGTACTGACGTGCAACATCTGAAGGGACGCGGGCCTCGTTCGCCAATCACGAAGTCGACAGCAAAGGAGGACATCACACAGCAGCCTCACGGTCATGCAGCATCGGGCCTGCAGCGCGGCCGAATATCAGAAAGCCCCTTTCCGAGAGTGAGTAACATGGACAATCTATTCTCAGGCCACGGATGAGTCTCTCCGAGCCGAAACTGATAATCATAGCAACCGCATCGCGACACACAGACTATCTCGAGGGGGCGACCGATAGAGAGGACAAGAAAGACGAGCGAGCCGCCAGTCCAAGCAGCCGTCACTACAACACCCTATACACCAGGAGCCGGAGCCAGTTGACTCCTCCGAAAGATCCCCCACCAGCACTCGACCTCCTCTGCCACATCCTCCCCGTCTCCCCAGTCATCCTGGCTGGCCACAGCACCCTCATCGATGCACAGCAGGCTGGAGTGACGGGCGACAGATGACATGGCGCTGCGGAATGACGAGATCAGCCCGATGGTTGTGGCATCGCGTCGCGGCACCATGACCAGCACTCTGGCGTCGGCATCTCGGGCCAGATGGTCATCAATCGCGCTGGCGAGCAGGCCGGGATGGTCATCGTCGTAGAGAGGGTCAGCCACGAGGATAATCTAGTTGCCCCAGGAGTGCTGTCAGTCGTCCTGTTGACTAACTAGAGCAAAGCCGAAAAGACAGGATCGAAAGAGATTGTGACTCGAGTTGGCAAGTCCGAGAGCGGCAGCAAGCGCAAGCCGCTGACAGTAGAGCGCGGACGGGATGGGTGGGACAACGGCCGGAAGCAAGATGTCAACGGCACAACAAAAGGCACCCCGAGTCAACGTACCTTGAACTGGCCCTTCTCGCCAAACAGGCCCGGGTCGACTTGGTCTTCGCCACTGCCGCCCCACGTCAGCGCCCCAACGGACAGGTCGCCTCCCAACATCTCAACAACGGCGCGGTTCTGGTCGACGTTGTGCGCCAGGTTGGGCACAATCTCGGGGAGGTCGCTCAGGGCCACCGGGACCTGCCAGATTGCCGCCGCGGCGAGACCGAGCAGGCCGGTGCCGGAGCCAAGCTCGAGGACGGGCACGAGACCGGAGGTGGGGCCGAGAGCGGCGGTGTTGGGGGCCGGGGGAGCCAGAAGATGGGACAGAGGGCCCGCGGCGAACTGGTGCAGCATGCGTGCCAGCGCGTACGACGAGCCCCAGGTTTTGAGCCCGAGAGAGTCGCCCGTCAGGGGAGGCTCGCGGATGGTGAGCTCAAAGACTGGGTAGTCCTTGCTCTCAAACGGCCACCGCCTGGTGATCTCGCCCATGGCTGTTCAAGAGGCGGTCAGCAGGAGCGCGATCAGAAAAGAGCACGTGCAACACGTACCTGCCCTGCCGCACCGCTCCGAGAGGCGGCGTGCGGCCTCGGTCCAGACCAGGTCCTTCTGGTCATCGTCTTCCAGCCAGGCCAGAGGGTTGCTGATGACGCTCGAGAGATATGTCGAGATTTCGTGTCGTAGAAACGCAGCAGTGGTGGCCGCCACCTGCAGTCCCTCTTTGGGGCGTGGCTCGGACAGGGAGGAGGCGCGGCGGCCCTTCTTCTTCTTGGGGTTCCAGGTTGGGGGCTCGACTCGGAGGCTCAAGAGACATTCCATGAGATCTCCGAAGGCAGGCTTCTGCCACATCTGGGGGAAGTCCTCTGGCGAGCGCGGCACGCCTGCGATCGGCGTGGAGGTCATTGTGAAGACCTTTGCGTGTGGGTGTATGAGGGTGATGGAGTGCTGAGAGAGCGAATTGTGTGGGGGATCTGTGGAACCTCTAAGTCTAGGTAGGCAAATCAAGAGGGGAAACTACTCTAGAGAAGATCTCAAAAGGTCTTTTCGGTGGGTTGAGTGGGAGGGTGCTGCCCAAAAGGTTGACAGGCGTCAAGGAAGGCGGAAAGTGAAAGGAAAGCAAACAAACGAGATCTATGGTCTAGGTTTCAGGGTTTATGCTCTATGCTCTATGGTCTATCACTCGAACGGGACAAAACGGTAGACTGACGACGAAGAGACCGTGTGCATGTCCGCCAACACTTGTGAGGACAGAGGTAAAAGGGGGTCACCTGCGGGACAGGTCAAGTCCCGAGATCGCCTGCATGTTGTTGTTGAGCATTTTGGGCAAAGGGATGGACGTCGTTGAAGGGAGGGGCTCGGTGAGAGGGGCTTGTGGATAAGACGGGACCCAGTTGGGGAATTCGGGCCTTTATATTTTTCTCACCGTCTTGTCGTCAAGTCAGGGGAGACCCATCCCCTTTCCCTTTTCGTCAGTCCGCCTCAGCCTCACGCAGCCTCATCTGGGGCGCGCCTTGGTCGTCAGCTGGCTTAGCTAAGCAGACTCCCAGCGCCCCGCCACGCCGTTTTGGGGAAGCCGGCCCAAGCTCCCATTGGACCCACTAATAACGTCAGTGGGGTCCCCTCCACAGGCGGGAACATCAAAACATGACTCCACGGTGATTTTTTTCGTGCCTTCTCTTTTTTTTTCTTCCTTTCTTCCCTCAAGCATCGTCCTCTTCAACGCTGCGTTTCCATGCCTAAACACGGAGAGCGGCCCCTCTGTCCGCTTCGTTGCGGAAACGGGTCCCTCTCAATCCTTTTTCCAGCATGTGAGAAATTCGGAGAAATCTTCACTCTCGGGGAAGCCGCTGTCGTTTTTCCCTTTCCTCTCCGGAGGGGAGGGGGAAAAGGACGGGCGACACCCAACTTCTTCAGCCCGTGACGGCCTGGCGTGAACCTCTTTCCACGTCTGCAATTGGCATCAGAAAAGCAGGAGGCGCGGGTCCCGAGCCAGACGTTCCCTCCTAGCCGCAAGGCGACGTGGGGACGGCGCTCCGGCGACCGTCGGCGTTTTCCTCTGGGAGAGTCGTTGCGAAGATTGTGTCGGGAGACACTGGAGTGCGATACGCGGCGTTACCGACCGGGCTCGGCTCTCCCACTCGTGGGGAGATGCCAGCCCGGGTAACAATTCAATTCCGATTATTCTGTTGAGGACGATGCTTCAACCTCTTTTTTCTCCCAGGTCAGTTTCCCCTCACTCATTCCTTACCCTCCCGCCCACACCTTGTTTTCTCGGCACCTGGGCAAGCCCGGCCGAGAGGGCTCTGACGAGACAAGGTGCTGCGCTAACCATGCATCTTCGCATCCTGACAATGCGCCGGCGTGGCTCCGCGGCGTCTGTAGCGCGCTTGGGGGAGATGTTCAGAACGAACAAGGCTACAGCCCTGCCCATTGCTGTCACATACTCGTCAGAATACATTCACCCACCCAACTTTTACCACGTTGCTCCACCGCTTGAAGATTGCATGACAACCCGCTCGCCAGACCTCTCGCCGCGACCTGGCGCGTGGAGGATGCTGATTTTAGCCATGTTGCTTTTTTGCGGTGGGGAGTTTCTTTCGCCACTATTTTGGGACAGTCGGGACTAGGATGGGTCATGGTCGTCGTAACTACACGTGAGGTGGCAGCATCGAGGCGGCTGTAACCGAAGAGGAGGCCTGATCTACACTACAGTCACGCCTAGTTTTGATAACGACACGGTGGTGACTTAACAAGAGCAATGGTCAGACCAACAGAACCGATTTTCAGGTAGCTCTCTACCTAGGTGGTGAGTAGGTTACCCAGGCACAGACAAAAGATCGCAGACAAACCATTCCAATCCTTGGACAAACGAAACAGAAGGCTAACTCATGGCCAGTATGTATGCTCCAATACCCATATTATCCCTCTCTTTAGTATCATATCACAGCGCAGGCAATTGCGGAAACAATATAAGCAAGAGCACAAGCTTCCTTCCATGACCAAGTGAGAAATGCCCGGCAAACGTCCCCGTGGGCGCGCAGCCCGGATTCGTCATCATATCCGCGACTTCCACCAAAGCGCCAGCCCCAGCATGGCGACGGCGGCACTACCAACCGCGAGCAAGGTCTGCCGGTCAGTTTTGGTTCCTGCTGCCGGCTTCGACCGCAACAAGCTGCCACCAATGGCGCCCTTTTCCTTCATATCCGTCAGCGCCGGGACACCGGATAGGTCAATTTCTCCCTTCTTTGCCGTCGAGGTTTGGTACTCTCTATCGTGATCGATAGGGTCCGCAGGCTGGGCCTTCTCAGAGTGCCTGGGCAAGTCGCGGTACGAAGTTTCCGATGCAGGGGCGGCACTCGTCTTCTCGGCAGATTGAGCCTTCTCGGACTGCTTGGGTAAGTCACGGTACGAAGTTTCCGATGAAGGAGCGGCACTCGTCTCCTCGGCAGATTGCGGCTGCACTGGCGTGGGGGCCTCTGCCAGTGTCCTCTTGGGGCTATCCAACACCACAGCCTCGTCGTCCTCGCTCGAAGGTATTTTGCCAGCCATGGTCGGGCGAGTGACGGGGCTAGGGACCATGACGGGTTGCGGCGAAAGGGGCGGATCCTGGTCGTCATTATCCTCGCCACTCTCGGCGATGGACTGCAGCGACAATACCGAAGACGACATATCAGAGGTGACCGACCCCACGGACTGCCTGGGGACAGACAGGCGCTTTTGCGGCCGAGAAAGGGACGGACTCTCGGCGGGGGAGCCTCCAATAAAGTCCCCGACAAAGTCGTTCGTTTTCCGGCGGGGCACGCCGAGCACGGCCGAGGGCGGGACGCCCTCGAACGCGGTCTCGTCCTCCTCGAGCTCGCCCTCCACCTCGTGAATGAGCTCACTTATCTGCTCCAGACGAGAGGGGAACTGCTCGAGTTCGGGATCTTGGAGCTCCGATACGTCAGGCTCGTGCTCGAACCCGAGGGAGTGGCGCGCCTCGCTAGGCGAGTGCGGCCGGCTGCCCCCTTCGTTCGAGTCCAGGTCGTTCGGCACAAGGCACTCATGAGCAAACAGAGGGACGCGCTCCTGGTTGTCGTCCCAGTCACCTTCCATTTGAGGGCCGTGTTTCTTGGGAAAGGGGTCTAGCCAGCCCGACGCAGTTTCAAAGTCGCCAAAGGCACTTGAAGGGCCTTCTTTGACATCGTCGTCGAGGAGGCGGATTTCCGGGGCCGGCTCGTTGTCGTTTGGTGGAGGCGACGCTGGAGCCGGTGGCGAGCTTTCAGGAGTGGGTGCCTCCTCCAACTCGGGCCTGAGACCAGCAAGTCAGCAACGAGAAAAGAAAGCGGGTGCGCACGGGGCTACCAAAAGAACAATGCGTCTTACCTGATCTCGTTGGGAACCGTGAGTACACTATTGCAGTTCCCCTCATGGTCGGTAACTATGGAGACACCAATCAGCATGGGGACGAAATTTCAGGGCGAATTTTTTTTTTTGGAAGAGGTATGCGCCAGAGAAGTAGGGCGAGGTGGGAGAAGTGGTGATGGGCGAGGGCAAGGAGGGGTAGGGAGGCATAAAAAAACGGCAGCGACTGACCTGAATCGGCATTCTCGTCGAGGAGCCACCAGTCGCCGTGACCCACACGGAACTTGTATTGAATGCTCGAGCCGGGAGCTGCAAGAAGCTCGGCCTTGAATTCATACTCTCCTTGATCGTCGGAGGAGGAGGTCATCTCCTGGGGCTGCCATTGAGGCTCCGAGAAAGTGCCGGCCACGAAGACGGGCGGCGAGGTTCCCGGCCTCCGAAACGTTATCGTGACAGGGACTTTGCTGGCCGCCATTGTTGCTGCTTGGAAAGCTGCTCAGCTAGAAGTTGGACAAGGACAAAGCAGACGAGTTTCTCGCCTGCCCCCGAACTGTGTCGACACGCTGACCCAGAAGGTGTCAACGCGGGTGGGATTCGGGATGGGGTGTGGTCCTGGCAGACTGGATGGATTGCGGGACGGGCCACAGATGAGTGAAAAAGAAGGAGAAAGAAGAGCACGAATCGAACAGCAGAGAAAGATTCACAGAAGGGCAGATAGCGTTGCTGACAAGGGTAGACGGGGCAGATAGGGAGGTGCCTAGGTAGGCAGGTAGGTGGTAGCTCCTACAGGGATTTCCTAGGCATTAGGTAAACAGGAAGGGCGGGGGAAGGATAAAGACAATGGGGATTGGGGTTTGGGGGGGTGTGCGTGTGTGCGTGTGTGCGTGTGTCGAAAATGTTGGTGGCAGCGAGGGGAGGCACAGCAGCAGCAGCAAGCTTCGAATGCCGCGCGGGACAATGGCCCGATTTCCCACCAGTGCTTTCAATGGTCCCAACCCAAGTGCAGACTGACTGGCTCGGTTGTGGGCTCGATGGAAACGATTGAGGGAAGGAGCAGTGCTGGATCGGGCGGGCGGGCCCTCGATTGATTTGAGAGGCGGCGACTGGAACGGCCACAAGCTCAACGGTGCTCGGGGCTTGGTCAATGGACCGTTCGCGTCAGGTTGGACGGGCAATGCAGCCAGATTTCACTGCAGCTTCCGACGAAGCCACCACGCAGGTAGATTACAAAGGGCGCCCATGGTTACAGCACGAAACCTGCACACCTATGGCCAGACGAGTCCGGCCGACCAACCCTGGCTCTCTGACTTCCCCACAGCACCAGATAGGCCGATGCCATCATCCACCCTCGTGCGCAGGAATGGGTGGCCAAGGCACACGTACGTGGTTGGAGTTGGGAAGGGAAGATGGAGCTTGGCCGGCCCCTCAATTGTGCTAACCTTAGGTACCTCGCCCGAGTCGAGGAGCTCAGCGTCATGCCATATCACGCCACACCGCCAGAGCCGGGGCCAGAGCCAGCGCAGGCGGCCGCCCCAACAAGTAGGACGTGGAAGACGGCCACAGGTAAACGGCCAATCTGCAATCTGTGCTGGCGTCGGCCGCCGCCGTTGCGATGTGCTGGAGCTTCAGAGCCCCCTGTTCGCCCTTGGCTGCACTAGCACTAGTCGAATGCACGGGCTGCATGCAGCATTCATGGATGGATGGATTGACGTGCGAATCCATTACACAAGGAAAGAGCACATCTTGATTCTCGAGATAGGAGAAACACGGGTGCGCGGATGTTCCAGTAGCACGAGTGGCTGGACCGGTCAGAGGCCCCACAATCACCCGCAAACCTTGTGCCCGCCAGTGCCGCCCAGTGGTGGCGGAGACCCGTGGTGGAGAATCCATTTGACGATCTAAGCCGTTTTGCCGTTTTGCCGTTTTTGTTGATACTAGCAGACACCACCAGTTTTGATGTGGGGCATTGACTGGGGCATGCAAAAGAATTTCCAGCGGCGAGAGCTACACCAAGAAGCGGCACGAGAAGCTGCATAGGAAGCTGCACCAAGACAGACACCTCAGACACCCAGCACTGGTGCCCACGCAGCCCCTTGGCCCTAGTTCCGTGTACGGTCTGGCCATGCTAAGATCGGCACTGGGCCCGGTGTGTCTGGCCTGCCGCATCTCGGGTAATGCCTTTGCTGTCGGGGCGGCGTCAAGGTCTCTACCTCAGGGACCCCGTGCTCCTGCCCCGGCTCTGGCAACGGCTTCACGGGCCTTCTCGACTAGCCATGCATACGCCAGTCCGCTGCGTCCACAGAAACGCACGCCGTCTCGCATGGTCCTGTCTGACAAGGTCGCTCATGGCGCCGAGCGCAGTAGCTCAAGGCCGAGACGGACCGAGGGTCCGTTCGGCGGCATGAACCGCAGGGTCGCCAACATAGACCCGGACGCAAGGTCGTCGGGCTCTAGAGGCCCGCCACGGGACTCGTCGGACCGCAAAAGCCCGCGGAGGGGACCGCCTGGCCGCGACGGCCGCGGGTTCAAGGCGCTCAAGATGCAGCAGAGCCTTGCAACAGTGAGCTACGGCGCGCGGGCCAGGATCAAGTCTCAGGCAAGCGAATTTGAATCGTTCGACCAGTTCAATCTTCTACCGTCCATCAAGGAGGCAGTCTACGATGAAGCCCTGAAAGGCATGACCGGCGTCAGGCCCACCCCTGTCCAGCGTCTTGCCATCCCGGCACTCCTGGGCCAGACCATCGGGCGATCCAGGAAGCCCAAGGCTGCTGCCGATGGTGACGAAGAACCTGGCCGAGAAGAGTTTCTGCTTGCGGCCGAGACGGGCTCTGGAAAGACACTAGCCTATCTTGTACCAGCCCTCAATGCACTCAAGCTCTCCGAGGCCCAGGACCCAGAAATCATGGCGTACAACCAACGCCAGGCCGTAGAGCGGGAGCGGCGTGCCAAGGAGGAAGAAAAGGGCCATGCCTCCGGGCAGCGCAAGCCCAAGCGCGCCACGGAGCCGCACCCCACGATGGCGAGGCCGCGTGTTGTGGTGTTGGTGCCAACCGCCGAACTGGTGGACCAGGTCGGCAAGGTGGCAAAGTCGCTCTCGCACAAGATCAAGGCGCGCACGCGGCTCGTGTCGGCCAACTACTCGGCCACCGTGCTCGAGGCCGACGTCTTCTCGCCAGCGGGCATCGACGTGCTGATTGCTACGCCGCACCTGCTCTCGTCCATCGCGGCGACGAACCCAAACATACTCTCGCGCGTGACGGACCTCATCGTCGACGAGGCCGATTCGCTGCTCGACCGCAGCTTCTCCGAGGTTACCGAGAGCATACTCGAGCGCGCCATGCCCTCGGTCCGCCGCCTCGTCATGTGTTCGGCCACGATCCCGCGCCACCTGGACCGCTACCTTGACATGCGCTACCCCAAAATGCGCCGCATCACGACTCCCAACCTGCACGCCATCCCGCGCCGTGTGCAGCTCGGCGTCATCGACGTGTCCCGCGACCCCTACAAGAACAACAAGAACCTGGCCTGCGCCGAGGCCATCTGGTCCATCGGAAGGGACGCTACCCGCCACGAGGGGCCCATCAAGGGCCTCATTGAGGTCAACCGCATCATGGTATTTGTGAACGAGCGCGAGAAGACGCACGAACTGGCCGAGTACCTCGTCAGCAAGGGCATCGACGCCGTCGCCCTGCACCGCGACACCGAGGAGGAGCGGCAGTCCGAGATGCTCGCCTCCTTCACGAGCAGCCACCCCCTCACCATCACCGATGCCGCCGACGACGCCGCCGCCGCCGCCGCCGCCGCGACAGCCGGTAGGAAGAAGGCCCGCGGTAGCCAAGCGAATCCGGCGCCGACGCCGACGCCGACAAAGGGCCGGAAGCTCCTCAACACCAAGGTCATCGTGGCGACGGACCTGGCGTCGCGCGGAATAGACACCCTGGCCGTGCGCCACGTCGTGCTCTACGACGTGCCGCACACCACCATCGACTTTATACACAGGCTCGGGCGGGCCGGTCGCATGGGCCGCCGCGGGCGCGGCATCGTGCTGGTCGGCAAGGACGACCGCAAGGACATTGTCGCCGAGGTTAAGGAGAGCATGTTCATGGGCCAGGCTCTTGTATGATCTCCGGGTACTCTCTTTGTTCTCTGCTGTAGCATACTGTACGATTTTTTAGCATCCGAGATACGACACCTAGGTAGTAGACAAAAAAAACACTAGACCTTCTTTGCGATGATGGGTTGTGGTTGCGGGCCCGTTCCCGCACTGTCCAGCCACAAAGGTGTCTTTCCTCCTCGTGGTTATAACGCTGGTCTGATCTGTCTGATCCCAATCCCGGGATAGCGAGTGGTTATCTAAAAGGCATGGCTAGCCACCGCCCATGGTCCCGGGGGGGAGCCCCGGGTTCGACCCTGGGGAGGGTCCACGAACCCTAGCCCACGCTCAGACCCCGGGCTTCCTTGGCGCCCTTTTTTTTCGTCTTGTCCCTTTTTCCTTTGCTTTTTTTTTGACTAGTTTTTTCTTTTGTAATTTTTTTTTCATGCCTACACGCCTTTTGTTTTCACTGCCTCAAAGTCAAGTTCTGTTTCCCCGGAAAAGCAATGATTTTAACACAGAGCTACAATTTCAACAACACCAATAGAAAAGAAAATCTAGTATAGGCATCCACCGAGTACAGTCAAGTTAAATGACACCCGGCTCGGTTGACGACGAGATTCAACCGAGGGGGAGTATCCATGGCGATCGTTCCAGACCCGCACAAAGAAGAGGAAGTCCTCGTAGCCCAGAGAGAGAGGAGGATATCTATCAACCAGACGTGAATCGTCAATACACAAACTTGAATCATCAAAAGGCGCAACATGGCCGTTTTTTTTGAGAGAGAGAGAGAGAGAAATTGGACACCTCCAAACACGGACGAGCCCACCTCGGTTGGTAATGCCTGGTTTGCCTCAAAAGTTAGATTCAATCCCCTGGGAAATGCTGGACGGGCAAGAACATAGTATCAGCTCACCATTAAAAGCACCAGCCGTACGCCTTCTGGCAGCCGGTGAAGCAACTCCAGTCGCACTTGTTCTTGGACGAGCAGCAGGGCGCGTACTTGCTGCCGTTGCACGTCATGCCCGCCGCCTTGCCGCAGTTCCCGTTGGTGCTGACCTTGATGGCGGTCGACGTCGGCGTTGGGCTGACCTTGGCCGTCGTCGAGGTGGTGCTTAACTTGGCCGTGGTTGATGTGGTGCTGGTCTGGGCAGTTGATGTGGGCTTCACCGAGGTAGACGACGGTGACGACGACGACGATGACGACGAGCTGCTACCGCCACCAGCAGCCTGGGAGGAGGTCGTTGCCGACGAAGAAGCAGCGGCAGACACGGTCGACGACGAGCTAGCAACGCTAGACGCGGCGGAGGAGGAAGAAGAAGAGGAAGAAGAGCTGGCAGTGCTCGACGCAGCTCCGCCGTCAGGAGTCAGGGGAACCGAAGACGAGACGGCCGGGCTGTTGGCGCAAGTTCCAAAGGCCGACTGGCAGCCGTCGCCGCAGTAGCCGTCGCCGGCGCCGCACCAGCCGTACTGGCTGCAGCAGCTGCCACCCGCCCAGCCGAGGCAGCTGACGCCATTGCCGCAGTCACCCTCGACGCTCGCCTTGAGGGTGCCCAGGGGGTTGGCGGCGCCGCTAGTGGCCGACGCCGAGTTGGAGGCGGTAGCGGCAGTCGCCGAGGAGCCGGCCGAGGAACCGCCGCCGCCGCCGCCGCCGCAGGTCCCAAAGGCCGGCTGGCACCCGACTCCGCAGTAGTTGTCGTCGCCGCCGCACCACCCGTGCTGGCTGCAGCAGCTGCCGTCTGCCCAGCCGATGCAGGTGATGCCGTTGCCGCAGTTGCCGTCGACGCTGGCCTTGAGGGTGCCCAGGGGGTTCGTGGCGCTGCTGGTGGCCGAGCCGGTGGCCGAGGCCGAGGCCGAAGTGGAGGCGGTGGCGGCGTTTGCCGAGGAGCTGGCCGCGTTCGTGGGGCCGGGGGCGCCAGTGGACACGCCCGGGGGCGGGTAGGCCGGGACGGGCTTGTCCAGGGAGCGGTACCAGTTCTTGGGGTCATCGCCCAGGCACTCGCCCACGGTGACCGACTTGAAGCCCTTCTTGTTGAGGGAGATCAGCATGTACTCGGTCAGGTTGTACACGGCCTGGAACTGGAGATCGTGCTCGATGTGAAGGAACGAGGTCGTGGCCGGGTTGGCCGGCCCCACGGCAGCGTCCCAGATGTCCTTGGACCCCTGGATCTGGGTCGCCGAGTCCTTCAGATAGCCCTCGGTGTCCAGGTCAAAGTAGATGACGTGGTATCCGAGCGTGCTGAGGGTGGTCTGGCACAGCTTCTCGCAGATGGAGTACGGCGGCCGCATGTAGGTGGGGAAGTAGCCTAGCACGTTGGCGATGGCGATCTCGTTATAGATCATCTGCTCCTTCATCTGGGCTGCATTCAGCTGGCTCGCGTTTTGATGAGACCATGTGTGGCTCGCAATCTGGTGGCCCTCGGCCGCCATGCGCTTGAGGATGGCCGGCCAGGGGGTGGCGGGGTCGTTGAGCTGCCCCTTTCCAAGGTTGTTGCCTGTGATGAAAAAGGTGGCAAAGGCGTTGTATTTCTGTTGCCCAGACGAAAAACAAGTCAGCCTCGTATTGAGCAAAGGCGAGCCCATTTTGTTTTGAAGGGGAGCTTGACTACAAACCTTGAGAGTGTTGAGTAGGTCGTTGGTGTACAGGTATGGTCCATCATCGTAAGTGATGGCAATATCGCCATTGTTGACGCAGTCGTAGATTCCCAGGCCACCATAGGGCACATTCCCAACCTTGGTCCTGGCTACACCGCTGGTGTCGGACCCTTTTGGCACTTTGAGGGCATCACAGCCCGGCCCGTAGTTGATCTGGCAGTCAGGAGCCGCGCAATAATCATTGCCCTGCCCGCACCATCTAGAACAGGGGATCGATGTGTTAGTTTGTAGTCTTGCTTTCTTCTCCATCTTGTCCAGCTTTCCTTACCCAGCACTCGAGCAACAGTATCCGGCAGCGCATTTCCCCAAGCCAGGGCCACACTGCCCGTCCACGTTCTGGCGTGCCCTCAGCTCAGAGACGCTCCGTCTCCCCAGAGGCACCCCGTGCATGTGAGCGCCGTGGCCGTGGCCACCATGGCCGGTGAAGCCTCGGGCCCTGAGCTCCGACGCAAGCTGCCTATCGCCGACAATGTGAGGCATCGCTTGGTCGCCGTGGGCTGCGGCCAAGCCGGCAAAGGCCGAGAGGGCGAGCGCTGTCCACTTCATTGTTATCTAGTAGAGCAGACGAGTATGGAGCAGGGGATAGTGGGAAAAGGTAAATAAAAAGGTCAACGCCGTGAAGCGGCAGAAGGAGCGGCTGGAAAATGTGAAAGCCTTTGGTAGGAGGAGATTACAAGGGAAGATTTGATGAATTCTGTAAAGGAAAAGAGAGTCGAAGAGAGACACTCTGTCAAGGCCGCTGAACGAAGGAGTGCTAGTTCAGGGGCTGCAGAGAGGATAACAAAGGTAGGGCAAGCGGAAAAGACTTGACAAGAGGAGGGCGGAGGCTCATGCACGAGATATAGGTCGCTGGGAGAGGTGGTCTGCCACAGGTACCTCACCGTAGGGGCGCACCGCCGCTCGTGGGCAGCACTCGGATGCACGGCGGCGCCGTCGCCCGCCATTGCGTCGCGGGCGTCCGTGGGCGCCAGCCAGGGCCTGGCGGCCGGGGCCCACGAAAATAGGTGGCCAGCCTGCCTTGGCGCGCGGCGAGGGAGGGTGGAAGGATCGAAGAGAACGTAGAGGCCCAAGTGCCGGAACAGCATGACGGAAATGAGGTAGGAGGCAGACTCTTCGGGAGCCTAAACACCAAGCGGCGCCTTCCTAGTGGCGCTTTACGCGAGGCCAGAGGAGAGGGCCAGTATCTCGGAAGGTATGGCGTCCCTTACAGTGGCATTTCCGGCGAAGCCCTTACCTGCTCGGTCGCCCATCGGAGCAAGACGCCATCCTCGGGAGCCCCCATTGACCTCTAACGAGAAGCGAGGTTAGGTGGGCTGACGCCACGCCCGCGGAAGGTTGTTTCTCAGCAAGCAGAGATATCGCGCGAGTGAAGTGGCAAGGTGACCCAAGCGAAGCATACTCTCTCTTCGCCTTCCCAAGCCGCGACTCGGTCTCCGGAGATCAGCAAAGGGAAACGCGCAGCAAGACGGGAAAAACAAGCATCCAAGTTCCCGAGGGCGGATGTGGTGGCACGTCGATCCCCAGGGATGACGGGGCGGCATGAATACGAAGCAGAGAGGAGGGGGGGATTGGGCGCCCGCTGGGACGTTCCACGGCCGCGAGAAACGCACGCCACGCGGAAGATGGAGAGCAGGCCTGCAGGGTAGGGCAGGGCTAGCGGTCGTGCTGTGAGGGCAGCCCCCTTGGCGTGCCAAGAACACCTGCTCTCTGTTGCCAGAAGGGACAGGCTGCCGCTGTCCGCTCTCGGTTGCGTCCTTCATGGACAATTCCAGTACATGTCAAGCCGGCAAGACTAAGATCAAATGGAGGGCTCCTTGGCAAGCATTGCGCTCCCTCCGCCGCGCTAGCTGACGTGCTCCGGGAGGAATCGTGGATCTAGGATCTAGGCCCAAACAAGTTCCAGAGCCAATCTGGGGGGGAGTAGAATGAGGGCTTGTGGGCGCGGCCCCGGCGCAGAACCGGACACGGCACCATCTAAAGTAGTGGCGCCTCCCCCGGGCGCAGAGACGGGATCTGAGAGCAGGCCCGCCCTGCCTCTGGCTCGGGAATGGCAAGAAACAGTGACATTGACGGCCCGGCTGCGGAACAAACAAAGGGACTTGGAACTTGGAGCAAAGGGTCAGAATGATGGGGGAGAAGATGCCGGCTGAGAGCAGAAAAAACAAAACGGAGTGAGAAACAAGCCTTGCTTGGGAGTCAGCAGGCAGCACCTTCCCGCGAACGACAGCCGACGGTCCGAACCGAAGACGAGCTGGCATCTCTCCACCCAGACAAGAGTTCGGAGAAGGGTGGACAAGGGAGACGGCTTGCTGCGTCAAGGTCGGTCTACGTCGAGTCTGCAGTGTCTCTTCCGTCGACTTTGAGCGGCCAACAGGAAAGCCGGGACCACGAAGCAAAAGAAGGCTTGGTGGCACACAAAAGCCAAGGCGAAATTAGACCTCGTAGCCTGGCTTCTAGGCCAGCCCGAGCCTAGCGTGCCTGCTTCGCTCGAGTCGGGACAATTCGCACACACAGAGCCCGCAGGTCCGACCGAGGGACGCATCCGGCGCCATGCAAGGAGCCGCCAAAACTTTGAGGGGCAAGCAAAACGTGGTTCCTTTGACTGCCCAGCCTGGGCTGAAGCGGCAGGTTCAGCTGCATATAAACCATGTTTCCGAGGTCGCCAAGACCACGGCATCATCATGAGCTGGAAGTAATGCCGCCAACAGCAAATATAGTAACATAGGTGAGCAGGAGCCGTACCTCGGTGCCTCCGCACCTCCTATCTCTTCAAAAGATGAAAGGGAGAACGCCAAGAAGACGGGCGTCTCGCGTTTGATGGGCTTGTATATTTGCTCTACACCCGCCACCAAAACAGCAAAACACCAGCCATATTAGCCACAGCTCAAGCCGAACTCGGCAAAGAAAAGCAGAGAACAGGCCGAAAGGCTCGGGAAGAACAATATCATACATTCAGAAATATCCTTTGGTATCCTCTATCACGTGCGCCTGGCGCTGCCACAAAACCCCTGGGTTGTGTGTTTTGGACGCCCTCCCGCAAAGCAAAACCCGGCCGTCCATATTCGCACAAAAGAAACCCTACCCAGTGGGAAGAGGGCATGATGTGAACAAAAACCCATCAAGAAAACAACAAGAAAATAGGCATGATTGAAAGAAGGCGCCCCATCCCCAATCCCTAGTCACTCAGCTTTACTGGGGCTACTGCTGCTCAGCCTTCTTTTTCTCCTCGGCCGCCTTGTCCTCTGCCGCCTTCTTGGCTTCGGCTGCTTTCCTCTGTTCCTCCTCCTGCTTCTTCTTGTTCTCCTTCTCATCTTGTTTCCTCCGCTCCTCCTCCTCGTGCTTCCGCTTCTCGTCTTCTTCCCTTTGCTTGGCGGCGTCTAGTTGCGCTTGGCTGAGGTTGGACTCGCCGTTGTCGCCCTTGCAGCGCTGGCGCTCGAGCTTCATGTCCATGATGAGGGCCAACTCGGGGCAGTAGTTGAACAGCTTTTTACGCTGCTCTTTGTTCTTCCATATCGCATCCTTCAGTTCAGTTCCTCCATTTCGAATGTGGAAACCCATGGGGTTCTCGATGTAGACGTCCTCCATTGCGAGCGCCCCGTCGACGCCCTGGGCAACCTTCTCGCCTGGAAGAATCCAGAGACGCTTGCCGAACCACTCGTCCTCGGGCTCCGTGTCGTTAAAGCGCGACTGGAAACCCAGTACGCGTCTGATAGCCGACATCTTGCGCAGGGACAGGCCGCCATTACCGGCGAAACGGTCCTCAACGCTCCTATAGAATGACAATCTCATTCAGCATTTCCGACGTGTAGGGGGAGGAAAATAGAATAAGAAAAGGCAAGCTGCGGAGAAAAAGGCGGGTGACGAACCGTGGGGCACCAGCCCAGCTCCAGCCGAGCCACTCGTTGAGGCTGGTTTCCGAGTTGGAGCACAAGATGCTGTCCGACTCGAAGCGGAGGATCCATTCGACGCCGGGGAGGAACTCGTCATAGAAGCGAATATCCGTCATGAGCCGATGGACCACCTCCTTGGAATCAATCTGCCAGGGCTCGGGCAGAACCAGGATGTCCATCTTGCCAATGACCTGCTGGTGCTTGATGGCAACGGAGCGGCCGACGCTGATGGTGCTCTTCTCGGAGCCCACAAAGACCATGCGCCAGTCGGGTGGAATGACGCCAATCATGTGGAGGATCTGGGGGACCAGGTGCGGGATCGGGCGGTGCTCGACGATGAGCGCGATCTTGGAGGCATTGTAGTGCGAGCGCGGGTCTACCGCAGGCTTCCAGTCTAACTTGATGGCCGGCAGCTTCTTCCGGGCCTCGTCTAGCCTCGACTGTATGCCGGCCTGGATCGCGGGCGTGTAGTGTGGGAGGAGAAATGCGATCCACCATCTACAGGTCGCCAAGAGAACATGTCAGCCGGGCTGGCCGAGGGCGAGGGCGCGGCCGCACCACCAGCTTGTCGTTCCCTTCTCGCTCGATGCGACACTTACGTGAAGATCAGGGAGGCTAATATTATGAGCTTTCCCTTGGTGCCGGCGAAGGGGCCGGCCTGGTTCTGAGGTGCCACCATCGTAGAACGGCGCAACCGCTGTTGCGGTTGTCGGTGGTTATGTCGTGGCGCTCTTCGCGTTGAGAAGATTCGGTACGAGAGTCGTCGAGGTCCGCAGCCGGCGGCAGCGTCAGGGCAATCCCCAGGTCGTCAAAGTGGGAAGGCCAAAGAAAGGACAATAAGTGAGACGAAGAAACAACAGCAAGAGGTCGTCAATCCTTGATCAACTAATTTCTCAGCCGGCGGCAGATAGGCCGTCAAACGAGTTATGGGCGCACGGTCGGTGACGTGTGCCGCATAGTGTCAGGGCACGAACCACTGGAGGAGCTGAGGACCAGGAAATGGAAAAGGGAAGGACAAAAAGCGGTGTCGTCCAAAGTCACAGTGTGGGATTCGCCCCAAGTCGTGGAGACTGGTGGATGAGCGGCTGAGACAGACGATTACCACCTCGGCTAGGGAGCGCTCTGGGGAGGAGGAGGAGGGGGGAAAGTGGTCAAGAGAAGAATAGGAGACCCTCGCCGACGAGACACGCGATAGGAACGAAGGCGCAAAGGGATCAGGTATGCTGCTGGCCTGTGCGACTGCTGTCTTTTGCTGGGAGAGTCGCGCCGCCACTCAGGCTCGTCTGTTCAGTCAATGTCAGCAGCGGAAACTCCCTTCTCAGCACGGAAGCCACTGCTGCACCTTGTCGAGTGCGGGCCCACAGGGAGTCTGGGCGCCCTGTGTAAGGCAGGTGTAGGCTGTAGGTACTCCACCGGTACAGCCATGTACTTTCGTTCGTGTCCCTTCTCGTGTCCTTTCTTATCGATCTCCAAACCACCACTTTAGACGGGACCCACCACATCGGCCACGACCGCCCATGATTCGCCCGAGACACCAACAAGGGGGTTCGGCTCGGTGGTGCTCAAGGTTGCTGCCAGCGCCTCCCTCAGCAGCATGACAAGCGAGCGGGTTGACAATCAGACGAGCGCTGTTAAAGTCTCGAGCGCCCCGCTAGTCAAAAGAGGCAGGCAGGCAGATAGATTCTCGGACTGGCCTCAAAGGTTCAATGGACGAGCCACCAGCAGGGCATGGTGAGAAGGCTTCAGTTGACGGCTGTCACGCTTGCGAAGAGCAATAACCCCAACACAATAGTCTTCCTCTCTTATCTTGTTTTGTGCATCACCAATGAAACCCGCCGCTCGCCACAGCCACAGTCCGCCGCTTCAGCTTTATTGGTGGACAGACAAACACGCACACCTCGAGAGGAGAGGAGATCGATCGGCGGGCTACTTGTCGCGGCCAAGGTTGTACCGAGATGCAACGCAGGTCTCGCCTGCCCATCTCGTATTTTCGACAGGCAGCAGCCATTCACCGGCCATTCATGTTGCCCTTGGCGCTGCCTGGGGGAGCCGAGCCGGATGAAGGCTTCGTCCGTCTTCTGTCCGTCTCTGTCCGTATTTCTGCAAGCAATGGCCGTTCAGACGAGGATCCCGTCACGACGGCCAACTTGCCACAAAATGAATGGCGCCAAGACAGATGAAATTGCTCTGTTGCTCTTGCATGACTGTGCGGGCGACTCATGTCTGGGCTCCCATTTTGTTTGTATCTTTGTCTTTCGTGCAGCTGTGGGGTCGACCGTTCGAGATCTCTATCCCATGCGAGAATTAGGGGCGTTTGTGTTTAGCGCTTTGTTTCGTCCATGGCCGCCGTGCTCTGAGGGGGCAGGGAGGCTTAGATTCTCGCCACTGGAGCAGGCACTTCCCCAACTCTATTTTCTATTCTATGCCCTTTGCTGGGCTTGGGCGTGGTGTCCAACCTGCCGAGCAGGAAGCATGAGGGGACACTACCCAGAACCTTTTGCTGAAACTGTCTGAACCAACGACGGAAATTTTGAACGTGATGGTGATGGGGGTGGTGCATCGGGCTATGCGGGGGCCCCATCCGGTCTCATCGAGGCCACCAGTTCTGGAACCATGGAGACTCCATCCCAACTGGGCACCTCCCAGCTCGGCGGGTGGTCGTCTAGTGGGCTGCCCAGGTACCGAAGGATACATTCAGGTACTACACCCAGCCTTGTGCGGCAACTCTGTCTAATTTCGTGTATCTTTCAGCTGCTCGGGTAGCGTCCAGAGTCAGCAGCGGCGCCATTCTCCACGAGCCAACGTAGCAGTAGCAGCACTGGTGGTGCTTTCCCTTGTTTTGCCACCCTCATCCTGCCGTCAGCCTGCAAAGTCCTGCCACCTTGGTCCGTCTCTCTCCTCGGTCGGGCGAAATTTCATGGTGCTCAAGTCTGGGATCGTGTGTATGCACGACTCCTGAAGCTTGTCCACACAGCTTCAACGGTCATGTCGTCGCTCGGCTGCAGGGGCGATCTGGAAGTACCGCCAGCCTATTTCCAGATTGCGGTATAGTCAAAGAAGGGAGCACAGATAGCGTCGCAGAGTGGTAGAGAATATAATAGAAGTCCCGCCTGATGGCCCCGAACACCTTGACCTAGACATCAGCCAGACACCAAGCCAGCCGGCCCCTGCCTGCTGCTGACAAGTCTCCCTCCCACGCGCTAGGCCTCCCCTATTGGCCAAACACGGGCGCCATCCCCCTGTCCCGTCAGTGCCCTTCCAGCCGGGATCCGCCCCAGCGCTGCCTTCCTGCCTTGCACGGAATCAGGCTCTGGAAGCGTGTCCCCCCAAAACCCATCCCGCCCAGCCGCCGCACGCATGCACAGGACGCACGTCCGTTCTTTTTTCGGCGTCTTTCTTCTGGCATCATCGTCCACCCAGGACAAAGCCGCAGGCTAGCCCTTCTTCCCGTCAACCTCCCACCATCCTCACCTTTCCGTCAGCCCCCAGGCCCAAGGCAGGTACACACGCACTTGCGGTCCCTGCCGTCGTCGACACAACCTCCCCCCCCCCTCGAGTCCAAGGATTTGATGGGACAACAGATCTCATAATGGCGATTGGCGGCTTGGTGCAGAGGCTCCGGGCCTTGGCCTTTGCCCTGTGGTCGAGGACTAGCAGGCGCATTCGTGTCCTTGGCGCCATGGTCATGTTTTTGTAAGAAAAAGCCACTCTCCTTTTGCTTCCTTGCCCTTGCCCTTGCCCTCGACTGTTGCCGACCCTGTCGACCGCCGACGGGAATAATGCTGCGCAAACAAGGCGAGATGCACCAGAGGCGACTCGGGAGTGCCCCGTGGCACCTCGCGCAGGTCATGGCGGCTGGTGGTGCCCGGCGTCAGGTCGGGAGGGCAAGGCAGGGAAACGAGGGCGACTTGCGCTGACTGGGAAACCCAACCTGCTCCGTCCAGCATCCTCGCATTATATCTCTCGGGCCCCGTGTCCAGGAAACTCGACGTCACGGTCCCCAAGGTCCGGTTCGACTACAAGAAGAACCACTCGCCCTTCAACGAGACCAAGGTCGCGCTCCTGATCGAGAACCGGCCGAACCCGATCCTGGCGCCGCTGATGCTGCACTTCATCTCGGTGGTGCCGCCCGACTGGCGCTTCCGCTTCATGGGGTCCATCGAGTCGGTCGAGTGGCTCAACCGGTCCGTCGCCATCCAGGAGCAGGTGTCGGCCGGCAAGCTGGACCTGACGTACATACCCTCCAACATGACGACGGGCAGCCAGGAGGAGATCAGCCGGTTCCTGACGACGCTGTGGCTGTACGAGACGGTGCTGCAGCCGGCCGAGCACCTGCTCGTGTTCCAGACGGACAGCATCCTGTGCGCCAACTCGCGCAAGAACCTCAACGACTTCCTCGAGTACGACTGGATCGGCGCGCCCTGGAACCCCGAGGGCCGCTTCGGCGGCAACGGCGGCCTCTCGATCCGCCGCGTCTCGGCCATGATCCAGGTGCTGCGCGAGCAGAAGCGCGTCGACGGCACCGAGCCCGAGGACGTCTGGCTGGCCGACCGCCTGGGCCACCGGCCCGGCGCCAAGATGGCCAACGGCACCGCGTCCCTTACCTTCAGCGGCGAGATGTGGGGCGGCAAGGGCGCCGAGGTGACGGACGGCAAGTCAAAGGGCTACAACAGCACCTACACGGCCGCGCTCGACGGCGAGTTCGTCGAGGGCATCGACGACTGGCGCAAGGGCTTCTACGAGCCCATGGGCTACCACACGGGCGCGAGCGGCGCCACCACCCACGGCCCCATCTGGGGCACCCCCGAGATGCGCAAGCACATCTGGGACTACTGCCCCGAGGTCAAGATGACGCTCAAGATGGACGCCGCAAAGTACATACCCGGCGACTGCGGCCCCTACTGGAAGCGCGGCGACGGCGAGCTCGCCGACGCCGTTGTGAGCGACGTCGACATGGGCTGGGGCACCGAGATCATCGATGGCCAGGAGTACCCCATGCTCCCGCCCAACCTCATGCCCTGGTAGGAGAGGCTTCGATTTTCAGCCGTCATGTTTTGCGCGCAATGGGTGGTGAAAGGTCCTGGTCGAGCTGTCGACTTGTTAAAATGTGATACCATATCGTTCGTGGAGGGCTTCTTTTTTTTTTTTTTCCCTCTTTCCAGGGGTGGACGGTTCAGTGGAAGGACATGATGTGACGGAAAAGAAAGAGACGCGCGCGCACAAGACTTGGTGGATTTTTCTGTTTCTTTTTCCCAGACCTGTCGCATGTTGGACTATACATGGAGTTCTCTGGCGTTGTTTTCTGTTATTTCTTGCTCCGTTTACCACCCGATTTTTGTTGAATTGACTATTCTCGTTGTCTGTTGTGTTCGGTGATTTGCCTGTCCATGTCTGCACACGAGAGAGAGAGAGTGCCTTTGGCGTGATTTCGACAAGGGGGGCGGATGTAGATGAGGGGTTCGGCTTCGCGGCGGCGTGGCGGTCGTCGAATCTAAGAGTTGATTTCTCCGGCACTTGCGCTTCATGCACTCAAAGGAGGAGAGGGGGGCACCGTGGCTTCTTGTACTCCAGACCGTCTAGACGCCCAACGCCTCTGCAAGCATGGCTGAACTCTGACTTGCGGAAGTGGGCCGTAAACATCACCACTCGTGTGCAGGCAGGGAGTTGGTACGGGGCGGTAGGTTTGACTGGACGTCACCATGCGTGCCGAGTGAGCCACACACTTCCCAGAACTAGAGGCACGGGATGGCCTTTCTCTCAAAAGGTAGATGGAGGCACATGCACAAAGTGGCCTAGGCAGAGAAGCCAAAGTAGTAGGTAGGTACGTAGGTATCGAGTGTATTCGACGGTATTCCCAAGGTAGGCAGGAAAGCACTGCGCTCAACCGTGTCAAGGAGAAATAAACATGAGTTGTCCCAATGCCCGTCTCCTGTTGCAGCCCTCAGCCCGTCCATAATCCAATGCGATCGATATTCGTCTCATGCTTGGCCGAAAAGATGCGAGCCGCTTCGTATTGCGCCCCCCGTTCCACAGCCTCGTAACACGATAAAGGTTCATTCATAATACACCAGGTGGAGAATATAGGTTATAATAACAGTGTAAATAATAAAAAAACGACCCGGCCTGGGTGTGCCCATAACCTGCAGACGGCTACTAACCCCTGACGAAGCCCCCAACGACGCCTCCTAGCTCGCTGAAGAGGACGCCCTTGAATATGGCCTCGCCCATCTCCTCGCCCCAGTGGCCAGCGGCCTTGAGCCTCGCCTTCCACGCCTTGCGCTGCGCGGCCGGGAGCTCCTCCCAGGCGACGACAGGGTCCTCGAGCGACGCGGCCGCGGCGGCCGCCTCGTCTCCGCTCGCCACCTCGACCACGCCGTCGCCCTCGCGGAGGACGATGGGCCCGTCCGTCTGCGTGAGCTTGAGCAGCAGCCTCTCCCTGCCCGGCGGGTGGTGCACCCACGTCGCCGGCGCCCACTTGCGGGCCCCGAGGACGTCGCGGGGCGTGAGCGCCTTGACCTCGAGGAATGTCTGCAGGATCATGGCGATCAGGAGGATGCCGATGGTGGACACGACGATGATGGCCTTGGGCGAGGGGCCGACCGAGCGCGCGGCCACGACGTAGCGCCCCGTTTGTTTGGGGCTACGCGGGTTCTTGGAGAGGGATTTGTCGGTGGCGGCCGCCGTCGTCGGGAGCTTCTTGAGCGGGATGGTGTGCACCACCGCCGTGTTGGCGACAGATATGGACGCGAGCTTGAGGACGGTCGAGGCAGATTCAGAGGCTGGCGCCTTGGTGGCTGACTTTGTGGCCTTGGAGGAAGATGAGGTCGAGGTGGAGGAAAGCTGGCCTGGTGGCTGGAAGCGGGAAAAGGAAAGTCCGGATATAGGGTGGGGGTGGACGCCGCGGACGGTGGTGAAAGGGTATAATTTGCTCAACATGTCGATGGACGCCAGGCTGGAGTGGTCAAGCGTGTAGAGCGTGATAGAGCAGTCGACGCCGGCCACGGCGACGACGAACTGAGTGTCACCCGCGCCGGCGCCCGGCGAGGTGGGCGGGTGCAGGTTGGTAACGGCGAGGGCAGTGGTCTGCGGCACATGTTTGGGGAGCTTCGCCGATGCCGACAGTCGCGCAGGAACATCCGACGACCCCGCGGCGATCCTGTAGGCCTGGAGGACGACGCCGCTGCGCTTGGCCATGTTGCAGGCCGTGAGCAGGAAGGTTGGGGTGAGAAATCGGATAGCCCGGAACGAGGGCCGCGGGTAGCCTGTGGCCACGTCCTCGGGCGTCGTGAAGATCAGCTGCGGCTCGCCTGTTACGGCACCACCCTTGGCGGGGATGTTTATGGAGTGGATCTCGTAGTCGTTGCAGTAGACGAGCCTGTACTGTTCGCTCGACGTCTGTATGATATCCAGGTCGCTCGCCTCCTTTTCTAGATTTAACCTGCCGCGGGACTTGGGCCCCGAGCTCGACGCCTCAAAGAGTACGATCTGGGCCTGCTTGGCCAGGCCGGTGGCAGCCGCGCCCATCTGCGGGGAGTCGGCGAAGGGCGCGGACAGGCGGACGATCCGCTGGTAGGCATCGGGATCCTTGTTCGAGAAAAACGAGGCCCGGGAGAGCTCGGATATTGTTAGGGCAGCGGCCTCCTTGGCCTTGGCCTTGGGCGGGTCGAGGCCGAAGACGCGGAAGTGCTTGTTCTCGCCATTCTTTTGTTCCTCTGGGCTCGAGTTGACGCCGGCGTACACCAGCGCGGTCTTGCCCTTGGACTGGCTGATGACGGTAAGGCTGGTGACGTTGTCCTCGTCTCGGCTGAGCTCGATCTCAGCGCTGGGTTCAAGGGTCTCTGGAGAAGTTGTGTCTAGGACTGTCTGAGGAAGAGGGGAACAGGGTCCTGTCAGTCGCCGCTCCTAGGGCATCTGGGCCGTGTTGTCGCATCGCTGCTGGCTGTATAACCAGGCCACGACGACGCAGGAGAGGGCAGACGCACGATCTTGTTTCCCACCCCACTGCGGCCGGCACCGCCGCCGCCGCCGACTACCAGGCGGTTCGCATTGTTCGGGTCGAAGTCGCAGGCGTAGAGGGGGTAGGTGAGGGTGATCTTGGCCGAGGCGGACGCCATGGTTTTGGGCTCTGTTGGTGCACCAGCGGAATCACCTCCTTGAAGCGCGGGTCATGGTCGAGTAAGAGCGCTGGCTATGTGGATAAGGGGGCCTCTATGTGGGCAGCAAGTCGAGGGAGGTGGGCAGCTAGCACTGGCGCATACGCAATAGGTGTCAGTAGTTGGGTCGTGGATGGTGTTGTGGTGGTGTGGGATTTGCGCTGCTAAGTGGATGACGAAGTTGAGGCGATTTGAGGGCTAGAACACAAAGACCACCTATCTGGGGACCTAGCGCGCTGGCGCTCAGCGATTGATGATGCGCCGTTTTCTATGTGCTAGCGAACCAAGTGGCCAGCCTGGCAGCAGCGGGCCCTAGCTAACCTAATTCGGAGTCAAGCTTCAGGTTCACTCTGAGCTCGCGATTGCACCGGCTCGCTACCCCAAAGTTGAGATCCGCTGTGGGGACCCAGACATTGGCTAATGGAGCGATTACAGAGCTGGTAAATTGCCTGTGGCTTCCTTGCCACTTCCAGCATGTTGGCCGACGATAGTCAAGTTCGCACGGGGAAACATGTTGAAGTTGTGACATCTGTCTGCAGATTCTGTCATAATCAGAAGTTACACGAGGTACCAGGTATCTCATCTGTTGTCGCTGAACCCCAACTTCCTTGACAACGTTCAGGAACACAACCAAACAAGAGTCTTATTGCACCTCATATACTCTCCTCTTCACCGTGACCTACTTTGCCAGCATGTTCACATGAATGCTCTTGATGTTGCAGTAGGACGCCAGCCCGGCCTCGCCCAACTCCCGCCCGATGCCAGACTGCTTGACACCACCAAAGGGCACACGCCAGTCCGAGTCGTTGCTGCTGTTGATCCACACCATGCCCGACTCGATCTCACGCGCGACCCGGTGCGCCCGCGTCAGGTTGCGTGTGAAGAGGGCCGCGCCGAGCCCATATATCGTGTCGTTGGCCATGGCCAAGGCCTCCTCCTCCGTCTTGAACGATGCCACAGCGACGCAGGGCCCAAATATTTCCTCGCGATAGATCTTCATGGTCGGCTTTACGTCGGTGAAGACGGTCGGCGCGATGAAGTAGCCCTTGCCCTTCTGTGGCAACGGCTCGCCCCCGATGACCACCTTGGCGCCCTCGTCCCTGCCCGACTGGATGTACGACAGCACACGCTCGTATTGCGCCTTTGTCACCTGCGGGCCTTGGAAAGTAGCCTCCTCGAAGGGGTCTCCCACGATGGAGGTCTTGCGAACGGCTTCGGTGAAGAGCTGGACAAACTTGTCGTGTACCGACTCGTGAACCAAGACGCGCGAGGTTGCGGTGCAGATCTGGCCTTGGTTGCTCATTATGCCTATGTGCGACCACTCCACGGCCAAGTCCAGGTCGGCATCCTCAAAAACGATCAGGGGCGACTTGCCACCCGTCTCGAGAGTGATGTTCTTCATAGTGCCCGCGGCCGCCTTCATGATTTGCTTGCCGGTAGCTGTGCTGCCAGTGAATGCGATCTTGTCGACGTCGACGTGCTGCGAGAGGGCGGAGCCGGCCTCGGCTCCGTGCCCGTTGACGACGTTGATGACGCCCGGAGGGAAGCCAGCCTGCTTAATCAGGCGGGCGGTGTACAGGATGGAGAGAGGCGTTTGCTCGGCGGGCTTGAGCACGATAGTGTTGCCACAGGCCAGCGCGGGCCCCAGCTTCCAGGCGGCCATGCAGAGCGGGTAGTTCCAGGGGATGATCTGACCGCAGACGCCCAGAGGCTCCTTGACGGTGTAGGCAAACTTGTCCGGACCGACGTCGATCGTCTGGCCAAAGTTCTTGTCGGCGAATCCGGCGTAGTACCTCAGCGTCTTCTCGACCTCGAATATGTCACCCGTCAGGGCGGCCGAGTAAGGCTTGCCGTTGTCGAGTGCCTCGATGGTGGCCAGCGTCTCGGCGTGCTCGGCGACGAGATCGGCGAGCTTGTTCATCAGCTCGCCCCTCTCTGTGCCTGAGAGGCGCTTCCACGTGGGTGCCTTGAAGGCAGCACGAGCGGCTGCCACGGCACGATCGATGTCGTCCGCGGTCGCGGCGTAGACAGAGCATATCTCCTGCTCAGTACTAGGAAGTTATCCCTTATTGTTCAGCACATACCTAACCACTATCTGGCGGTCATACGTCCACCGCCTAGGACCCCTGACTGTCTGTGTGGTCAGGCAGAAAGCTGGAGGAAAGAAGGCGGTCATACGCGGCGTTTATAGTGGCTAGTTTCTGGCCATTGCTGCTCTCGACAAACTCGTTGTTGATAAAAAGCCCAAGCGGCTGGTTCCACTTCTTGCCGTTGGGGGCGCTGAGCTCGACCTCCATGCTGGCAGCGAGGGAGAGGCGAGAAGGCGATGACTTGGTGAAGCTGCGATGGAATGCACGGTCAAGCGGTGCTAGCGGTACCAGCGGTGCTCTTGTGCGGCGGGGGAAGCTCAGGAGGATAGAGGTGATAGGCCTGAAGGACACAAGCGAGGGGGAGACCAGCAGCGGCATCTTTTTATGTCATAGGTTGCGTAGCATGCGTGGGATGTCTGGCTCGGGATCCACTCCTGCAACCTGCCGTCCTTTGATCCCGCTATTGGGGTACCTTGACACCTTAGCTTGTACCTCCCCAGATAGGCAAGTCGGAAAGGATAGTGAGGCCCAGAGGCAGGTTACTGTGTATGGGAGTTGAACGTCGGAAGCGGGGCTGGGAGAGTTTCCTATCGTCAATGCTCCTGCTGCCAGTGAAACCTCGACTCGGCCCCCGCCCTGCGTCGAGAAGGTGGCTATCTCAGCTTGACTGGAAATGGAGACCACACGACAAGGATACATTACTCTGATGCGTGGAATTGCGTTTTTCTAGCCATCTACTCGTGATGATTTGACGCTCGAGCTCTCTCAGCTTTATTAATTACGTGCAGCTGTAACAGCTCGCTAACCACCACCCCTTGTCGTGCGGGGTGTTAGCATGGAAAGTGTAGGTACTTGGGTGGTACTTCATGACAGGTGGCTCAACATGCACACAGGGCGGTACCAGTGCTGTGCTCTTCTGCCGATGAGACAGCAGATCCAGACCCACCCCACCCCAGCCGAGGCCGCAGTGCATCTCCATCCCAGCCTTGGAACTGCACCGTAACCGGCGCGCGCAATTCGCCTTAGCAATCTCGACATCATCAACTCTCCGAACCAGGTACCTCGGTCCGATATAGCCTCGTTGGCGACGCCTGGGACCCCGCGAGGATGGCAGCATAGCTCGGGCTGACCAGCGAGCGATCATTGGGCCCTCCCGACCCCAAGACAGACGGCTGGACCTGTTCTATTCCTACTAGCATCTTTATTCTCGTCTTCACCATCGCCTCCAGCCTCGCCTGCTTGCCCCAGTCTCCCCTGGGCCGGGCCACGCCATCTCTCTGGATCATGACAACCTAGCCCCGTCCTCTTTCGATCGCAGCCCTCCATCATGTCGGTGATGCAAGTTGAAGAGTGTGTAGATCCGCTGTCCCATCTCTGTTTGCCTCGGCTGCTCGTCTAACGCTGATCTCTCGTCTCATTCGCTAGACTGGTATCGTACCAGCTGCGCACAGCATACCTCAACGATATCGCAGACGGCGTCGGAGAGCGCCTCATCAGCCTTAACGAGGGCTTCCTGAGCTCTGCCCCCTTCAAAGCCGCGGGCTGGCGATCCAACCCCGCCCACATCAAGCGCACGCACTCGCCTCCCATCCCTACCGCCGTTGCCTCGGAGTACTTCCAGGCCCCCCGAGCAACCGGTCTCACCCTCGAAGATGACCCGGACGACAACGCCCTGCTAGGTGGCGGCGGCCCTGTCGCCCCCAAGCGCGCCCGGCGACGGAGGGAGCAGATGCAGGAGGACGACGATAGCAGTGAGCTGAGCGACGACAGCGACGAAGAAGCCGAGGGCCGGGCAGCCCAGCAGATAAAATTTGCAAAGATGCCCCTCCGCAACCGCTCTGGCTCGTCTCCGATCCAAGGCTCCAACCTCCGCCAGTCGACCACGCTGTCGTCCCCGCGCGCCGCCGCCCCTAGAAGAGGCTCTCAGTCGGCCCTGGAGACGGTCAAGGAGAGAGCACGGCGCGATACCGTGACGAGCAGCGAGGTGTCGTCCGACAACGAGTTTGACGCCTCGGGCTTCCACCGGCAGAGGGAGGCAAGCAGGGCTGGCGCCAAGACCGTCAGGCTGCAGACCGACCTCGACCCCGACGCAGCGCCCTTGGCACCTGGTGTCAAGCGCATAGGGAGCGAGCCGCTCCCGGAGGAGCAAGAGGACACAGACGCCGCCTCGGACACCTCGTCCGCCTTTGTCGGTAGTATCGACTCGGTGGCGTTGCTTGACCTAGGAGAGGAAGGCCAAAAGGCGCCCCAGAGGACCGCCACTACTCAGATCGTCGGCACCCCACCCCGCGAGTTCACAAGGTCGTCGACCGTCCGCAAATCACAGGCGCCGATTCACATAAATAGCAAGCTGCCACCGCCCCGTCCTATGAGCACTGTCCGGCCCCTGAGCATGATACAGCCCAGGAGCCTGCTGTCGGCCGCGCTCAAGGCCAAGAAAATGAAACCCGCCGACGCCCTCGAGTCCTTTGCCTCACTGTCCGGCAAGGGAGAGGCGAGCCCTATCATGCTTCGCATCTATCCCTTCTTTGCGGACAAATCCAGGGGGGCCCCGATCGAGGTTCTCATCAAGAGGATCGTGCACGAAGGTCAACAGGGCGGCGACCGCCCTGCTGTCGTAGCGGACCTGATAGGCCTGACCCTCTGGATGTACAGCGAGGAGAAGCGCGAGCCCCCAATCGCTGCGGACAAGCGGAATCCTAACTGGTGGATGCTTCGCATGGTTGATGACGGCGAGATTGATGACGATTTCCCGCCACTGGACCGCAAAAAGCAGCTCACGTCATTCACGACGGCTAATAACCGGGCTGCCCGTGCGCGGTCCAACTCCAAGGTCTACGATGAGTTCGCACTAGTGCAGGCATCGGCGACAGACTTTACCGAGAACAAGAAGCTCACGCCCCAGCCCAACGACGATGGTGCCGAGGACGAGGCCGCCGCCGCCGCCGCCGCCGCCGACACACCCGCCCTGGCAGCCCAGGAGGACGAGATAACCCCTCGCAACACACCCCAGCCCAACACGTCGGCGCTGCAACCGGCGGTCCGGGGCGTGGCGCTGAATCCCATCATCACCACCACCTTCCGTCCCCACGCGCCGCTGGCCGACTCTCCCGCAGCGCCCAACGCCACGCCGAATGTGATCCGGGGCCGCAAGAAGCTGCTACGCATCCACATCCACTCGTCGGACACGGCCCCCGGCCAGATGGTCACCCTAGACGTGACGACAGACATGTACCTAGAGGAGATCTTGGACCTGGCCTGCAGGAAACGGCAGTTGGACAAGGGCAACCACGTGCTGAAGCTGCCAGGCTCGGGCGCTGTGGTGCTATTGGACCGCGAGGTTTCGTCCATCGGCAACGTGGCGGATCTGGAGCTGCACCGACGGCGGTTCGCGGCCGATGGCACCTTTACTGCCACAGGCTCGCCGGGGAGCTCGTCGCCCAGGACTATGTTCTTTGGCGGTGAGTCAGCCACGCTCAGCGGCAGCGGCCGTCGGAGCAACAACAAAAAGACCGCCGGATCGGCGGCGCCTATTACGCACCCGCTGGCTCAGCAGACGAGCAACAACGACGAGGAGGTAGATAACCGGTCCAAGAGGTATATTGTGACGCGCAAGGGCACACTTCGCAGCGTCGAGAGGATATTGTCCATCGAGGGCGAGTACATACACATTATACCATCATCGAACGGCAAGGCCGATTCCGGCGTCAGTGGCAAGACGGCCACGGTTCACTTTAGTAACGTGATCGGGGTCAAGGTGTCTCGGAGGCATCCCGCCGTTGTCAAGGTAAGATTCTTCCCCCTCTCTTTCTTGCTACCGAACCCAGCTGACTCGCTTATCTCCCCAGATCTCTGTCTATATCGATTCCGAAAAGACATACGAGCTCGAGGCCAAGACGGCGATCCAAGCGGCCGAAATCCTCTACGAGCTCAAAACCAGGATTGCCCCGTATAGGGAGGTGTAAAAGGGCGGTCTTGGCAGCAAGCTAGTCTCAAGGCGGCAACAGTGTCGCCTGCATGACGTGTGCGTGTCTTGCAGTCTAGGATGGCGCCACAGAGTCTTGAAAGGGTGGGTAGAACAAGGAGTCAGTGGACCTTCCCGTTGAGCCCGCCGCAGAGGCAAGGCTGCACCTCGCCCGTTTGGGACGAAAGGGGCGATCTCTGGGGCAAGAGGGAGGTCCAAATAGGGTTGTTTCCATGGGGGAGGAAACGGTTTGTCCCAGCCCAGGGGAAATCATGGGACCCACGCCCCTTTGTCTGCCATGTGCGACTGCAGGTGGTCATGCAGGTCGTTTAATTGGCATGCATGGATATATGCACACCCCTGGACATGGGCAGGCGTGGGTACTCCCGAGGCGTAGGCCGATACGTGCGATTTTTTTTGCCAACGCACACAAAACATCGTAGCTATACTTTATAGTGTTACCTCGACACAATGACAAAAGATGGAGAGTCTGTCAGTGCATTGGTTGAAGCTTGATAGGTGGCTGTGGCTATTAGATGATTACATCTAATCCCAAACGCATGGTGAGAGGTTGGATACCTACGCAAGCCTAGCTAGAATCAACAAGACTGTTTTCAAGGGGCAACGAACGTGGCAAACAGCTACTGTGCCATTGGACATTTATTCGTAGATCTCGTAGTCATCGTAAAGTACTTTAGATATACTCCTCTGCTCAAGCGCATCCATCCATGAGTTCTAGCAGGGGTAGAAGGAGAAAGACAGAATGTTTGGGTATAGCCGTTAAACGCCCGTGATAAACCACAGAAGATCAGACCCCGGATGTGCACTTCTAGCGTTCAAACAAAGGAAAGACGTCGGACTCGGATCTCGAGGGGGGGTGGAGGCTTGCCGTCACGGCCTCGAGCCCCGGGCCTCGGCCCACAGCTTGTCCACGATCTGGAAGACGGTCGTGACGTCGCGCATGAGCGCCTCGTCGACCCTGCCGCCGAGCCGCTGCTGCACCTTGTCCGGGTGCCACCGGACCCTCTCGTCCTTGAGGCGCGACCGCGGGTCCGCCTTGGACCCGCCGCCGCCGCCGCCTTCGGTCTCCTCCTCCTCCTCAGCAGCAGCGGCAGCGGCAGCGTCGGCGCACTGCGCAAAGAACTCGCGCACCGCCGCCTCGGCAATGTCGGCCCTCTTGCCGCTCTCGACGGGCCACACGTCGGCGACAGGGACGGCAGCAGCATCGGCGGGAAAGGCCGACCCGCCGCCGCCGGCCGCCCAGGCGTCCACGTAGCGGCGCCACCGGCCCGCCCAGGCCGACAGGCGCCTCCGCTCCTGGCCGCGGCGCAGCGACCGGTCCATCTCGTCGGCGAGGCGGCGTTCCCTGCGGCGGCGGGCGCGCACCTCGTCCTCGTCCTCGTCCTCGTCCTCTCTGGCCCGCGCCCGCGCCCGCTCTGCGCGCTCGCGCTCGCGCCGGTCGCGCGCCTCCACCAGGCCCGGGTGCGTCTTCTCCCACATGCGGCGGCGCACGTAGTCGGCGTACTCGTCGGCCGTCATCTGCTCCAGCTCGCCTCCTCCTCCGCCGCTGCCGCCGCCGCTGCCGTTGCTGGGGGGCACACGGTAGGTGTGGATGGGCTGGCCGTAGACGCCTTCCCAGTAGGCGGCGCCCTCGTCGTCGGCCATGGCGTCGAAGAGCGACTCGCGGAAAGCCGCGTCCGCGTCCAGCGGCGGCGGCGCGAACGGGTCTTCGGGCTCCTGCTCCTCCTGCTGCTGCTGCTGCTCCGCCCTGCCCTTGTGGCCTCGGCGCCGCCGCTTGGACGACCTGACCTTATCGTGGCCGTCCTCGTGGCGCCGGGAGCGGCGGTGTGTGGTGCTGCTGCTGTGGTGGTGGTGGTGACCATCGTCACGGTCGCGGTCGCAGTCGCGGTCTGCGTCGTCCTCGTCGCGGTGGCGGTGGCGGCGGTGGTGGCGGCTCGAGCGCGGGTGAGAGTCAGAGTCGAGACGTTCGTCCTCGTCGCGCTCGTGTCTCCCCGCGCGGCCGCCCTCGGCGTCGTCGCCCGCGCGCTGGCGGCGGCTGCTGCGCTTCTCGGCCTTGAAGCGGAACTTTGTAGGTTTGCTGCTCGAGTACGCGCCGTCGGCAGCGGCAGCGGCGGCTGGCTCGGCTTTGGGGCGTCTCGTTTCAGGGTCCGCGGGTCCGTAGCCATCATCATCGTCGTCGTCGTCGTCGGCTTCATCGGCGGGTTCTGCACGACGCTGGGACTCGCGAGCCGGCGGCGGCGAGGGACGCGGGTCTTGCTGGTGTGACGAGACAGTCTGGTCGGGTTCGCGCAGGGGATTAATGGAAGATAGGATGTGAGCCCGTCTAGACGGGCGATGCCCATCCATATTGCATGGCCCGTCGACGTTGATGAGTGAGTAGTGTGCGGCTAGGAAAAGGCGCAAGTCGAAGAGTGACGTATTCTTACGGCGTATGCCTGTGCTGAACTAAACAATAGGCGCCTCGATATCCCTGCCAACACGCCCCACCACAATACTGTCGGCCCATACATAATTGACAATACCTCTACTCACTACAATTGCTCACCTTGGCAAGAAGCAGCCAATCACCAACAAGTCGATACAGCATACTAGAGGTACGTAGGAGCGATAAATCGCCGTGGAGATGATGGCCCATGATTGTCTTGAATGTCGGCTTTTTTCACGCACCAGCATGCTGGTTCCAAATTCTCAAAGGTGTTGTATACACCACACAACAAAAAACCCCAACGCCGGCCGTTATGCCCGAGGGCTCCTTCCTTGTAAACTCTACCTAAACACCATTGCTAAATGCTTGCACAAAAAAAAGACATTAAAATACATAAGAAAGAACAAAAAAACCAGCGAACCCGCGCCCCCTCAAACACCGTCGTTATGCTTATATGAAAAAAAAAAAAAAAAAAAAGGAAAAAAAAGCCCTACTTGGCCTTGGTCGCGGGAACCGCCTTCTCCGAGAGCCGCACCTTGACGATGCGCTCCATCATCGGCTCCTGGCGAACCGCATCGACGGCGTGGTCCCAGCTTCTCTTGCCCTTCACGGTGACGAAGCCGGCGCCCGGGGTCAGAATCTCGACCACAGGCTTGATGCCCAGGCCCAGGCAGCGGCTGTTCACCAGGGAGAAGCCGTCCTTCCACAGCCCCTCCTCCTTGCCGAGGCTGAGCACCGGCAGCCTGCGGTTCGAGGCGGCATCGACGAACCAGACCGAGTACGTTAGCTTGGCGAGCGCCGCGAGGAGCCCGCGGGGCTGGGGCGTGCTGAGGCCGGCCTGGTCGAGGTCCACGACCTCCGGGAGAGACCCGGGCTCTCTAGGAGTCATGGGCAGCTCCGGAGGCGTGGGCAGCTCCGGAGGCGTGGGCAGCTGCTGGATGGCCGAGATGTAAAACTTCGAGGCCGTGCCCCGCTCGAAGTCTGTAGCCTTCTCGAGGGAGTTGGGAAGCTTCCGGATCACGTCCTTGTTGAAAGCAGCCGGCCTTATCTCGAAAGTCGGCTCCTTGAGACGCTTTGCAGGAGGCTGCGACACGACGCTTCCACGGCGCTTCCTGTCACCGCTTGCAGTAGGCGCCGGGGCTGGGACTGGGGTTGGGACTGGCGATGGAGGTGGCGCTGGTGATGGGGCTGGTGCTGGCGCTGGCGCTGGCGTGGAAGTTGCCGCCTGCATGGCTTGCCTGCTGAGAGGGCGTGATATGTCGCTTCCGCCGGGCTCCATTGCGAGAACAGTAGGCTGCATAGGCTGCTCGGTAGAAGAACCAGGACTGGCGGCGGCCATGCTACCCTCCCTTTCGAAATCGGCTGGCGTGATTGCGGGGCGGAACTCGTAATCAACCCACTCAGGGGCCTGTTCCTCTGGCGAAGCCGCGATATTCTTCGCTGCTGTCTGCACCACCCTCTCTCGTCGCCTGTAGCCCTTCTGCTTGGACCTCCTGATGTTGCGGTATACGAAAATAACAAAATCGCATATCAACCTAGCCAGAAGATATGTTAGCCACAGCTTCGCAGCCATTTCAGCAACGGAAAGGGTCGCCTTTGTAGTATGTGAGCACTTACTTGGAAGATTCATCAGGCCATAAAGGAGACGCGTCAGAGGCGCTGCCAAAGTATTCCTCGCCTCGGCCATCGCTCCGAAGGAAGTCAAGGGCAAGAATAACACATAGATACTTCTTGTAATCCTTCTCCTCGCAATTATTCATACGGGTTACCCGGGGGGCGTGCTCTGGGGTTTCCAGGAACGTGCTCAGATCGCGATTCAGAGCCTTGGCAGTCTTCTGGTCTCCAAGGCGCAGTCGAGCCTCGAGCTCAGGCGCCGAGACATTGGAACCTATAACATAAATCAGTCAGCGGAACTCCATTTTCTCAAGCAAGGAAAAACATGAAAGCAACGTGGAGGGGGGAGTTTTAAAGAGTCGTGTGCGCAAGAGGGGATGGGGAAAATAGAGAATAGCATACTCAGCTTGATCCACTTGACAATAGCCTTCGGGTCGTCTTCGGGCCTGTCCACCCTTGGAGGCATCTGGGGCAATTCTGGGTATAGGAAGGGTCTGGCCGGGCTCTGGGGCTCGTGAGTAGTATCCAGTGACAGAGCAGGCGCACTTGATGTTGTGAGGTGTTGCTGAATGTTGGGCGGGTCATGAGAATTGCTGTCTACCTGCTGAGCATCAAACCCAAGATCCAAGCCGAAACTGGGGGTCGGATCGAAGTCGAGATCAAGACCGAAGTTGAGGTTTGGATCAAAGTCATGACCGAAGCCGAAACTAGGATCAAAGTCGAGACTAGGATCAAGGTCAAGACCAAGATCGAGGCCGAGACTAGGAATCAAGTCAAGATCAAGATCAATACCAAGATCGAGGTTAGGATCGAGCTCAGCAGCGGGGCCGGCGATGAGATGCGTGGAGCCAAAGGGGAGCTCTGGATTCAAGGAACCGTCGATATCGTCCGGACATGCTTGATCGTCACGGGCGGGTCCTGATTCTGACGTTGCAAAGTCAACTAGGGGCTCTTGGGGGAGCCCGAGCTCGATGCCATCGAGCTGGGCTTCCAGCAGCCTGGTGATTTCCAGGTCGTCCACGCCAAACTGGCTGTGGTCGCCAAACTGAAGTTCGTCTTGGGTACTAACGTCAGATTGTCCCGGCGCATGTGCGCCTCCAGGCAAGAGCGGCGCGAAGGTAAACTGCGGCTCTGTGTTCTGGGACGGCCCCGGCGCGGGGGCGGGAGGGAGACTGAGGGCAGTCATGTGAGATGGGGGGGCCGGCACGGGCAGTGCCAGCGACGGCGGCTCCTGTCTTGGCTGTGAGATTTCGCGTGAGGGGCAAGGCAGCGATGGAAAGGTTAGGATGGTCGGAGCGGCGCTCGGCGGCGTGGTGGGCAATGTGGCCGACTCAGTGCTCGTGAATATGGATTCGGGATCGTCGCCAAGATCTCCGTCACCAAAGAGCGATGTGAAGTCGCCGTCGAAGCCAGCGCCATCTCCATCCGAGCCTCCGAAGAGAGAGTCGGAGTCGCCATCGTCACGGCTCTCAACCGCCTGATGATCAGAGAGCGACATGTCGACTTGAGAGGTTGAGATGTTTACAGGTAGTCCGGGATGACCCCGAAAGGTCTACATGGATCTGGTAGTGATGCCATGCGTTGATACTCGCCACCTGGAACTGGAAGTTGCCGTGAGATGGATCTTGCGGTTCAGCTGCGCGTCCGTGCAGGCAGCCGTGAGCGGAGCGGAAAAAAATACGCCTGAATTATTGGGGTGCGGGGCAGGATCTCAGCGAGAGGAGAGCCCGATTGTGGGGCGAGCGTTGCGGTCAGCTGGCAAGGAACCAAGGGATTACAACTTGAAAGGTCATAGAAGAGCGCTTCAAGACGTGACGAGGGCGGACGTTTTCTCCGAAAAACGTAGACTGAATTTTATATGATGCGTGTGGACGGTAGGGAGCGGGATTGCCTTTTTGCTGCGAGGTTGCTACGTGTGCTGATGACCGCTAGGATAAGGCAGGTGCAAACCACTGCCCATCTGGCGACCCCTATTAGACGTGGACATCTCGGCCTTGCGCAGCACGACCTCCTAGTGTTCACCTAGGAATCCTTGTTGACTTGTTGAAACTAGCATCCAATTCATTCTTCTTATATTATCCCCTCAACCAGAGTGAGAAGAAGGAAGAAACCCTAAATCTATCCTGGGGGGAAGAAAAAAGGAAAAACTTAATGGCCACCACCCCAGCGGACTCGATCTCGTTGCAGGCCCCAGACTCGCTAATCAATACAGACGATGGCAGGCAGTACTGGGAAGCCGTAAGTGCGGACTTGGACGGCATGCTGGGCGGATTTCCCTATATCTCCAAGGTCGACCTGCAGGGCTCCAAGAATTTCCTGGCCAAGCTAGGAATCGGCTCAAAGGAGGGACTGCGGACGGTCGAGTCTGCCCTGGATGGAGGTGCCGGGTGAGTACGTCCCGAGCGTCTGTCCTCTTTTTTAGTTGACTCTGAGTCAAAGCTGGCCACGCAGACAAACCAAGCGAGCGGCGCTGATCCCTCGATACAGCATCGGGAGAATCACCAAGGGTCTCCTCCTAGATATTGCAAAGAACGTGGACGTGGTAGAGCCCATCGCCAAGTTCACGGCCACCCTGGGGGAGGTCACGGGCGTCAGGAGCATCTCCAACATCGGGCTGGAGGAGTGGGAGCCCCAGACCGGAACCACGTACGACCTGGTCTGGACCCAGTGGTGTCTGGGCCACCTGACCGACGACGAGGTCATCCTATATCTGAAGAGGTGCAAGGCGGCCCTGACGCCCGAGACGGGACTGGTCGTGGTCAAGGAAAACCTGAACTCTGGCGAGGAAGACCTCTTTGATAAGCTGGACAGCAGCGTCACGCGGCAAGTCAGGGCTGAGAGCAGTGAACGGATTATAAGAGGAAAGCGCATTCTAACGGAACCCCGCACGAAACAATTAGACGCGACAGTAAGTTCCTGGCCCTGTTCGAGGCTGCTGGACTGCGAGTGGTAAGGAGCGAGATTCAAAGAGGGATGCCAAAGGGGTTGTGCCAAGTCAAGAGCTACGCACTGCGGTAGAGGGAAACGAGCATCTGTCGGCGAGAGAGAGAGAGAGAGAGAGAGAGAGAGAGAGAGAGAGAGAGAGAGAGAGAGAGAGAGAGAGAGAGAGAGAGAGAGAGAGAGAGAGAGAGAGAGAGAGAGAGAGAGAGAGAGAAGCTGTCGTTTTGGATAAATCGCTTTGGATAAACGGCCTATGTATTCTATTACATGAGGAGCCTGCCCATCTCGAAGCTCGTTCGACAGTCAGTCACGACTCCTCAAGCATCCATCTTGAACTTGTATGGAGGCACGCCGGCCACGCCTACGTCGACGCGGAACAGGCCGCCGGCGTACTTTTTGCTCTCCTCGCTCCCGTCGTCGTCGCCGGCGGTGGTGATGAAGAGCTCGGTGCCGACGAACTCGGGGCAGGTGACGTTGTTGGTCGGCAGCGCGATCTTGCCCGTGACCTTGCCCTGGGGCGAGATGCGGAGGACGCAGGCCTCGCCTCAGAAGGCGTGCCAGATGTTGCCCTCGGCGTCGACGCGGAAGCCGTCGGGCCCGCCGGGCCCGTCGTGCTTGTACAAGACGCGCTCGTTGGAGAGCGACCCGTCGACGGGCGAGTAGTCCCAGGCCAGGATGGTGCCGGCCGTGGTGTGGGTGAAGTACATGGTCTTGCCGTCGGGCGACCAGCCGACCGAGTTGGGGATGGTCAGGTCGCTCAGCACCTTTTGCTTGGCCTTGCACCCGTCGAAGCGGACGAGGAAGCCTTTGGGGAGAAGGAAACAGGGTCAGCTGTGAGGGAAAGAAAGAAGAAGAAAAAACGAAAAAAAAAACAAAAACAGAATACGCACCCTCGGGCCAGACACCGTCGAGGTAAAAGTCGTTCATGGTGCCGATCCAGAAGCGGCCGTGGGGATCCACGGCGCCGTCATTACCCCTGAGGCGCTTGTCGTCGGCGCCGGTGTCGTCGGCGAACTTTGAGAGGTACTCGTACTTGCCCGTGGCGCGGTCCAGGGTGGCCATGCCGTACTTGAGCCCGACGAGGATCTTGACGGCGGGGCTGACGCCGTCGATGTCGGCCGTGACGCCGATGGGCACGTCGAGCTCCGTCGTCTTCAGCGACGCGGGCCCCTCGTCGAGCGAGACCGAGTGCAGCCGGTTCCTCTTGATGTCGAGGAACCGGACGCTGTTGGTCTCCCGCTCGTAGTAGGGCCCCTCGCCGAGGGCGCAGTGGAGGTCGACGTAGGGCTCCGTGACCGTCCACGTCTTGAAGCTCGGGTCCGCCATGGCTTGGGGTTAGGTTTTGAGGCGATCTAGACTCTACAGCAGCTCGAGGCAGGTCTGTCCCAGGGAAGTAGTTTTACAATCGGTTCACGGCGACTCCAGCGAGGGATTTCCCGAGTCCAAGACGTCGCTCTCCAAAATACGTCTGTCCTGTCCCCAACCCATTGACGTCCCACTCTTCCTGGAGGAGGGGAAAGTCGGGAAATTCACCGCGAAGGCCCGTTTTCGGCTGAATTCGATCGAGTTTCAGCGACAGTAATATCTCTATCCGAGCCCAGAAAGTGATGGGCCACCTTGTATTGATTCCCTCTATCGCGATCGATATCGTACTATGCTTCCTCGCGCCTAAAACCCCGGCTTTCTTGACATGCCACTCGGGCTCGACACGGCGACATCAGTGTGCTGCGACTGCATTTCTTTCTAATCCAAGACTCGGCTTTGGGTTTGTGAAATCACTCCCAGACCACCTGATCTCCCAAGTTGCAAACGCCGTCGATTGACGGAACGGCAGCCACGACGCTCCGGGCCAGCTTCGGCCACGGAACTTCGGCCCTGCCATCCGTCCATCGGCTACCCGCAAATAGGGGAGAGAAACAGAGGCTCCAAGAACGGACTAAGATGGCTGGAGGCGGAAACAATCCGGTCGCGCAAGACAAGAGGTCCAAGAATTTCAGTAGCCACAACTGCCGGAGGATCTCGAAGCAACCTTGACATATGTTCCCCTCAGTGATTTGGATTGTTTCCTGGGGGCTGGCGTCGGTAAGCTCTGCTGCACCAGAACCCCAAAACAAGCGAAGGATGGCCTCGGCGGCACTTGGGTGAATGAAAGGGGCAGATCAGCCGCCCCAATGGTTGTCCTTGGGCTGCGGCTGTCGCTTCATGTTGGAGCCGCCCGCATCGGGTTATCGCCCAATCCCCCGCAAATCCGCGTCCACTACTGACTACTGGCTCTTGTTCTCCGCTGTTACCGGCCCAAACGTGGAAAGCCCCGCGCCCGCCAGGCCAGCACTCGTCCAACCAGACCGATGCGGGGATGGCGATCCGAGTTTTCCCCCCCCCGCCGGAGCTGACTCCGGGGGTCGAGGCAGACAGCCCGCGCAGGCAGGGCGATGACCCTTTTCAAAGTGTGCGCAGGGTGCAAGGGGAAGGAGAAGAAAGAAGAGGAATGCTAAGCTAACCCATGAACGAAGCGCAGAGGCTGAGACCCCCCCAAGGGACCCTTCCGAATGGACAGATCCTGCTGGCGTCTGGCATTGGCCAAACACGCCCAAGATGCCGCAATCAACGCTACGGGTCAGCCGGCAAGAGTGACCCGACCCCATCATCATGATCATCCCCTAACCAAGCATTTCCTCCTTGCTTTTTCGATTATGCTTTCTTTGTTGATACATGTCACCCTTCTCCACCCTTGTTATTCCAGAAGCAATGTCGAGGCCCCAGCACCTGTGCTTGCTTCATCCAAGTGCCCGATGCGCGCGCGCGCGCGTGTGTGTGTGTGTGTCCAGGGCTCGTCAGGCATCAAGTCAGCAAGCCTTTGGGTCCACACGGGGGGCTGTTTGTAAAATGATCGATCACAGGCACGCCGCGGCCCCAAAAATTGAGGCCATCCGACTGGTTACTGGCTCGCAGTCCCTTGCTTGCTTTTTTTTTCTCTCACTAATGGGAAACGACATTTCCCCTAGCAAAGGGAGCCACATGCGGCACACGCGCGCGCACACACGCGAGGAAGGATTGTTAGCGAGCTGAGCCCGGCGCCCATGGCACCCCTGGCAGAGACAGCTCAAGGAGTGAAAGTGAGAGAAGAAAAAGAAAGTATAAGCAAATACCAAACTACGACGGTTCTGGCGATGGCTTGGCACCAGCGCGCGAGACGAAAGCTGTTACATTATGGCGCCGAGCCTGGCCACGGGCGATCTTTCCTCAACTTAACCGTTAGCGCATGCAGCAGGCGAGGTGGCTTTGGTGGCTGCTCGACCTACCGCCGTGTTGGATCACGCTTCTCTCAGTTGGGAATCGTCAGGGACATCAGCCTCCATGCCGCCAAGATCATCATCAGCCCGCCCATCACTATCTCAGCCGCCACCAGGATGACAGGCGGGCAATAGTGCCTGTCCCTCAAAGTTCTCGGACGCGCCACCTTGGACTGGGGGTTAGCTGAGATTTGATGGCAGGATTCGAGCAAGGCGGAATTGCCCAGTGTGTGTGTGTGTGCGTACCTGCCATATCTGGTAGGTTTGACAGGTTTGGCAGGCAGGGCACGGCAGGGCACGGCATGGCATGGCATGCCGCATGCATGCACGCTTAGGCTTCTGCATGTCGTGATGTGACGGATAAGGGGGAGGGGAGGATCTCCCGATATTCGCAAAGCGAGGCTTACCTGGGAAAGAGTCTAGGCAGGGCTGCAGTGGCTGCAGCGTATAAAACGAGGGAATTGATACGCGTCTCTCTTGGGAGAGAGAGAGAGAGAGAGAAGGCCAATGGGAAGGCCACGTCTGAAAGAGGGCGAACGGACGCACTCTTGTGCGCGTTGGGGCTGCAGGCCGGATGGCCGGTTCCGTGCTACGCGTCATAATGGACAACTAACAACACCGCCCATCCGCCAGCCCCCACTCCTCGGGGGAGGAACCTGGGGGCTGCTGGCCGCATACAGCCGCGGGACTCGTGTCATTGGGCCGTCGGCCAATACTTTGCGCTGCAATTCCTTCCGGTCCGCTCCTGGGTGGTAGTAGCAGGCGGGCGGGCAGGTGGATGGGCAGGGACAGGGCAAAGACTCTCTTGGACAAGGGCCTCAGTTGTGATTTGAGGGATCTGCCCTAACGAATTCCGTCAATGATGAGACCTCCTAGACAAGGGGAGGGGAAAGAGGAGGAAAAGCGTGCGGGTCGTATCGGCGTGCGTGTTGTAAGCCCTTCTTGGAGATCGATACCAACCTACCCGGAGCCCACCTGCCCACTTCGAGGCTACCAAGACGTCCGTCCACAGGAAAGGCTTCACAATAGACCATCACCCGCCGGGGGGCGGCAAAAGATTTCGAGGCTGACCCGGCCGGGGAGTGGGGGTGCTGCGCAATCCCAGATGTTTCCGAGCATGGAGGAGACTAGGGGTGTGAAAGGACGACGACACACGGATGCTCTTGCGATGCAACGCCTATCCGGACCCCTCCTCGTGTTGTTGTTTCCAGTCCCAGGTGCAAAGCGGTGCGTGCTTTGCTCGGGAGTGTTTTTCTCCAGCGTCGCATTTGCAACGTGGATTTTTTTTTTTTTTTTTCGGTTTTTTTTCCCCTGCCCGCCCAGCGAAACGGCAGGCCTTTCCGGCTTGTTGCAAGTAAGCGCGCCGCGCGCGACATGAAAGCCCAACATGCAAGGACGCCTGAAAATCCAGAAACGGAACCGTTTTTTTTTTTTCGTTTTTCTTTTTTGCCTCCCTTGGGTGACGTCGGACGCTTTTCCTTGGCTGGGAGGACCAGGAGGTGGGGGGCCAATAAAGAGAAACCAACAATAAAAAAAAACGCCGACTTGCTGGTTGACGGACGGACACGGCTGGCGGAAGATCCGGTTAACCTTCGACTCGTTCGCAGGTACATTTGTATAAAAATGCTGGGGTGGCGCCAGGGCCACCTCCTTCGGCCGGTTCCGTCGAATCAAAAAGGCCCGCCTGCCGACGTCTCAGACAAGAAAAGGCATGGTGCCGAGGCGATAAACATTGTCTGTACGTGTGTGTGTCCGTGTGTCCGTGTGTGCTCGTCCGGCCCGTGGGCTGAACATCTGTGCAAACTCAATCTTGGCCCCTCCCCCCGTTCCGATGCCGGCAACGCACAGCCTCTCGTTGCGGAAGCGTTTTTTTTTGGTTTTTTTTTGGTTTTGCTCGAGGGGAAGCAAAGCGTGTGCGTGCTGTGGAGGGCGGGCGAGTCGGGTGCGACGGGGCGTCCGCCCCTTGCATGCCGGCACGGCGCTAGCAGTGGCAGCATGTTCGACTGCAGGGTACAAGCCATTTCATCCCAGATGGGCTGTGTGACGGAGTTGACGGGTTGTGTGAACGGGTCCGTGATTGTGTCCCAGTGTCACGAAAAGTACATGAGACGGGTGCCAGATTTAGGTATGGAGGATGTGCATACCCAGGTACCTACCTACCTATTTAGTGCTCGATAATCTAATATTTCGGGTTGTGCAACATCGGACAGGGACGACATCGGGACGGAACAAGTTGCAGTGGACGGAGAATTGGGATTGCCAAACACAATGTTGAAATATTTGATGGCGCGTGGCGCGCCAAAGACCCGATATTCGGGGAATAAAGAACAAGAAAAAAATCAAAGCAAGCGACTATCACGCGTCCAACTCAAGCTTGAATCCTACCCAATATGACAGGCATCAAGCCAACCAGGCAGCCAGGCATGATCCCATATCCAAATCTGCAACGACGGAGCCCTAGTGCATCTGACATGGCTCTAGTTTGGGCAGGTTGGGGTTAGCCAGGGGGGAAGGATAGCCGCGAGCAGGGAACACATCAGTTGGACAGGTGGGCAAGCTGTCAGGTCAGTGCCTATGCCCATCACACGGAACATGGCACCCGCGTGTGTGTGGTGTGTGTGTGTGTGTGCCACGGTACTTTTGATGCGTGCCTGCTTGGCCGTGGGCGTGATAGACCCCCCTCCGACGCACAGCCCATCACACGGCGAACGTCATCCGAGGCTAGCGCCGCATTTTGCCTCGCCCTGGCATGCCGGCCCCTGACTGGCTCCTGTCACTCTCCCCCCCCCCCCCCTCCCTTTCCCCTCCCCCATCCAAGGCTAGTCCGTTGGCCTGACAGCTGTGACGGGGCGGTTCCCCGGAGAGAAAATGCGGACCAGCTCTCGACGGGTCGTGAACGATAACTGCAAACTAGAGCGCGCTAGAAGGACGGCGCCAAAGTCAAAACCGACACGCCAGCGACACGGAAGCAGGACGCGGCCACGAGCAAGCTGGAGGAACGGCCCGGGTATGGGGTCAAAATGATCATCATATCGTATTTATTGCGCTGACGAGTTTGCCCCGCCGTCATAATGGCCCCCCTCAAAAGGGATTCCGTAATTGCGTATTATTTTGCGTATTGCGCCAGCGGAGAAGGAACAAAAAGCAAGCTCAACCACAACATGAACAAAAACGTAACCTTTAGTGCGTCAGCTGTGCGGGATACCAGACCTGGGCTGACGGCTGGGCTGGCACGAATTCCATCTGTACCTTGATCCCTGACCTGTCCCAGCCTGTGCCCATGCCCGCGTTACTGTGTACCTGTACTGTGCGGACTTGTGTCAAGATGATCAAGGGCCACGCAATAAAAGTATCCATCTCCATGTCCGGCTACACGGATCATAGGAGGGCCGCCGACAGAAAAAATAAAAAAATAAAAAAATAAAAAAAAATGATACAAAAAAAAGTGACAGATGAGACTGACAGTTCGCAAGAAGTGGATGGTGTGGTGTGCGGGAGAGCACGCGCCGGCCCGAAAGGGCAACAGGGCCGTGACAGTCGCTTCTCTCGAGATGAAAGCACGCTAACAAGAGAAGCCAAGACCATCGACGACGGACGGCTGACACCAACACTAGCTAGGAGAGCCATTTCCAGTTCTCCGGGTCTGGCTGTCGAAATTGCAAGAGTGCGAGCGAGTCAGCGTGAGAGTGAGAGAGAGACAGAGAGAGGAAAAGGCCGAACATGTCCGCCCAGGGGAGGGGACAAATTAGCAGCAAAGAAAAAAAATCAAAAAAAATCAACGTTGCTAACCAGTAGCCCTTCGGCATCCATGGCTCCCATGACCAACACTACTGCCTCGTGGTGCCTCGTCCTGGTTGCTGGTGGCGGCGGTGGAGCCATCCATGGGCCTGGTCCTGCCCAGCCTACCACCAGATTCCCGGGACCGGCGGGGACATCCCGGCCGGGGGTCCACCGTCCAAAAAAGAAGACTGGTGACCAGGGGGTGAGGGGGAGGAGAAAGGTTGAGGTGAGGTGAAGAAGGGGAGGGCTGGCCTTGGGCCCCTGCCAGACATGGGGAGGGGTCTGGCCCTGTCGACAGGGTTGATTGCGGTCATCATTGGCCAATCGCGACAGTTGGACGGGCCTCCCCCAAGGCGAAATGAGGTGAAGGGTTGCAAGCCTAGGGCACAAAGCCGTCTTCCTCGCGATGCTGTGCCAGCGCTCCCCTTGGTGAGATGGGGACATGTGGGTGCGCGCGCGTGTGTGATGAATCGGATGCAAGGGGCTCGTTCAGATTTTGTGCCTCCCCCTCCCTCATCCAGCGTGACATGGGATCTGCCCCCGCATCGACGGGTTAACTTTTGGCTTTGTTGGTATGCTTGAGCCAGCCAGTCCATAAACAGACGCTGTCGCGTCAAGAGAAATTGGAGGGAAAGAAGCAACGAACAATGGCCCTCGGGACCCCGGGTCTGGCTCGCTCCCCCCATCTGTGACACGCAAAAACCTAGGCGAGATGCATGGCGAGCGAGTGAATGACTCAAAAAAAAAAAAAAAAAAACCAGGACGGTGATGGCGTGATAATGTCGCGAGTAAAAACTCCTTGCCCACATGTCTCCTTTCGTCTATCGTGTTGGTGATTATCAGATTGATTGTTTTGCCGCCCATTTCCGGCATAATTCGACAATCTGCAAATCCCAATCACCCTTTTCGCGCTCCCTCCCAACTTCGTATCACCAAATTCAACATGCGGGAGAGTTACGCCCAAATACGGGGCATCGACAGGTGCTCGTTCCTTTGAAGAGGGTGGGCCACTTTCGAGGCCAGCCCAGCCTTGCTGAATGGAGCGTACCCTGGACGCCCTTCATTTGGCGAGGCCACAGCCCGCGATCAAATCATCTGGCAGAGATGGGTGATGCCAGGGCGCGTGTACCCCCTGGTAGGCCCGCATTCGTGGACGGTGGAGGTATGCATGTTGGCCTGCTGGTTTGCTGCTGCTGAGAATCGACAGCGCACACCCTCTCTCTCTCTCTCTCTTTCTGTCACTTCCTCTCTCCTCTCTCCTCTCTCCGCCCAGGCCGGCTGGGTTGCATCAGCCAAACCTCAAAACCCGCACTGGGCTAGGCGCGAGGCTTTCAAAACGTCTGTGCGTGTGTTTTTCATCGGTGTTTTTGCAACGGCAGCATCCATCTCCGGCAGTACTTGCTGCCAGCGTCACATCGGGGGCAGCCTCATCAATCTTCAACTGCTCATCCGCCCCTCCTCCATCTCCAGCTCCCTCAAGGGGGGAGGGGTGTGGGGGGGTAAAACGTCACATGGGCGGCCCCATTAGAGCCCGATGGGCCTCGGGGGTCGGGAAGCAACAGGGCTAGCAAGCAGCGGCACAGAGCAACGGAGAAGAGAGAGAGAGAGAGAGAGAGAGAGAGAGAGAGAGAGAGAGAGAGGTGTGTGTGTGTGTGTGTGTGTGTGTGTGTGTGACG